AAGGTACATTTGAATTGTATTACATTTTCATATTATGTCTATTTTTGATATGGTTTGCAAGTTAGTTAATCAGTATTTAAAATTGTTTTTATATTGAGAAAATATCATTAGAATAAACACATTTTTATGCATTAATCTAGCAAGAATTCGTGTATTTTAAAATAATTTCTCGTATACTAAGAAAAACCACTTTATCAAATTTTTTTATAGATGATATTAAAAGTATGTAAACTCACCACAAATATTTCATTAAAATTACAATGACTTTGTTAACGTCATAGTATAATACGTTGTTTTTAGCCATAAATGACGTACGCGTCTTATTAAAAATACAAGGAGGTCAATAAGAAGCTATTCTGTTGAAAACTAGTTAAAAATTTGCATAAATGAAAAAAATTGTTCGATTTTAATAATATATAAAGTTAAAATTATATTAAAAATATTTGTTTTAAACTAAAAATTCATAATAAAAATATTTAACTCAAAAAACCATAAAAAAAAAATTGCAGATATGTATTTCGGTAACAATGTTACCATTATCAACGTTAAACAAATGCTGACAGTATGTAGTATGTAACATTGTTCCCGAAATACGTACACTCCATTTTTTAGTAATTTTTTTTTATGATTTTTTAAGTTAAATATTTTTAATATAATTTTAATTTTAAATAATTAGTCACGAGTGATTAATATTTATTTTTATTAAACAATAACATGTAGTTAAATAAATCTTTTTCATCCCTTATACTTAAAAAACCTAAACTTTAATAATCCTTAATGGAAACTTCTTTTAGTTTAATGATATGATAGAAAGAAAATTTTCGAAAAATTTTGTTTTTATAATATTTTTTATTTGATAAATCGTTCTTCTGACCAATTTTTTATTAATTAATTTACTGCTTGTAAAACAGAAGTTGTCATTTCTTCATGATGTCAAATAAACAAGTTTTTATTAACAAATATTATTATTACATTTGTCAAAATAGAAAGAATAAATACTGATAATAATTTATTACCCTTTGAAAAAGATTGTTGTTACTCTCTTTGTTTAAGTGATTTAATTCCTTAATATCTTTAAGTTTTAGTTTATAGTAAGTTTATTGTAATTATTATTATTTATATTATTCTACAACTTAAATATTTCATATTTAAATATTTATTAAATAAATTTTATTTTGCAGTTTTATCGTCTTGATAAACTTAAATATGGATTTAAGTTCTATGTTTATATCATATGTTAGTTTAATCATTTTTTATAAAATTAAATTTATAATAATATATTGTAAATTTAAAATCAACTAGTAATTTTTTTAATGATTATGTTCCTCCAAAGTAATAATGTAATATTATAATAAAAGATCATTCATATTATTACTTATAAATACAAATTTAGGTAATAAACTTGCATATTAATTGGTCGTTTAAATAATTATTTTATTTTACTCTTACATTTTAGGCAATTTATTAAATTAAATTATAAGTGCGCGGCCGGAGACAAATGTCTCGCTCGCTTGGTTTTAGTGTCGGTTATGGAATACAATAAGCCAGTCAACATAGAAAAATAGTAGAAAAAAATCCCAACCAAATTTTTTTTTTTTTTAAAGTTGAATAAAGTTATGTATAATGAAATTTATAGTCTTCATTGATTAGACTAAGATTTTTTTTACAGCCTTTCAAAAGTTAAAAAATATGAACTTTTTTAATTTTCTCAAAAAAAATTTAGCTTACGAAAAAAAGTTTCGTACAAAAGTTGTTTAAAAGACAATTTTAAACAAAAAAGGTATCTTCTATTTTTTCATTTAAACAAATATTTTTCGAGTTACATTACATTAATATGAATACTAAAATTTATTTTCCATTTTACGGTTACTTTTTATCATGTTATACTTACATTAGACACAATGTTACAAATGCATATATGTGTATGTGGATTTTATTTATTTATAGTATCATTAAAGTGTAGTTTATATTAAGATACAACGATAGAGTAGGTAATTGATTTGTCGCTATTTTGTTTAAACCCAACCAAACGCTAAATAGTAAATTCCCATACAGCAATTATATTATGTCAATTGCCATTGGATAAGTATAATATGATAAAAAATAACCATAAAATGGAAAATAAATTTTAGTATTCATATTAAATGTAATGTAACTCGAAAAATATTTGTTTAAATAAAAAAATAGAAGATACCTTTTTTGTTTAAAATTCTCTATTAAACAATTTTTGTATGAAACTTTTTTTCGTAAGCTAAATATTTTTTGAGAAAATTAAAAAAGCTCATATATTTGAAATTTTTCTAGGCTGGAAAAAAAAGCTTAAGTCCAATCGATGAGGACGTTTAGAATGTCATTATACATTTTTTCGGCCATTCGCCAAAATTACTCCTTCGTTTACTGACCTACAATACTTAAAATAATTTATAACTATTTAGCATTCATTATTTTTAAAAAATAATTGTTTTTATTTTCTAAATAGTTACTACATTCACACAGTATCCACACAGTTTGACATGTACAGTAGTTAAATTTTTTCTAATACAGTGTTATTACAATAATACGGGTTTTATACTACGAAAGAAATTTCTATAAATACAATTGTTTTCTCTTTAGTGTAAAATAAGATTCTCTTATCAGTAAAATATCTGTAAATAATATTTTATTGATAAAAATGTCTTCAATTTATTCTATTACAAGTTTATAATTCACAGCCTTAGAGTTTATAACTTCAAAATAATTTCTAATTGTATATTAAGAAAAATATACGAAAAACTTTATAAGAATCAATTAATAAAAGAGATTGTTCAATAAACTATTGTTTTAGGTAACATCTCATTCATAGTTGAAGTATTCTTAAAGCATTGTTTCCATAAAGTGAGTGTTGAGTTAAGTATTTATGAATCTTAATGTTAAAAATGATGCAGTATTAATTGAATTTCATAAAGTATTCACTATGAATATTGAAAATTTGACAAAAATACTTTTATACTTTAAACACAGGAGATCATAAAATATAAATAAAAAATTCTACAGTTTACAAAATTTATATGAAATTTTGATACTGAATGATTGCTAATAATATTGATATTTTAATTTTTGGAAAATTAACACTTATATAATAAATTAAAAGATTCCTAATAAAGTGCAGTTACAATAATTATTAATGATGCAATATAAAGAATATATAATTAAGGAAATCCATCGAAAATTATTCAAAATTAATTAATTAAGAACTTTTTGAGTTATTTTGATAATAATTTTTTTTAATAAAATTTCATTTAAATATTAAATGCTTGTCAAATTATTCGCTTATTTTAAAATAACATTATTTATAACTCATAAATATTCTTAATGTATTAAAAAACTTTTTATCTACCACAATGTCTTAAACACTGTACCTAATATCAATATTATTGGTGTTATTGAAAAAATATAATACATAAAAGAGAGAGCTGAGAATTTCATGAACAGATACAAAAAAAAAGACATTATATTAAACTAATACTTTTTTAGATCGCGCCAAACCAATACCCAAAGTTAAAAATTCAAATTTTATCATAAGTTAGACATTAAAGGTGTATTAATATTTATGAAATTGATTTATGTAAAATTTATATAATTGTGTAACGGGCTGTGTAGAGATTGTGTAGCCTAGTTACTCAATTATATCACCCCCCGATGACTTATTTTTATTTATTTTGCTTATCGATCAAAACATTTTTCTCTAGTTTTTATGTTTTGCTATTTTTTTTTTTATGAACGAGAAAAAAAAAGTTTTTCAACTTTATAATTATCATTAATATTATTATTTAACTGTTCTTTGTAATAATAACTATTTCTTCGTAATTGGTGAAAAAATTGAACTCATAATGAAAACATGTAAAATACACCACCATGTCTAGCATAAAAGTTACATAAATTTGTTAAACATACTTAAATTAAATAAAAATGTGCTGGACAAAAATTTAAAAATAACAATAGCTCTTACGAAATTTTGTAATTTGCGTATATTTTTTCTATTAACAGTAATTATGTGGGTTTTTGATTAGCTAACAGAATACATAATATAAATTCTCATCAAATTGCTATCAAATGGTTATAAATTCATAACTGGAAGTTAAAACAACAAAATCTTATAGTGAAAAGTTAAGCTTAATTTTTTAATAAATGAGTGCTATAGTTAATCATCCATCCATTAAATTTTTTTTTTATTCTTATGAATTTTGAATTATGTATTCACATTTCAAAAAGTTATAATCATAATTGTAGCTCAATTACTAACTAATAATTATCTTAGATTTGGAATCAGTTTTTTATATGGAATTCCATATAGGATTCATTTAAATATTGAAATCTGCAGAAAATTATTTATTTTTGTTACTGTCCTATATATATTTCACATAATAATTATTGTTTATAATATTAAATATATATATATATATATATATAATTGTTTTTTTATAAAATAAAAAAAAAATTTTGTCCAAAAGCATTATTTATTTCTATTTAAGTGTTTCATACCTATGTTGAAAATATTATTTTCATAATGAATAACATACTATTTCCTTTTTAACAATTATGAATAGAAAAACATTGAAACAAAAAATTACTGTAACAGATATATTATGGATGTGTTTTTCGATTGTAACATAGATTATTATCAAGGTAACTCAAAAAATTCTTGATTAATTAATTTTGACTTTGTGGACTATTTTACCAAACTACTAATTTTTAATGGATTTCCTTAATTTTATATTATTTACATTACATCATTAATAATAATTATACATGTATTTTATTTGCTATCTTTTTAATTTATTGAATCTGTGGTCATTTTCCAAAAATTAATACAATTCTAGCAATTTTTTTGGAGAGTAAAAACTAATTAAATATTTTTAAATATCTTTTGAAAATAAAAAATGTTTGTGAGACAAGAAAATTAATTCATTTTTTAACAATTGATAATATGAATTTTAGATAGTATGAAACGTGCTTCTTACTTTTGCTGAAAGCCGGCGCTTCTTTTTGTTGTAATTTATCAAAAATTTTAACCTGCTGCAATCATCAAACGAACACTTGTCTGTTATGGAATACATTAAAATGAATACTTCAGCCCAACGCATATTGATTTCTAGATTGCAAGATTTCTTTTTTAAAAAAATTGAATATTATTTTTTACTCATAGCATTTTTAATGGATTTAAAAAATAAATCTGGCTTACATCTTGTACATATCCCGCTGTGTCCAAAATTTCAAAATTTACAATTTCCGATTCCATGTTTACTTGGCACGAATACATTTTTTCTAAATTGGGGTCGTAGTCACCAATGAACTTTTTTGTCACAAACCTAACAAGAAGTGCTAAGATATGTGTCAGTCATTAAGATTAATTTTCTAATACACTTTGAACTTTAGGGATATTTTAGGTTAAAGTAAATTATATTCACCTGTTTTTCCTACACCTGGTTGTCCCATGATCATTACTTTAACAGGTTTTTTTTTAGAAATTAAACCAATTTTATTATACAATAATGATGTCATTTGTAAGTCGTCGAAGTCTCTAAAAAAGATATGGGAAATGTGTCAGGTTCATGGTTAACGCCTTTGGGTGCAAAAAGTAGCTAATCTATTAATTTTATACTAACCTTGATATTTTATTTATAACCTTGTGTTACAATAACATAAATTCACACTTTTTCTATGAATTGTAAATATATCAACTTGTGAAACACTGTTGTTATGGAATTAACAGTAAAAGGATTTAACATATACTTTAATATGAAAAGATTTTTAACACGTTGAGGAACTACTTGAATGCTCGGACTGTGTAATAGTTCAATTAAAACATACTAATACACACTGCTCTACTTGTCTAGAACTAAATGATGTTTTAGAACGTACCAATATGTACGCAATGTTCATACGGCGTAAGTAATGATAGTGGACATTTGAGTACATTATAAGAAACACATAATTATTAAGTTGTTAATTGAGATGTCAGGTTTCCTATTACAAAATATTGATTGACCTTTTTGTAAAATCAAATTTCCCTTCTACCAAGTATTCTTAAACATTACATTAAAATTAGTTGTATGTTACTGTATTCTTAAATAGCTTTGGTACTATTTCCTAACTCAAATATTTATCTACAATTATTAATAGTGCATAGTTATCAAAATATGTAGTATACAAGTAAGTAATAATAACCTCGAAAAGGTTCCTCTGCTTCTTTAGGGTAATGTTAATGCAGTAATTTTTTCTTTATATTTACTTCCTCGAGAGTTCAATGAAAAATGTATGAGGTAGTTATTATTATTAGTATTCAGACGCGAACGCTTTTATGTTTGAAGATTAATAAATAATAATAGTTTATATTCAATAGCCTTGAACCTTTAACTAATCACTTAGAAGGTTTTAGTATAAAACTATGTATTTGAACAATTTTGTTAGATATTAGTTAATAGAACGTATTCTATTTATAAAATAAAATCTTGTATACAACTTTAAACTAAGTATATTATCCCGGAAAAGGGATCATTGTCGATGATACAAAAAATTATAATTGGTTGCTTTATAGTTGCTATAGTTACTTGTTTCAATGTCAACAAGGTAAAATATATTATAGATTAAAGGTGACATTGAAATATTTTTACGTAATTTTATTTTATTTTACTTTTGGTATACTTAAATAAAAAAATGTTTGGCCTTTGTGTAATTTATTTATGGCTACAAGGTTTTTATCATTTTTTTTTAAACAAATTCTTCATACATTTTTAATTTCAGATCGATAAAACATTACTTTTTATAGATTACACTATATTGTTTTATTTTATTTTATAGATACTAAGTTTAAAAAGGTTGAATTTTTATTACAAAATATTTCAAATATGTGCCTTAGGATCCAGAGAAATCATTTGAGGGAAGTAGGCAACTTAGAAATTTGCCCAAGTTTAATTTTGCAGTATAATTTGAGGGTTCTCAACCGATACTCATATTAAACCAAGTCACACATAATGACGGATTTTCAAATTTTTTCTGAAGTTGATCCTGAAAATTAAAATTTATATACAATATGTATCAGAGTCTTAATCTACATGTATAATGTATAAATACTGATGTCTGAATGAAATCACACCTCTCGACCCCCTTACCCACCGTATGAAACTAGTTAAACACAAAATTAAGTCAGGAGGATAAATTTTATTTTAATAGAATTTTTTTTTTTTAATAACTTGGTAGATGGATTATAATATTCAAATTAGAAACATAACTATAAAATAAATTATGGAGTATGATGAGGTGCAGTGGATCATTCAGACGCTGATTTTGGGCTGATACTAAGCTGCGCTGATTGCTGTTGATTCCCGTATGGTTGAACATGGAAATTTTAAAAGTGACACACACCTTACCCATATTGGATCCTTCAGCCTTAATGAGATTGTGTTAGGTCGACAGTCAATGTCGAAATTAAAAACTAATTTGATGACAACAATTAAAGATAGTCCAGTTAACTTTTCTTTGTTATTAGTTATCAGTTTATTTTTATTTTAATGATGAATGCTAAATATTTTTAATAAAAAAGTTTAATTATTAAACATATTATTTTTTCAAACCTAATTTTGAAACTGACACCAATGCTAGGACTTATTTCATAGAAGAACTTAAATGTTTAAAATTTTTTATTTTTCTTAATGGTTTAATATTATTTATTTAAAATAACATCCCCCAAAAAAGGTCAGGAGAGTTTTAAATACAAAAAATAATATTTATATTATATATCTTATAGCAGCTAGTTAAGAATAATAAATGGTAAATCGACATTTATTACATTAATAATTTAATTAATAAATCTTTAGTAGTGATTATTTAAATTTTTACCAAAATAGTGACCAAAAAAACATAATTTATTGTATATATATATATATATATATATGTATATTGACATGTTTATTTTTTTTTATGTATGATATCTACGCTAACTGATATATTTCCTAAATCGAAGAAGGAAATAGTTTGAGATGACAATTTAATGATCCCTGTCTTCCCTACTAAATAGAAACAAATCAATTTAAAAAATATATCATGTGATTAATCTTTTCTGAACATTATCAAGGTTCCTTAATCCTCATATATTAATTTATAGTCCAAGGATTAAATGATTTTTAACAGATTGTCAATATATATATACATAGAATGTCAATTGTATATTGATGACTTACTATGAAAATAGTAAATATTATTCTTACTTGTAAAAAATAAAATAATATTAACTCAGATAATTATTAGCATACGATTTACAAGCATTATTAATACATCTTTAAGCATATAAACATATAGTTCTGTCTACACTTAATTTTGTTTTTATTAAATTATTATCAATGTTAGAATTATTTGCCTAGAATTATATACGAGCTTTTAAAATATAGTTTTTACGATTTTATCGACTTATTAATTTTTTTCTTAATTATAGTGATTATGACAAGTAAGAGTAATGTTAAAAAAAATACATGTATGTATATTTTGAATCCTCATAAAATTTTGTTGCAACATAGTTTATAATCACGAAATAAATATGAATATCAAAAACATTAAGCTTTACATTTTTATAACTACTGTAAAACATAATTTTAAAAAGATCGAAGTTAAATGTATTTAATATAATTTTTTATATGTTTTAAGTATGCTTTGAACTCAAATCATTCAAGTTTAGAACAAAAAAAAATTATATTATAAAAATCGCAGACTAATCTATAGTATAACATTATACTCAATAGTGTTGCAATAACATAGAATTGATAAGATTTTTAATAACATTTTATCTACCTTATTAATTTTGTTATTCATTGAGTTTATAAATAAAATTTATTTTAAATTTTATTCAAGTTTTTAATTTTATTTAATAATTTAAAAAAAATGAATTTTATGTATGTTAATGGTTAAAAATCACATTTTTATTAAATTTTGTCTTAATTATTTTAATGGTACTTGGGAAATTATGTCCAAGTTAAAACAAAGTAAAAATATACTTATTTTTACTTATAAATTTTTGATTTTTCTTTTATTATTGATTAGCATCTATTTTCTACTTCAATGTTATCCAAACAGATTACTGGTTATAACATACTTTTAGAATTTTAAACTGAGTGACACTAATAGAGGCATATTTAACAGATGAGTTCGGGTAAGCTCTCTTAAAAACAGACATGTACCCAAGATTTTTATTGAATAGAAGTCTCCATCAAAAATATTTTTTTTCTCCATACATAATATAAGTTAATTTTTATATACATATAATGTCATATAAAAATATCTTGGATGGGGAGTCTAGATCTTATTCCCTCTGAATATTTGCCAATTCAGAAATTAATAAAATTACATGGTTTAAAAACTATGTAAGGAGTCTAAGAAAAGTTTCTTTTATGGAATTTACCCTCTCCAAAAAAAAAAAAAACCTAAATAGTGTATTATTACTGTGAATTTAGCTAAATTGGTATTTCAATAAATGGCTATAACTGCTCTTAATGGACCATAGAAGCAAAAAAAGACAATAATGGTGACAATCACCTTCCCTCTTAGTGAGTTCGCGATAATAATTTAAATTATTTTATTAGAGTTCAATTAAATTGTGATATATAATTAAAATGCCCCATAAATTATACTAATCATTCTATATACAGTTAAATAGGACTATTTTGCACTTTAAATGTAAAATTACAAAAAAAAAGAAGCGTAAAGTATAGACAATGAAGAAAGTAGGCATAGTTATTTTATATTAAAAAACTTCACTATTATGTTAGATTTTTATAAATCACAAAATGTTTCGTATTAATGATTATTTTCACTTAAAAAAAAAGGTAACACAGTGGGGTTACGGCATTGTTGGAACAAGTATAGACGATATCTGGCAGTGATTAAAATCACTATCATAAGAAACGCTTGGACGCAAATCTGTTGGTAGTATTTAATTTGAAGAAATTGGTGGATTATACCAAAATCAAAATTAATTAATATTTCTTACATTATTCCTGATTAGTAGTTTATTTAAAAGTATAATAAGATGATTGACTAACAATGCCTTACGAATTTTCTTTAAAAATATTAGTGTAGTCATATATGTAATTATTTTATATCTTTTTTGAGCTACTTGACAAGAAAAATAATGATTCTATCTTCATCCCTTAACCTTAAATTCAATATCAACTTTAGTTTTTCAAATAGCAACCCAGTTTTTATTTTTATTAATCTTGTTTAGCATAATAAAAAAAATATTTCTCGAAAACAAAAAATCAATTTCAATAAATTCTAAACAAGATATCACTATTTTAATTTTAGGGGATTTAACTAATAAAACAGTAATCGAGTAAATACACTAACATTAATATTTAGTGTTCAAATAAGAACTATCAGTGTATTGTACCGTGACTTAAAATTTGTGCGTATTTTATAAATCAATGTGAGTAATACTCACGTCTCCTAAACTTTAGTGATACATAGCTCGCTGATAATTGAATATAATAAAAAAAAATAAATAAAACTAAATATAATCTGATTATATATAAAAAAAATAAGGTTACCATTTGAAAATTGAAAGTTGATACTGTTCAAATCATAAGGGATGATCATAAAAATGTAATTTTTCTCCCTGAGCAGCCCAAGATAGAAACATAATATTTTATAAAGAACTTTTAATAACTCTTATATTTTCAAAGATAATTTTTGAGGTTAATCAATCACCTTGTATATTAATAAATATTTATTATTGCAATATAGTATTAGATTGATATTTAATAATTTAGTATTGTAATTTTCGCGGAGAATTTATAAAAAGTTATTAATTAGTTATTAAAGTAATAATTACTTTATATGGTAAACATATATAAAAATTGAAGGGCTTAATAGAAAATGTTAATTATTAATTATGAATAAAAGGTTTTACAAGGAATTTTCATCAGATTCAAAAATATACGTTTATTTTTTAGTTTTCTGTGTTAATTTCAAACCTGCAATTAGATTTTTTCTATCACCACTAATCATTAATATTATTACTAATTAGTTACACACTATTGGATATAACTATAAGGAATATAGTTCTGAATATTTCAATTGTATAATCTATTTAAACACCAAGAGTTACATAGAAATGATAAATATTTCTATTGAGATGATTTAATACGATATAAATATAAAAAAAAACACAGCACAGGGGGGTCGCGGCACAGTGGTGTCGTGGTATAGTTGGATCAAGTATAATGATATCTGACAGTGATTAAAATCACCATAAAAAAAAACTCTTCGATGCAAATCTTTAGATAGTGTTAAATTTTAAAAAAATTGGTGTAATATTCCAAAAGCTATATGATCTGCTAGTTCCTTATTAATATCTTGATTAAGATAATGTATGTCGAATGAAAAAGGGATTATTAAAAAATATTATTTCTCATAAAAAAATTGTGTTGATCCATACACTTTTCAATAAGTTATAGCATTATAAAGTTAAAAATGTAAATTATAAAATCGAGAATTTTCACACAAAAATAGCATTCGATAGCCATTTTCGCCGTGAAGAAAAGTCCAGAGGTCAAATTTTTTTTTTTCAAATTAAAGTATATTACATTAGCTTTAATTTAAGATATTTATAAAAGTGTCAGATCTTCCGGAACATTTTCAAAAGTTATGTTGAAAAAGTAAATTTTTTGTGAAAAAGTTGACATTTTAAATCCCCTCCCGTGGGCAGATAAAGGGTCAGATTTACAAAAAAAATATACCAAATGATAGGTAAAGATATCAAGCATCTATAAAAAAAAAATTATATTGATATGTTTATTTTTGAAAAAGTTACGGCAGTTTTTAGTAAAAAAAATTGAAAAAATTTCGAATATTAGCGATTTTTAAATTTGTAATTTTTTTGGAGGTTTATGATCTTTTGACGTATTGTTGAAAGAAATCCGTTCGGTGAGAGCTGAGAAAAAGTGGTAACCTTCTCAGATTTGCATCGAAGCTAAAATATATAATAAGTGATTTTAACGAAATTTTGGGTTTTTTCAAAAATTTACTGTTGATAGTATTTATATAAATTTCTGACCATATCAATCTAAACAAATCCATTTTTGAAATCTTCATAAAATTTTGTATTTAATGATATCAATTGTAAACTTACAAGTCTAACTAAAAAAGGTTAAAAATTCAACATTTTTAAACTATTAACTTTCATCAAAATCAACTTTAAAGTAACAAAAATGGGTTAAACATGACATTTTGAATCGAAATTTCGCACGAATTATTTTAAACATATTAAAAATAAAAATCAATTTTTAATTTAAATACTCATGTTTATAAATTGATAATTATGTCAAAAAAAAAAAAAGGCGTTGAAAAAAATCTAATTGCAATTATTCAATTTAGTTGTGATAAAATTGATACGAATTCTAAGTTATTTTCCACATAAAAAAAAAATTAAGAAAATAATGCATAAAAATCAATGCATCGGTCGGATTTGAACGTCGTGCCCCGAGAGTGAATCATTGAAATGTGACCGTCTCGACAACCGTATACTACAAACGCATTAGGATAAAAGGACAATTTAAGCTAGTTCGGAAATTCAGTTGTTTTTTTTAACGTAGGATACAAAATTTTCATAATAAGTTTAAATTTATAGTTAATTTAAGTTCAATTCATGTAACTTTTTTAAAAATCAGTGGATTCATTACTATATCAAACCCTTGTAAGGTATTTTAATATAAAATTTTATAGAAATATAAAATCAAAAATATAAAATTGAGAATTTGAATATTACACAAAATTAAATATTTTTAAATACAGTGGCATTCTAATCATAAATACAATATAAAGTTTGAATTTTTTTTTTTTTTTATATTAAAGTATATTACTTAAGCATTAATATAAGATATATATAAAAGTGTTAATATTTCGGAACATTTTCAAAAGTTAAATTAAAAAAGTTAATTTTTTGTGAAAAATTGTTATTATTTTGAATTACTCCTGTGGGAGAGTGAAGGATCAGATTTTCAAAAAAAATATCGCAAATAATAGATAAATACCTAATGTATTTATAAAAAAATTGTTTTGATTCATACATATTTGAAAAAGTTATGGCAGTTTCAAGTAAAAAAGTTGAAAAAATTTCGAAACTTAATGATTTTTAATTTTGTTATTTTTTTAGGGATTTTACCCATTTACGGAAAACTAGGGAAATTTTTAAGGGTAATGTCTTCGACTAGACTTGATATGCTAATCATTGAGGTACATTAAAAAAAAGTTATGAAAATCAAAAAGTGTATCATGGAAATAAAATTATTTCAAAGATTTAGTTTCTTAAATTTGAAGAAAGTAGATATGAAATTCGCCTTCTATTAATTTAACTTTAAGTTATTATCATGGTATACAAAGTTAATTTGTTAACTTATTTATAGCTTTCTACTTCTCTAAATACAAAAAATTATAGTAATTGAATCAAATACTATATTTTTTTGTGTATCTAAACTGACAAATTTACAATATATTTAAAGTATTTTTCAGACATTTAACGCTAGGTTAGGCCTGCTTATTTTGAGACTTATTAAATAATTAAAAAAATATGAAATTATGCAAAGCGAGAAAATCACATAATGATCCCTTTGGGTGTTTTAATTTTTAGTGATAGTATTTTGTATAAGTTAACTAGATTAACTAATTATAAGAAAATAATTTAACTTATAAAAATTTTATAAACGTGTTCATATAATAAATACACCTTTTTCTAATTAATAAATATTTAATAAATTAAGACAAAATTAATTATTAAATAATTTCCGACGGATATCTACGGTATAAAATTTTACTATTGTTTTAAACCTAATCAAAAACCAACAGTTTCAAATATATAAAATATCTATGATTATTATTCTTTCATGACTGAAAAATAAAAAATGATCGATAAATTTAGTCTATATATTTTAGAGTGTAATGATTTATTTCAATTTACTTAATTCATAAGATTTCAATTTCCCAAAACTAAAATAAAATATATACATTTAAGTTATTTTTTCAAACAATAAATTCATTAATTTTAAATGAGATTTTATTCTGAAACTAAATGAAAAAAAGAATAAGTCTTATGAGTAGTATGTAAAACCAGTTATCGGGGAGGTCATTGCGATCATTCGTGTTAGTATATAAGGTAACTGAGCACGGGGTTGTGGTATCACATAAACGACGGTTTCAGTTTCAGAAGTAACTTCGGGTTATTTATGTTAGTTTTTTCAAAACTCACACAAATCCATAACGTAATTCACACTGATTAGACCAGAAATCGATTTCATTTTAATACCATTAAATAAATTCAAATTAAACATGGTAAATTCGTTGCTTGTCTCTAGTGTGTTGTTTTTGGCCGTCAGTTCTTCTGTAATTGCTGCCCCTACTTCTAAAAAACGTAAGTACTACAATGATAATAATGTAGAAAAAAATTAATAATAATTTAAGCATAAATATTAATTAAATAAAAATTTTTACAGTAATTTACATATGAGGGTATAGAGAAAAACGGTAATAGTCAATTCGATTTTGATTTTATGGTTTAATTCGATAGCCCATAGTAATAGTAATATCATGTAATTTAAATGATTCAATGAAATATCCATTCAACATTTAATTGTCTATTTTAGTTTTATTAGAAAAAGGATAGTAATTTATAACTTTGTTTTTCTTTCCTAAAAAATTTATAGAAATTAATAATTACAATTTATCCTCTATAATATTTATATTTATATTACAATGCATACACAGAGTAAACCAAATAAGGCTGACAACTCTTAAACTTTTGATACAATTAACATTTCATTGTATTTTTTTGTTTTTTTTTAATAACTTGAGCACTTTTAAAATACGTTAAAATCATATTTTTTATCATTTGTTTTTAATAATAAAATAAATTAAAAAATTTTCAAAAACTGTTACTATTGTTTTGTCATATTATAAAATGTAATTATTTATCACCCTAATAAAGTAGGCTACTTTTATCAAAAAGTGTTTGACTCTCCAATTACTCCATATACCGTCAAATTTTATGTTTTAATCAGATGTATCTAAAATAATTATTTTCATCATTATGGTTATATTCTCTATACTAATAAGTATAAATTTTGTATAATTATTTTTTATAAAAAAATATAATTTAAAAAAAATGGTCCTCTCCCCTTTAAATTAATATTAAGTTTAGTTTTCTAAATGGAAATATATGTGTTTAATTAGCTTAAAAATAACACACTTAAAAATTATAGAGCAGATGCATAACGTTTTCAATGCGTTATTGTTTGATGACGTGTTTATATTTACCGGCAATAATATAATTAGTAAAAATAACACGGGCCGGTCCCGGAAGATATTCGACAAGCATATTGCGTCAACATGACGACACAAGGACAGTATCGTTTAACTATTTCCAACGAATTCCTAGTTCTCTGTTGTTGTTCTGTCGTGATTTGAATTATACATACATGATTAATTTTCATCTATCCTATCTATATATATATATATATATTATACATATAATATAACAGAATATTAAAATGTTTTGGCATTGCGACGTAATAGTTACTGTTAAATAAATATCTTAGTCCTTTTTTTACGTTATTATTATTTTTTATTATAATACCAATTATTTATTATTCATTTTAATGATATAGAGATCGTGTTTGATTTGTGTAAGAAAAACGACCCAAACGTTGATAAATGTCTGAAAACTTCTATTCAAAATGTCATTCCTGACTTGGGTGAAGGTTATCCAAAACTAAGGATTCCGGCTATTGAACCTTTTGAACTTCCATCGTTGGAAATTAACCATGGCAAAGGATCTAGTAAATCGGTCAGCATCGACTTGAAAATGAAAGATGTTAAGATCAATGGATTAACAAGTACTGTCATTGACTCATTGAAGACTGACTTAGATAATTATAAATTGAATGCTAAGATTAGTTTCAAAAAACCGCTTGAAATCACTGGTCAATACACTGTTAATGGAAAAGTGCTCGTTTTGCCAATTACTGGTTCCGGGGCTTGCAAAATTGTTCTCAGTAAGTATTTTTCAACTGTTAATTAGGAAATTAAATGTTCGTTAGGTGCATATAATTAAACTTCATACATATGATTAAGCGATATGGAATTGTTTTATTTTTTAAAGATATACGTAAACATTTTATGCATGGGCAATAATTATGTTTTTTAGACGAACCAAAATTGGACTTGAATGAATTAATTTCTACTCCATACGAAAAAAATGGCAAAACCTACATCCAAGTTAAAAAAATGAACTTAAATTTGGTAAATGTTAAGAAGTTGAACTTGAGGTTAGAAAATCTATTCAATGGTAACAAACAACTTGGTAAGTTTCTCTACTTATACCATGCATCATAATTGTATCTAATCCATACCTCTTGATTTAGGTGATAGCATGAATACAATCTTAAATGAAAATTGGCCAGTACTATTGGAAGAACTAAAACCAGCATTTGAAGAAGCAATAGCAACCATTGCTGTCGATATAATCAATAAGGCGTTGCAAAAAACCCCTTATACTGATATCTTTGCCCAGTAGACTGTTGTTCATTAGGATTAGACTAAAGTTTTTATACCAAAAATTGTTATTACTTAACTAATTTATTTACACTACTATTCGTTATACCAGCTAGATTTGCTAGGGTAGCTTGACAAATATGTCTGAAGTGTGATCGACGCAAACAAGATACTCATGTGTAATAGCATATCGACACTGGTTAGTGACTGACAGTAGTACCTATTGTTTTATTTATTATATTTTTGCAAGTCTGATTCAAAAAGTTTGATGACTTGCTATTATTTATTTTAAAAAATGTAGTTTAACTACAATTTTTATAATTTATTAAAAAATAATTAATTATTTATTGAATAATCCAGAGATTGTAGTTTATTTATATTATACCATTTCCTCGTTTTATACGTAACTTCAACTTTACCGTTGAAATATTACTGTTTCTCAGCAAAGCTGAGAAAGTATTAAAGTTTTTATGTCTTTTACCATTTTTACACAGCTCTCATTGGACGAATTTCTTTTAAAGATACGTCAAATGATGACAAATTGTAGCAAGTCAAAGACATTGCCTAACAAATTGTAAATCGTTCCATTGTTTCCTGTAAATAGAAATCCAAAAATTAGGATTTTTAAAACTTTTTTTCTTAAAAATATCGTAAAATAGATGAGATAAAACAATTTTTTTTAATATAAATACCCTAAGTATTTCCCTTTTGTTTAATTAAAAAGCAAGTTTTGTATGGAAAATTATTATTTTCAACTTAACTTTTGAAAATGTTCTATTAATACACCCATCTTTAAACATATGTTAAATTAAAGTATATTTCATGTCCTATAAGTTAAAGAAAAATTTGATCCGAACCTTATCCTTCTATTTGTAAACGGTTCACGAAATTAAACAAAAATTGTTATTTTGATGTAAAAAATTAAAAATTTTAATTATTAATATTTAAATGTAGACAAAAAAGTTTAAATCAAAATTTTTATTTAAATTATTTGCCTATATTTTAGGTAAAAATATACAGTGTTATTGATGGTAGGGATAAGCACTCCAATTACTCCTTAAAAAAAAAAAATCATAAAAAGGATTTTGTTAGTAACAAAAGTTTTCCCTGAAAGTATTTATAACTATTATAAATACTTTTAGGGAAAACTTTTGCAACTTTTAATGTCAATCTAAATTGTAATAAAAGATTGGGGACTTTCCTTTTCAAAAAAAGACTTATGATAAATTTAGGTAACAACAAACAATAATTTTTTTCATAGCCTCTCGATTTCACTTAAAATAATAAATATATTAAGAAAATCCTTTTTGATATATTTTAGTTTCATATTTTTCTCGATTTATCATATTTTAATTATTCTTTTTTAATTCATCCTTATAAGGATATAACTTAAATTTTTAATGAAAATGTATATATTAAACTAGATAATAAAGTAAAAAATGATCTAATTAAGAGGTTCAAATTTTCAAAAAAATTATACCAAATGAATAATAAGTACTTAAGGTATTTTTTTATAACAAAATTTTCTTCATTCGTATAAGTTCCAAAAAATTATAGCAGTTTTAAGAACATTTTTTTTTTTTATTGATTTTAGAGTTTAATATTAAAATAATCACTCTGTATACAAAAATCTTATTACTTTTTATAACTTATCTGTATTAAAATAACAATACAGTACATCGAATATAAAATTTATATTAAATATAATGATATCGGTCATTTAAAAAAAAATATTTATTTTTTTTAATTTTACAGTAACCAAAAAAATATAATTACTCCAAAAATTCAACTGTTTTTACCCTTTCACCTATTTACTATTTTATTTTTAAGGTTTCTGATATTCAAAATCCATAGTTTTAAAAATTCTAACATTGATCAAAATGCATTAAATTGAAAAAATATATATTTGACTTGCATTGTTTTTGAAGCAAATAAAAATGTATAATATAAAGTCTAAATAAAAAATATTGATTTTACTATTATGGTGTTGATAAAACAACATGTGTCGTAAAATAATCATGGCCAACTTTAAAATCTGTGAGGACTGCATAAACTAAACATGTCATTAACTTGTGTAGTTTTTGAAAAATTCTAGTTTCTTGTAGTAAATATTTGTATTAAATATGAGTCTGACAAATGTAGTTTTTATACAGAATACGTAATCAGGTGTATAATAATTGACAAAATTATTATATTATTTGACAAAAAGTAATTATTGAAAAATCGGTAACTTATGCCGTTTATTGAAATGACCGATTCAATTACTTAAATAGATATTCATGTATTATACTTATAAATCATAAACCTTGTAATTAGGATATAATTAAGGAATTATTGTTGCTTTTGCAATAACCCAACAACTCCTTCTAAAAATAAGTATTATGAAAAAATAATTTATTCATATAACTGCATTTAAAAAATGTGTTAGGTATATAAATGTATACATATATAATATGTATTTATATACAGAGTGATTTCTTTATCATAACCCACTCAATTACTTACGGAATAAATATGATTTAAACATTTTTTTTTTGGTTATCTTTAGTTACACATTATTCTTGAATTATTAACTATGTAATACTTTCTAAGTTCATCACTGATGCCTTGTAAGGGTATTAACTTTGTTTTTTTAAACGGAAACATATATTTTGATTTTTATAAAATGTTTGAGTCTTTAATTTAATGGTAAATGGCTTTTTAATTTTTATTATAACTATTCATTTATTAGCTATAAATATTTAAAGTTTCAAATTTTTGGAGTTATTATACATGTTTAATACACAAGGGATTACAAATACAGGTAGCTAATTGGTTTTTTATGACGTAGCTGTCAAAGACATTGAGTTTTTATTGTCAATTATGACTATAAATATATACAGGGTGTTCATTGTTTGTAACAATGAGAACAATAGAAACCCGTTTCCTGACTTACTGAACACCCTGTATACTTTCTGTATAGCCAGTTAGTGTATTAACTCACAACAATGTGCCTTATTAACATTAATAATAAATGCTGTGTACCTGTGAATATCGATATCATAAAAAACCAATAAGCTACCTGTATTTGTAATCCCTTGTGTATTATACATCTATATTAGCTAAAAAATTTGAAACTTTAAATGTTTATATTTAATAAACAAATTAAGTTATAATAAAAATTTAAATGACATTTACTATTAAATTAAAGACTCGAACATTTTATTAAATTCAATATAGACAGCACATCCGCTTCTAGAGACTGATGAATTAACAATTAACTATTATTGCTAAATTGGCAATAGTCCAAATTATTATAAAAACCCAAAAGACCTGCCCATCTTGGTCAGTCGACTCCAGTGCTTTGTGTCATTCATCAGTCTCAGTACTCGGTTGTTGCTGTCTGGCTTTAAAAAGTCTTTGTTTTTCCTTTTTAAACTACTTACATTTCAGAGTACTTACGTATTGCACTTCGTCTGCACCTCGTACTCTGTTGTCCTGTTTACCTGGTACGCCTAGTATTTGTGTCTTACACTTCATCTGCACTTCATACCAAGGTGTTATCCTTATTCCCTTCCTCTAGCAACGGCTTTTCGACACCCACAGCTAACCCGGAGTGTCAGCCGAGCACGGTAACTGCTGTATTATTACACGCATGTGAATACCCAGTCAGAAGACTCAACGTCAGCGTCTTCTTAGTCCTTTTTTCTTTTATTTGTATTACAACACACCCTTACAAGGTATAAGGGATGAACTTAAAAAGTATTAGATAGTTAATAATTCAAGAATAATGTGTAGCTAAAGATAACCAAAAAAAAAAAGTGTTGGAATTATATTTATTCTGCAAGTAATCGAGTGGGTTATGATAAATAAATCACTCTGTATATTTATATACAGAGTGTTAAATTTAAGACAAACCAATATTTTTCTTGGAAACTATTGAAAATTAAAATCATCGTAAAATAAAACTAAACAATAATTTTAAAGCAAATAATTTTGTTTTCATCCCTTCCGTTTTAAAAGATCTAAACTTTAAATTCCTTAAAGGTAACTTCTACTATTTGTTTAATGATATGATAAAAAAAAAATTTTAAAAAATATTATTTTTATAATATTTTTTATTCGATGATCCGTTCTTCTGTATTGTTCGTTAAATTTTAGAAAATGTTGAATAATTTTATATTAATTATTTGTTGTTTAGCGTATAGTAGTTTGTTATAGCATTAACATTTTCGATTGTTAGTTTTTTTATAATTACTACGAAAAAAAACTCTTTCTGTACTTATGTAATAAATTGTTTAAGTATAAGAAGTATACTAAAATGAAGTTAATTTTTTATATATTCTAATTAAATGTCATTAGGACCCATGTTTTTAAATAAAATATATCAGTTTTAAAATACAAAAATTAATTAATCAATATTCCTAAAATTTGTGGTTTTACAAAACATTAAAAATAAATACTTCACTTTATTAAATCATATCAACTTAATAATATTATGTATTGAAGTTAATGACGCGAACGTATACATTTTTCTTTTAAATATTATTAACAAATTCTTAGATTTATGTTGAATACACTTTTATTGACTTTCATTTTTGGTGGTTTTCGATGGTGGAATACGCCATTCAACACATTATCACCAATAGGTATTCTTAAAGTGTTGGTGTTAATTTACTATGCTTGATAATTTGTTTCTAAAATTCTTACGTGGTTTTTTAAAAATACTAAGTTAACAAAGTATAATCATTTATTCTGTTCATGTATCCGATACTCTCTTTGAATATTTTATTATATATAATGTAAAAAGATTTGATAAATTCAACGTTTTTCATGGTAATTACTTTAAATATAATTATAATCAAGAATGGATTTTGAATATCAGTGTTTGACTTATTAAATAGTTAATAGTTTAAGATTTTAACTAAGTTTAGTAGGGGAAACAAAAATAAATACGAAGTATTGTTGTGATGTAATAATCAGAACTTTATTTCAAGTAGAAAGAAATAAATCTTCACTGGCATAAATGTACTCATATTGCGAATAATACTTAACTTAGTTTTAAAAAATATAAAATTTATTTTTAATTATAATGTTCAATAAGATTTACATTCACAAAAATTTGTTCTTAACTTACCACAGGCGTAACGATAGCGCTCGACATATTTTTTTTATACATTTAGTAACCCTACCACATTTAGAAAAGTTACAAGTTTGCATACTCCTATCTACACGAAAAACATCAAAGGCTAATTCTAAACTAAAAATGTCATTACTGAGCCAAATATCTGTTAAAATAAAACAAAACGGTAGCACAGTGGGGTCGTGGAACAATATGGACGTGTTATGGTTGGAACAAGTATAGACGATATCTGACAGTTATATAAATCACTATCATAAGAAACACTTAGATGCAAATCTGTAGATAATGTTTAATTTTAAAACATTGGCGGATAACTACAAAAGCAACATCAACTCCTATTTCCTTAATTATATCCTGATTAGTGGTTCTTTGATTTAAAGGTATAATATATGAATAAATATATATATAATATCATTTTTAAGTTTTGATATTATTACTAATTACATATAAAATAATAATTAAAAGAATGAAAGGGGTATAAAAAATACTTATAAGAATAAAATTCTATTGATTCATACATTTTTCCAAAAGTTTTAGCAATATAAATTAAAAAATATAAAATTAAGAATTTTTCATAAAAATCGTACATTTTTCTTTAAAATTGATGTCCGTTTTCCCCATGAAAACAAGTCTAGAGGTCAAATTTATTTTACGAAATAAAGTATATAATATAAGCTTTAATTTAAGGTATATATATGAGTGTTTGTATTTCCGGAATATTTTCTAAAAGTTAAGATGAAAAAGTTAATTGTTTGTGAAAAAGTTATCATTTTGAATTCCCCCTGTGGGAGGGTGAAGGATCAGATTTTCAAAAAAATATATGAAATGATTGGTAAATATATAAGGTACCTATAAAAAAATTATTTATTGATTTGTTCATTTTTAAAGAAGTTATGGCCGTTTTAAAGAAAGAAAATTGAAAAAATGTCAAAAAATACCATTTTATAAAATTGTAATTTTGTTAGCGATTTCCCCTATTTACGGATGACAAGTGAATTTTTTTCAATTTTTGAGGGTAATGTCTTCAATTAGATACAATTTGTGATCGTTTGACGTATTGTTCATCAAAATCGGTCTAGTGAGAGCTGTGATTGAATAGCAACAGACACAAAAAAATAAAAAAACACATCATAGTAAAATTAATACCTCATCAGCTTCGCATCGAAGCTAAAAAAAGTTACTAAAACATAAAAGGTTTATCATCTTGTCATCTAACAAGAAAGTTTAGAATTTCACATACATTTTTTTTATATAAACTTTAAGTTATAATAAGGTTAAATCTAAAATTTTAACTAGATTAAGTCAATATTGAATAATCTGTCTGTTTTTTAACATTCTGGCTATTTTTAACATTTTTTACATTGAAATAACCATAAAAATGGGAAGATTAATAAAAAAAAAAAAATGTTTCAATCTAAATATAGCATATAGAATAAACCCTGAAAATTTAAGAAAAAAATGAGTTGGTCGTGCAGCAACTTCTGGATGATTTGGTATGGATTGACCCACTATAGTGAATATAAGCTTAAACTAAAATTAAATTTTAATTTTCGGCATTTCGACATTCAAATTTTTCTTTTCAACTTTTCAATCTAAAATAAAATCTGCTATATATTTTTAGAGAAAAAAAAATCATTTACAATTACCCCAATCGTGTACAAATTAATAAGTGAACTCTTCTTTTTTGCTTCATTGTGCATTATAACGTTACACTGAAAGTTATAATTTCTGACTATTGTGTTGTAATCAGTATACTTTGATATTTAAACATTACTCACAGTCACTGTATAACGCGTTTTACAAAATAAACAAAACGTGGTAAAGTTTAAATATCAAAGTTTACTGATTACAACACAACAATTAAACATTATAACTTTCAGTGTAACGGTATAATTCACAATAAAGCAAGAAATTAAAGTTCACTAATAATTAAGTATAAATTCATATTTGGTCAGTATAAAATGTGTATAAGATATTACCAAGAAATAATACACATCAACAAATGTATATATATATACACATTTATTTATACCGATTATCAAACTCAAACGGATATAGGAATCATAAAATAAACGTCATTTCACGTTTATCAAAAAAGTCAAAAATCGCTTTATTATATATTATTTTTCTACTATATCGTTAAAATTCAATTTCCAAAGAATCATTATATATTATAAAATATATAAATCAGAGCTTTTATATAAAATAAAAATTATCGAAATCAAAGCACGCAAAGTAGTAACATTTTTATTCACCTTGATATTTTCGATAGCAAGAATCGATAATTGTAAAATCAAATGATGCTTTACAGTTTTATATGAATAAAAACTCCTAAATTTCCTAGAATTGAAACAGCCACTTTAATAAGTCATTAAGATAAGGCCGCGTCAATGACGATAATTTTACGCTAGTGGTAGTTTGTCCGCTCGACCAAAAAGCGTTGTTTTTTACAATTATTTTGCATTTTTACATAAACTTATAAATCATTTAATCTTGTTAGTATTCATCTTAGAGTTTTGAAATTTTGAGGAGGCAAAGAATATAACAGTTAGAAATGTTTGTAATGAGCTTTTTAAGATATCACTATTCAGCAATGATTTATTGCAGTTAAAAAAAAAAAAAAAATTATTTTTTAAACAATTACACTCAAACCAAAAGTCCCCCCCAAAAAAGCCTATTACAATCATTTCGAAATAATGTTTTTTAAATATCCTCAAAATATCAAATTTCTACGATCACTTTAAACCGTATAATATGAATTATACTTTTGATCATTTTCAAGCCTAAAATTATGGCGGTGTAGCGTCCTCTTAAATTAAATTATTTTGAGTTATTCTACGTTTAAATTTAAATTGTTTATAAATATTTAATGTTGGTCATTTATTTTATTTTAATAACAGTCTTTTAACATATAAAACTGTTATATATATATAACTGTTATTAAGAATTTTATACAAAGATAATATTCTTTTGAGAAAATAACAGTAACTGTAATTTTGAAAGTAACAATAAAAGTTTGTAAGAGTAATCAAGATTGATAAAAAGTTGCTATCACTAATGCACATCTGCTGGGAGCTTGTAGAAATAAGACTATACTATAATACAGCGAAGGGCAAAAACGTTATGGCCACAGATTATATGAAAACTTTTCATGTAATCTGTGGTATGACAGATGGATAGAACAGTACGGCTGTAGCAAAATACTTTACGATGGATGGGTGAGAACCATACACAACATTAAGGACATCATGGTTGGTAGTTCTGTTGGCGTTGGATGTTCAATTTAGGTCGAATTTTAGGTATTACCCCTACTAACACTATTTACTTTACCTAGACTTTTCTTAGTTTGATGTTAAAATTTTTCTTTGAAACTTTTACAACTTATTAGTGGCTAAGGCTTAAGATGTTTGACCAGAGCTATTTTTACATTAAATAATATATTAACATAAATTATATGAAATTTCATATAATCTGTAGCATAAAAGAGTGCTAATAAATAAATCTGATTCAACCAGTGGTGTAATTAAGACTTTACTGTCCTGGGTATTCTCCAGGATAACAAAATCTTAAAAATATTATTTTTAATTGGAATAATATATTTGTAATATTTTGTCTTTAGAAAATTTAGTTTATCCTATTTCACTGTATAGAATTAAATTATTTGTTATAAAAGGTAATTTTGCTTCTAAGATACCCCTTAAAATATTTCGTTTTTTTCGGGATCATTTTCCCCCAACATGCATCACTATGTTACTTTCATAAATATTTAAATATAAAAATGATTTAGGTCTTATTAATTTATTGATTTATTAATTGTATTACATACAACTACTAAATGCTGTAAAAATCTTGGGCCAAAGAAATTATTGTATACTTTTTATAATTTCTTTGAATTTAGATTTTTCAATTCCAATATTATCATTATGGTAGCATTGTAAACCATATCACTTTATATAAATATTATCAATACTTGTACATTTAGTCGTAGATTATATTTTATAGATTGAATAAACATATGTTATTGATTCGTGTAAGATACTTTTTTGTAATAGACTATTATGTTTTATTATTTAAAGTTAGAAGGCATTTTTGAATAATTTGACTATACATAATAGGATTTTTTTTACAAAAATATGTTTAAACAGTAAAAGTAATTTTTATTGAAAGTCCCTGTGTCATTCTGAGTAAAAAGTTACAGTATCTTGAAATCCTAATTTTAACTAAAAAACGTTACATTACGTGGACAAATGTTATTTTGATTTTATAGCAAATATTTAAATATCTTATCTAAGCTATGAATCAAGAAATAGATCATCACAATACAATGGTTTGTTTTTAATTATTTACTGTAATTACATTCTAGGTTTATATTTATATTATTCATAATTTTGTAGCTTCATAGTTTCACATTCCCTATTTCTTTAAAAAAAATAAAAAAACGATTCAACTAGAAAATGACTGCTTGATAATAATTTAAAAAAATAGCACTCTCACAGTATGAAGGGAGAAGTAAAATGGTTTTGTTTATTTCTGAAATATCAAACCATAATNTTTCAACTAGAAAATGACTGCTTGATAATAATTTTTGAATTATTTATACCAAAAAAATAATTTAAAAAAATAGCACTCTCACAGTATGAAGGGAGAAGTAAAATGGTTTTGTTTATTTCTGAAATATCAAACCATAATACTCCTCCTGTCCTTTTATAAAATGATTTACATCTCGAAATTATCATGAAAATAGGGTAGTGACCCTTTTTCACATATTAGCAAGTCAAAGATGAATATTGTTTAGGCTAATGAAAGACGGGATGGGTATTATGGCTAGTTTGCACCAGAGTTCAGATACCACCAATGAGAAAATCACAAGAAAAATCTCATCAGCACCCAGAAGATTGAATCTAGGATCCCTGCACTGAAACATACATTTCCACCCACTAGGACAAGCCAACACTTTTAATAAAAATGCTAATATGTTTTTTAATTATTGGTTCAAAAATTGTTATTGATCAGTAATTTTCTTATTTTTAAGCTAATTAAACACATATATTTGCCATTTAAAAAACTTAAGTTGATACTATTTTAAAGAGGTGAGAGGAGGATAAAACCAATTTTTTTTTTTAATTATAGAACATGGAGTAGATCGACCCCAAGTTACTTTTAAGTAAAATTAATTTGTTCATTTAGTAAATCTGTGTTACTATAGTCAACAAATACTACAAGTATATGCTTTTTAATTTTTTATCTTAAAATAATTATATAAAAGTATTATGTATTAGAAAATACATAATATTATATGTAAATATATAATTATTACATAAAAAAAAAAATTATATGTGTATAATTTTCGTTTGTATTAATTGTACAATACTAAATGATTATTTTCTAGCATTATTAAACTATTAAGAAAATATAGTTATAATTATATGAACTTTAATATTGTGTGTACAAACTAAAAATATTTCATGTTGTATTATGTAGAATATACCCCCTCCAGTTTATTCAAATGTTGTTACTGTGGTGCAGTCTAATTTGCCGGAAAATAGTAATGTTGAATCAAGTCGACAGAATACTGTAAATACAATACCAATGCCAGTAAGTGCTTACTAAATGAGTGTCATTAATGAAATATTACTAAAATATTATTTTTAGCATTACGATATCCTACCACCTAGACTAGACTTATCAGCTCCACCTCCTTATGAAGATTGTAATCCAGATCTTGTAAAATTACCTACTTATGAAGAAGTACAAATGGAAAAACAATTGGAAGGAGAAATGTCTCCTAGATTACCAGTATGTTAATCATAAAATTATATAAGTTTTAGCAATATTTAATGTATTATAATTAATTGTTTATTTTATAAGTATGCTAAGTTAATTGGGATTTTATATTTCATGAACTAAAAACTCTCAACTCTAATTCTAGTATTTGAAAAGGACAGGTCTCTTAGTGTACAATCCTATTTTAAGGGTATACAAGACCACAATAAAAAACCTTAAGAAAAGAAACAACATAATATTATTGAGGGGTGTAAAATATAAACCTAAAATGTTTTATTACCTTAAATTGAGAAATTCCTATGTGCTAATTAAAACAGACCAGACAAGTAAAAATTTTAGGTGTGAATATAAAAACACATTTTTTAATATCAAGAGTTTTATTCAATTAAATTAAGTGATTAAGACTAGTTGGGGAATGATAAAGTCAGAATTTGATTTAATCTAAAAGAAAATATTTATATCAGTAAGCAAAAATTAGACATTTAGCATTGTAGAGAATTGAGTTTCTTCTTCTTTTTCCTAGCCTTTATCTCAACTACTTAGGGTTGGCCACCCCTCATCCTAAACTTCTACTTGATATAATGTCCCATATTATTCACGCACACATCAGCCGTCCTTATATTGAATTCAATAACATCCTTTCATCTCTTTTTGAATGAAACTATAATTAACATATTACCTTTACCAAGAAGACTAAGAAGCTAATAAAGAGAGTGTGGTCAACCGTATCAAAGATTTAGTAAAGTCCAAAGAAATAACATTAATCTGATTTAAGAAAATTGCAAACTAAGAGTTAAAAATACAAAGTACAGAATTACCCTGGGTGTTAATGTAGAATAACCTGGATAAAAACCATGTTGTTTATTTATTAATATAGAGGGATATATACAGATTAATTCTTTAAACATTACACACTTGATAAAATAATGATATTGAAATTTTATTTTTTGGCTATTTAATTTCATATTCTTTTTAATATATTAAGCATTAAGTACTTTTTCGGTTCATACCTTATACAATACAAGGGAGTCAAATTAATTTTAATGGCAATATACATGTTTAACTAGCTTAAAAAAAAATTACTGATTAATAACAACTTAGATCAATACATTGGAAGTTGTTCACATTTTTATACTTTGGTAGGGGCAGTAATGTAGCCTAGAAATATCTAATGATAAAAATAGCAATACCCATGCTTTATCTTCAGTCTATATCTTAAAATGCTAATAATGGTCGAAGAATAAGTCCACAATTTATTATTGACTGGTAATTTTCATAATTAGATCATTATCTTATTTGAAAACTTTGCATTGTTTATATAAAAAAGTAAGTGTAAAAATTATTTATGCTGTTATTTAAAAATTTCAATTTGATACTCTGTTATTGTATAATAGTTGAATTGTAAAAGTACTTTGATTGATAAATTTATAAGTTATATAACTGAAAAAAAGAAAAAAATACTCAGTATAATTATTATTTTAGAAGATATCTCAAGTGGCTAATGTTTAAAACATCACCCTACGTAGTGAAGAACTATAGTTAATAATTTAGTGATAAGATAAAGTTTACTTGTTAGATTATGTTAGTAACATCCATAAGTATTAAGAATAAGTGAAGTAGAGGCAATATTTAATATAGAGAAAAAATACTAGCTTTTAGAGATTCATTAAAAAGTAAAATGAAAATATAGTTATTAATTTTGTAACTTTATGAAAAGTTGGAAAGTAATGATTTTAAACATGTTATAGATGAAAACTTAAACATTTAAAGATAATTATTTTATTTTTTGTCAAAGAATGTTAATATAAACTGATTTCTAATTTGCTTGGTTATATGTGTAATATTTTTTTCCTCTTTAATAATTATTATGAAATAGTACTAAGAAAATGTTTTAATTTTTTCAAGGGAAGAATAATTGGACCACCACCTCATGTAGGATTAAATTCTCAAGAGGTATGATTAATAATTTTATATTATTATTTTAGCTTTGATGCAAAGCTGAGAAGCTGAGAAGGTATTAATTTTACTATGATGTGTTTTTTTTTTGTGTCTGTGAACGCTCAATCTCAGCTCTCGCTAGACCGATTTTGATGAAAAATATGTCATAAGATCACAAATCATATCTAGTTGAAGACATTACCATCAAATTTTGAAAAAAAATTCCCTCGTTTCCCGTAAATGGGGAAATCCCCCAAACAATTACAAATTTAAAAATCTCTAATTTTCGACATTTTTTCAATTTTTTTTACTTAAAATTGCCATAAATTTTTTAAAAATTACCGAATGATTATATATATTTTTTTTTATAGATACCTTAGGTATTTACCTAACATTTTACATATTTTTGTGAACATTTGACCCTTTACAAGCTTCCAGGAAGGGTTTCAAAATAGTAATTTTTTTACAAAAAATTAACTTTTTCAACTTAACTTTTGAAAATGTTCCGGAAAGACTGACTTTTTTTATATATACCTTAAATTAAAGTTAATGTCATGTACTTTAATTTGAAAAAAAAAATTTGACATCTGGACTTGTCTTCATGGTAAAAATGACTTCTATATGCAGAAATATGCTATTTTTGTGAAAAAATTCTTGATATATCTTACATTTTTTAACATTATGTTGCTATAACTTTTTAAAAATTGCATGAATCAATTTTATTCTTTTATGATTTATACTTTATATATACCTCTTTCATTCGACATACTTTTTTTTTAAATCGGACCATTTCCCTTTATACAGGGGGGGTTTGAACCTTTAAAAATGCGTATAGAAAATAGAACTTTTTCAACTTAACTTTTGAAAATGTTCTGAAAAGACTGACACTTTTATATATGTCTTAAATTAAAGCTTATGTAATATAGTTCGATTTGAAAAAAAAAAAATTTCACCTCTGGATTTGTCTTCATGGTTAAAATGACTACAATATTCAAAAATATGCTATTTTTGTGTTAAAGTTCTGGGTTTTGTATTTTATTTTATTTTAAAATACCTGACAAAGGGAGTACAGATTTTTATAAATATTATATAAATAAAAAATTGATATAGCATAGAAAGTTAAACTTATTTTAATTTTTTTTCTTTTTGAAGTTGAGAAAAATAACTTAGAAATTTGAACTAGCTTAAATAACCAATTTTTTCAGCCGATAGTAGCGACGTACAGTTGCCGAGTAGGTAATTACATGTAGTTATTACATGTTCTTCATAAAGACCATTAAAATAATTAATTTATAATGTTTTCAAAGTATTTATTGACAACTTATATTATATGATATGATAGGTTTCAACTACAAAATTAAATCATTTTACTTTGTAATTTAATAATTTTATTACTCTATTTGTGTGTGCTACTATTAGACTATAATATTACAAAAATTTTGTTAACATGTTATATAAATCATTTTTAAAAATAAATGATTGTTAGTTTCTCCTGAATTAATAATGAATTTTTACAATTAAAATCAAATTTTATAATACGCTCAATTGAGTAATTTTTTTTAACAACTTTGTTTTGATTGATTCTTTTAGTTAAAGTAAATCATTAAAATTAATTAACTTCTGAATATTTCAATTGTAGAATCTTTTTATACACCAAAAGTTATTAGGAAATTATTACTATTACTTCTATTTAAGTTATCTATTACGATAAAAATGCAAAAAAATATTGATCTACTCTGATAAATTTACTATAAATAGTAATTATAAAACTTCTTAATTTCATATTTATCTTAACGATACAATTTTTTTAATTCTCATAAAATTTTCTATTTAATGATGTCAATTTCAAACTTGCCAATTGAGCTAAAAGTTATGGTAAAATAAATTTTTTTTTGTTTTTTATAAACATTCACAAAAATCTACTTTAAACGATTAAAAATGTAGGTTAAATGTGTCATTTTCCTTATTTTTAACATATTAATAATCAATATCAGTATTAATTTAAAACAATTTTTTTTTGTTCTTAATTATTTTTTTTTATATATAAATACTTATTTTTTAATAATAAGTAATAATATTAAAAGTTAGAAGTAATAGAAAAAGTCTAATTGCACATTTAAAAATATGGCGAAAAGTTGATTTAGAAAAGTAGATTTTTGTTTCTGATGAAAGTTCCTTGTAGTCCAGTGCATAAAACTTATAACCTTGTTAACTGTTATAACTTTATCAAAAATGTCCAAATCGGTATAATTTCTTTTTATATAGATGCATGTCTTTACTTATCATTTAGTTTTTTTTTTTATAAATCTAACCCTTTACCTGCCCATAAGAGGGATTCAAAATCATAACTTTTTTTTTAGCTTCGATGCGAAGCGTAGAAGGTATTAATTTTACTATGATGATGATGTTTTTTTTTTTTTTTATGTCTGTTGCCACTTTTTCTCAGCTCTCACTGGACCGATTTCTTTCAAAAATACGTCAAAAGATCACAAATCGTATCTAGTTGAAGACATTACCCTTAAAAATTGAAAAAAATTCCCTCGTTCCCCGCAAATGGGGGAAATATCCAAAAAAATTACAAATTTAAAACTCGCTAATTTTCGAAATTTTTTCACTTTTTTTTCTTAAAACTTCCATATAAAACATAAATCTTTTTCAACTGAACTTTTGAAAATGTTCCGGAAATACTGCGTCCTTTAAACATACATTAAATCAAAGGTTATGTTATATACTATCAAATGAAAAAAAAAAATTTGTCCCGACATCTTATCTTCTATGTGCAAATGGCTGTCGAAAATTAAAAAAAAATGTAATGATTGCGATAAAAATTACCTTTTATCGGGATGTTTTTTGTACTTAAAACAACTGCCATAACTTTTTCAAAAATGAACAAATAAAAATAATATTTTTTTGTATTTAAACCTTAGATATTTCCCTTTTATTTGATATAATTTTTTTTGAAAATCTAACACTTATTCTGCTCACTGGGGGGATTTAAAATAGTAACTTTTTTACAAAATAACTTTTTCAACTTAATTTTTGAAAATGTTCCGGAAATACTGCGTTCTTTAAACATATATCAAATTAAAGCTTATTTTATGTACTACAAAATGAAAAAAAAAAATTTGTCCCGACACTTTTTTTTCTACATTTAAACGGCTGCCGTAGTTAAAAAAACACTATTTTTGTGTTAAAATTTTCGATTTTCGATTTTAAATTTTCAACTTAAAAATGCTATAACTTTTTGAAAAATGTATATATCAGCACAAATTTTTTTTTTCTAAATACATTATAAGTACATCTTTCATTTGACATACTTTTTATTAAAATTGGACAATTTCCCCTTATATAGGGGGCGTTCAAAACTTAAAATATTGTAAAAAACATAGATCTTTTTCAACTGAACTTTTGAAAATGTTCCGGAAATACTGCGTCCTTTAAACATACATTAAATCAAAGGTTATGTTATATACTATCAAATGAAAAAAAAAAATTTGTCCCGACATCTTATCTTCTATGTGCAAATGGCTGTCGAAAATTAAAAAAAAATGTAATGATTGCGATAAAAATTACCTTTTATCGGGATGTTTTTTGTACTTAAAACTGCCATAACTTTTTCAAAAATGAACAAATAAAAATAATATTTTTTTGTATTTAAACCTTAGATATTTCCCTTTTATTTGATATAATTTTTTTTGAAAATCTAACACTTATTCTGCTCACTGGGGGGATTTAAAATGGTAACTTTTTTACAAAATAACTTTTTCAACTTAATTTTTGAAAATGTTCCGGAAATACTGCGTTCTTTAAACATATATCAAATTAAAGCTTATTTTGTGTACTATAAAATAAAATAAAAAATTTTGTCCCGACGACCTATCTTCTATGCGCAAATGGCTACCATATTTAAAAATATGCTATTTTAACAAATTTTTTTTTTTAATTAAACACTATCTATAGATTTGCATTGATGCGTTTTTTATGATAATGATTTTAATCACTGTCAGATATCATCTATACTGGACCCAACTATGCCACGACCCCACTGTGCTGGGTTTTTTTTTTTTAGTTTAAGTAAATCATTAAAATTAATTCAGTTCTGGATATTTCAATTGTAGAATCTTTTTAAATACCACAAGTTACTTAGAAATGATTATTATGATTTCTATTTAAGTGTTCTATTACGATTAAAATTTAAAAAAATAATGAGTTTTTCTGATAATTATACTGTAAATAGTAATTATAAAATTTCCTGACTGCATATTAATCTTAAAAATAGCATTGTTTTAATTCTCTTAAAATTTTCTATTTAATGATGTCAATTTCAAACTTGTAATTGAGCTAAAAGTTATGGTAACATATTCAACTTTTTTTACTATAAACTTTCACAAAACTTTATCAAAAATTTTTCATCAACTTTAAAAGACAAAAAAAATAGGTTAAAAATGAAAATTTGAACTCATTATTTTTAGCATATTAAAAATTAAATCAGTAATAATTTGAAAAAAAAATTTATTATTATTATTATAATTCTTTTAATTATTATTTTATATGTAATTAGTAATAATACAAAAAATTAGAAGTGATAGCAAAAGTCTAATTGCAGATTAGAAAACAATGAAAAAAGTTGATTTAGAAAAGTATATTTTTGCTTCTTATTAAAGTTCCTTGTAGTCCAGTGCATTTATTTATAGTAACAAACAGTTTTTATTGAAAAATATTCTATCAAGCCTCTAAATTTTTATACACTTAAAAGTAAAGCAAAATATAACTTGTTATTTTTATAATTTCTCCGTATAAATTACAATATTAAATTATTGAATATCAATTTCATACTAAATTTAATAACTATAATTAGTATTTATTCATATATTATATTTTAAAATAAAAGAACTACTAATCAGGATTTAATTAAAGAAATAAGATTTGATGTTGTTTTTGGAATAATCCACCAATATCTCTAAATGAAGCACTATCTTGCTTGCTTGACACTATCTACAGATTTGCATCGAAGCGTTTCTTATGATAGTGATTTTAATCACTGTCAGTTATCATCTATACTTGTCCCATCTATGCCTCTTCCACACTGTGCCTCGACCCCACTGTGCCACTGTAATTTCATCCTATTTTATTATTATGGCAGATTGAATTTTACTATATCATATAATTGTTATATTATTTTATTTTATATTTTCATTTAGATTTCACCTCAAACTTTGACAGTTTTAACTATTGATGCTGCTCAAAATACTTGTGAAATAGATACAAACTTGCTCGGAACAGACTACATGTTTTTGACAGCTTTTTTGGGTAGTATTTATGTTTTTTTTTTTTTTTGATAAATAGTTATTTTTCATAATAATGTATGACACTATAAATTTAATTTTAAAATATATTTTGCTAAACAAATTTTACTAAGTGTTGTAACAATAATTAATAACTTTTAATTTTCAATGATTATTCCATAAAGTTATTACAAAACATTGATATAAATGGTTAGCTCATTAAAAACTAAAATTAAAAATTATGAACATTTCAAAGTAGCTGTTTTTTAGAGATTTTATTCTAAAAATTTTTAATGTGTCAATAACAATTATAGGCCAAATATTTATTAAAGGGTTGTAAGTATTTTGACACATGAGGGTATGTGTGTACAGATTAAGTTTGCGTTATAAATATATACCAGTACAAGCTGTATCAACCTATGCTACATACTCATTCTATGTATTAAAATGCTTATAACTCAGTAAGTATCTGTCCTAATAATTTTTTCTACCTTTGAATCATTTTTAGCAAAAAAAAGTGTTAAAACAAGCTTTTTTAAAAAATGATAATTTCTTTTTATTGTTATTAACTCATTAGTCCCCAAGATTAGAAAAAAACTAATTTTATGTTTTACAGCATTTTATTACTTAAGTATATACTCATACAACAATTTATTAAGTAAAAAGAAAATACTTTTTTCAGTATTTTAAAATAAAATGTTGTGTATATGCAACATTAGGATTAAGCATGTACTTTATTTTATTAAAATATTAAATGAAGATTTTAAAATTTCAAAAAATTTTTATTAATTTTCTATTTTATTAGACACAAATAATTAAAAAATGATTTTAACATAATATATACAGAATTTACATGTACATACCTCATATTTTTTGAAGATATTCTAAAAGTATAAATTATAGATTATTATCATTAAAATCGTCAGTTTTAAAATTAGTGATTAATAATATTTTTTATGATATTTAATGAAATTTTTACAAAATACATAGAGGTAAAATATATATATAGGGATTATTTTATTATTTATTACTTTATTTATATTAAAATAATAACAAATCATTTTTACATTTACTTTTATTTTTAGTGGCACTAATTTTCAATTGGGTTGGCTTCTTAGCTCTAATGTGTTTGTGCCAAACCGTTGCAGCTCGCTATGGAGCTTTAGCTGGATTTGGTCTATCGCTGGCTAAATGGACAATGATTGTAAAACGCAACACAGAAATGAGTGATTTATCACCAGAAAATCGTACTAACACATGGCTTTGGTGGTTAGTCATGGCATTTGGGTTTTTAATCTGTATACGAGCTGTTATACAGTATATGAATATTAAACGTGGTTGGAGGTTACTTAGTGTACCTGCCCAAGAACGCGTTCTATACTTTTATTAAAAAACGATCTGATTTTAATTTGATTCTTAGTTTTTACATAAATAAATAACATATAATTTTTAAAACATAATGGACAAATTGACCTTCTTAGTTAATTTTATTTAAATAGTGCAGAAAAAATTTTTTTAATAATATTATATTTAGATAGCAATTATTGATTAATCTAAATTATACATTAAATAATTCTCATAGTTTAAAACATTATAAGAAATTATTTTTATTCTAAACTTGGATTTTTTATTAAAGTAATTTATGTAAGCTTCTTAAAAACATTTAAAATTATTTGACATTGGTTTTTTTGTTATATTTATTTATTAATATGATTAAATTTACTTAAAAATTTAAATGTTTTATTATAAAAACTTAAAAGAGTGATAAGTATATTATTTTTTTAGTGACAAAGTTTTTCTTTTTTTACTGAGTTTTCTATTATTAGAATATTATTTAATTTTACTATTTATAATAACCGAGTTATTGTAAAATTATAAAATAGTGAGTTCAATCCACCAACTGTGATTATTAGCATTTTTGTTTGTAATTTCTATCAACAATTATTTTTTCATGTTATTTTTAATCTCTATATTTTTTACTTGGTTTATGTATTTGTTCTACTGATCATTTTCATATATAGTTATTTATAACGTACATTTCCAGTTTTAAAAAAATAACATTTGCATATCATAATTATCCAGAATGATATATTAAAATCAATTTATGAACTTAAATTTAATAAACTTTTAAATATAAATGATTTCAAAATAATTTTATATTGACTTAAAGAATAATTTCAAATAAATAAAGAAAAATAAGTAACACAATATAACTTAAATATAACTTTTTTTTATTAGTACTAGCTTGTAACTAAAACATACATATTTTATAAGTAAAAAAATGTAAACAACAAAGTATAATTTTACTAGTCTTTATTTTTTATACATACACTTTATAATAACAGTTTAGACTGTTTTATTGTACTCGTATATGTATAAATGTTAAAAATTATAAAATAAACATTGTATAAAATGTGTAAAGTGTGGAATAATTAATACTCCATACTGTTAAAAGTAATCTGTATTTGTCTTTATATATATTATCGACATAAAACATTTGAATAGTAGTTCCAGTAAAATATCTTAATACATATTAAGAATTTTAAGTTAATTTTTCAAAATATTAAATATAAATTAATTTTTTTATTTGTTTTGTTTAATAAATGTTTATTGTATAAATTTTAAAGTTTATTTAAAATATGTTTTCATGTATGAAATTATGTACAATTTTTGTATATTAACAAAGAACTTTTTTTTAATTACAAGTAGGAGTAGATACTTATGAGTACAAAATCTAATCATTAAACTAAATAAAATACATATTTTATTTTTTCCTCTATACAGAATGTCTCACCAAGTTTTAACATTTTTAACTTTTAATCCAGTGAATATTTTGCGTTACTTTTTTTAAAAATAATTTTTATACTTTTAGACTATGTTAAAGAGTTTTCTTTATTCGTCTTATACACAAAAAAAAAAAAATCTCAGTAAAATTAATAGCTTTTCAGTGCATATCCAGCGTAAAAGAAATGATGATAGATATAAATTCTTTCATAACAAATATAACAACAAAGGAAAATACATTTATTATGTAGTGTTCAGTAAGTAAGGAAACGGGTTTCTATTGTTTTCATTGTTTGTAACAATTCACCTGTTTCCTTACTTACTGAACATCTGTATACGTGGATACCTTTATCCACGAATAGTACCTTATACAGGCTATGTAGTGCTTAGGCACTGCCAATTTGGTAAATTTGTATTTAAAAGTAATTAACCACAGTTATTTTAGATAAAATAGAAAATAATGTCAGTCAGAATACAAATTATACTATTAACTGTAATTAAATTTACAACAAATAAAACGGAAAATAAATAGTAGGCCAATGACGACGAAACAGAAAGGACAAGTGTCGCGTAGAACGTCAAAAACCGAAGACAGCGTTCGTCGCCGGCGTTAGGAGGTCGGTAGCAATTCAGAAGATAAACTTAGCACCTTAGAAAACTGAGATACTCAGGATGGATTCGTGATGTAAAAAGCGACTGGAAAAATGTGCCTATTAAATCTATATTTATACTACTGGTGCCCCTATCCTTCACGACTAAATTAATTATGTCTTTAAAAATTCTTATATACGTGTTTAAGCAATTTAAAGTGAGTACTAAAAATTATCTAATGTAATAACTCCAATTGAAAATGTTAGCTAACCAACTGTTTTAAATATTTTAACCGTTAAAACAATTTAAATTTAAATTGTGTATATTATTTTTATTATATTAATGAATATAATAAATGAAAAATTATAATCTTTCGTTTATTATCAGTAAATAATTTTTAAGTAGTCAATATATTTTATCATATTGCGTCATATTAAACTAATTTAAATAATAATATACTCTTATAAAATAATTTTTTAGTGATGTAATTTTTAGATTAATTAAACTTCAAAACTTTTATTATTCCGATATGTGCCATTTCAAATTATTCCTAAGATAGACATGAAATATTTATATCAAACAGAACGGGAGAACTCTACCCCTCAATGGTGGTAAAATAAAAAGGGGAATAGACCCCCATTGACATACTCATTCTATACAATTTACATAATATAAGTTTTTTTATTTTGGAATCTTTATATATGATATATTATTGAGTGTAGTTAATATGAAAATATTATAACCTACAAATTTGGAAGATCGAATTTTATGTTTGATTATTATTTAAAAGTGTGTAAAATCAATGGCGTACTATTCAAAAAAAAAATTAAATATTTGAAATAGGCTTAATAAAAAGAAATCTATTTATGCATATCTAATAGCTCATAATAAATTCTTGATATAGTAATACAAATAAAAAACCTTTGGGGTATAAGGCATAGCTCTTATGATTATTTTTATCACAAAGGTTATTTTCATTTTCCTCACCCATCATAAAATCAAATAATCGTCACTGCCACCCCCATATTCTGTGAACCCGCTTTGAATCGCTCAATACGTATATTAAAACATAATATTTTTATCACAACAACTCTTTTTTTAACTCTACTCCTGTCTTATTTGTGTACATACAAATTATTTATTTAAAAAATAATTGAACAAGATAACTACGAAAATATGATAATTGTTTTAAAATTTCTTAAATAATAATTGCGATAAGGTCAAATACGCTAAAAATTTTAGTAAGCAAACGTCTTTACGTTAATTTAATTAATTAACTAAATTGTTGAAACCACAGTCACTTTTAAGCTATATCGCAATAACTGTAAGTCTACATCATGTAGTTTTGATTTTATTACTATGAAACTATTTTTTTTTTTTATTAAATAGGTAGCAATTACGTAAATTTTTTTGAATATAAATTAGAGAACATCAATATGTTTTTGTATACTTTGAAATCGCATCTCCGGTGTAACGTCTTCTTAATTTTTTTTTTTTTATTTCCTTTAAAGAAATTATCTAATTTAAAAATGAGTATTATATATATTTATGTATACATATAGTGACGTAACTAATTTATCAGTCCATACAGAATGTTCTAGATTTATGTACAACAATTTTAAGAAAATTTTGTTATTTGATCTAGTTATAGTTAATAAATGTGAATTATTATTTAAAATTATCTTGTAAGTATAATAACCAACCAAACTGTTTAGTTGAATTGTTTCATGAAATATTCTATAATTATTTTATGATTTGGAATAATAACAGTTGATTTAAACATAAAAAATACTAAAATTATAAATGCCTTATAATATTTAATCAAATATAGAATAATATGTGACATCCCATGTCTAATTTATTAAATTAATTTAAATGCATTATCAAAGAATAATTATTGATAGAAAAAATACTATTAATAAGTTTATTAGTGATATTAACAATAATACTCAAATGTCATCAAATTATGATTAACTTTTCACTTTAAAATCCATTTAAAAGATTTCAAATGTATATTTCTTGTGTTATAAAATTGCATTATTTTAGCTTTTATTTTTATTTTATTAAATTATACAAATAAACTACATCCTTGAAACAAATTTTCATTGTTCAATTTCATTTCATAATACTTTAATATTTAAAATAATTACTTGTAAATTTATAATGTATAAATAATTTTTGTTAACAAATAATAATTATTTTACCTTTAATTATACCAGTAGATTGAATTCATGTAGGCTAGGAAACAATGCTTAAGTGGGGGTATCACAAATAAATTTTTTAGATACGATGGAAGATATGCTGCCTATAAAAGAGCTACAGCATGAAAATAATAGTAAGCTTCCAAATTTTTAATTAAAGAAATTATTAATTTTAACTCATTTATTTTTATACCAAAAAATGGCTTGTTCCAGTGTACTTCTATTAGGTGTCATAACTTTCGCTGTTATTGTTTCTACAGAGGTAAGTAGACAAATCGCACTGTAAAAATAATAAGATTACAAATAGATTTGGCGTTTATAAAATCTATCAATTTGTTATCTTTTCATTTATTCAGTATACAAAAGTATATCAAATTATATTGTTCTTAAATTAACTGCAAATATATTTGTCAACAATTTTTATTGCATTGAACGTATATGTAAAATTGTTTAAAACTATTTGGACGTAAAATGAATTATGGCTCATTTTTTAAAACATGTTTTTAGTCTGACTATAAATTCTTATATAACATTATATTAAAATATTATTTGCATTATATTTTGGTCATTAAATTATTTATTAATAATCATGTCAAAAAATCATTATTATCTTTTATGCTTATTGTACTAATATTGTATAAATCAAATAAAAAAAAAAAATTATTTATCATTTTATACTAATTTTTAATATTGATTTCCTAAAAAATGTTTGTAATTGATTTGTGTTCAAATTATTCTGACAGTGCAAAATATAGTTATAATAATTATGATAATTAGACAATAATTAATATTTAATTAAATATATATATACAGAGTGGCATCATAAATAACTTTTTATCTAGTAAATGTTTTACTGTTTTTTTTTTAAATAACAGTTAAAGGTGAGGTCTATAATTTTAAATAGATCAATAATTTATATTTTAAATAAAATGTAAAAAAAAAATCCAAGGTAAATATTTTATAGAGTAGATTTTAATAAAAGATTTGGTAAAAAATATCATATTAATATTCAGTAGTAGATAGTCTGTATCATTTTAAAATTTGTGAAAATTGTCATGTAATTTACATGAAAAATTACGGTAATAAACATTGAAATACGTGTTAATTAAGATAAAAACAGAAGAAAACACTATCTTTTCATGATTACTATAATTTGGAAGTGTGTAGCTATTTCCATGAAAATTACTTACATTTAAAAGATTGTTTAATAATAATACAAGTACTACCACAGAATAAATAAATAAATTCAAATGTATCTGCAATAATTAAATTATATTTAAATACAAGAAATGTTATTTAATTGGTTTACTAATTTAGACTTCAATTCCATTAGGTATAAGAGTAAGAAAATATTTAAAGTTAGTCCAATTTAGTGTACTGTTTCACGAATTATTTGATAATTGACTTATCAAATCATCGTATTAATACCAAGTTTGTAAATGTAATACCATGTAGACCAACTTGTGATAAATAAATTCTATTATATATAATATTTATATCTTCTTCTTTTTTTAATTATTAGAATTTCTTAATCAGAAAGCCCAATAAAAGTATCTAGGTTTCATTAAATATAACATATATTAACTTTCAAAAATAATTTTTTGTGTTTTATGTACTGTCTGATTGTTTTCCAAATCGTATTTTTTTTTTATGTATAACTATTTTAGTGTTTTTTGGGGTAAATAAATTGGTTATTGTTAGAAAATTATATTGAAAGACCTGCAGTTATAATAATAATAAAGCATTCAAGAAACATTTTTCCTAGAGTAGAAAAATAATATCTAGAATCACAAACTATGTTTTTTCCGAACACAATTTATTTTTATTGAACAAATAAGAAACGTCTTTTTTGTTAGATTAACAACATATTTAAGGCGAGTCCCCATAAAAAGTCGATTTAATTATTGATTTTATTCGAAATTCTTTAAAACGTGTTGTAGTTGGTTTATTTTTTTTTAAGTCGGATGTATTATTTATATAAAACATTGAACTAATAAAAAAAAAGTATTTTAAATATCAAAACTTTCTTACAATATTATTGTAAGATAATATAATTACTTTAAAATGCATAAAAAATGACTTTAAAAGCAGTGTCGGATTTTCAACAATTTCCGCGTGATCCTGAAGTATAATATGTAATTGAATACGTTAATGAATTGAATATTTCAAAATATTACTCCAGATGATTAAATTTGTAAATATTGTGTCGGAAGGGTTTATGGTATATGGACACCCATATATTTTTATATATTAGCATATTTCTAACACTGATTAAATGTCTTTGAAATTGCCTTAAGCAAAACTCTTTAAAGTAGTATTATTAATTGTAATTTGATAAAATTCAAGTTCCATCTTCTATTTACGAAAAAATTGTTTTTATAAATTTCACCTATCTAAATTATTTTAAATTCTGTATCAATAATTAGAAATACTAAAATTTTCATAAACATACAATTAATTTTATAGTAAAGATTAGTACTATATATTTAAAACAATATGCGTATAGTCATATTGCTTTCAATGGAGGACGGGAAGTCCTCTTATTGAATTAAGATGATATTTAATCTTGTTTTTATAAACATGTATATTTAAAAGTGTTATATATAGATGTAAATAATATAATACATTTTAAAATTTTCAAGGTTGATTGCGCTCCATCTGATTGGTTAGCAGATGCCAATAGTGCTATTAAGGATTCTTTAGCTAAGGTATCTACTTATGGAGTAGAAGATGGAAAAGTTAAGGAAATTGTAAATAAAGGCTTTGAAGACTTCGCTAGTTTTACTAAAGATGGTATCAACAAATTATTAGCCAAGGTAGATATAATGATTTATATTAGGGTGCATCTCTAATACGTTAAAAAGAGGTGATATTAATTATAAGGTTAAAAATTAAAATTAAAGCGATGCATACTGAATACCGAATGATTCTGTTATTGTGAACATTTAAATAATGGATGAAAAATAATAGTATTAAAACATATTTTGGGGTTTTTTTTTATTTACATGTTTTACTCAATTTATCAATTATTAAATACTTTTTTGTTTATTTTATATGTTTTATATGGGTAGACATTTTTTAATGAAAACATGTATAATTATCTTTTTTTATTAAATAATAATCTTATTAAAAAAATTATTAAGACTGGACGATAACAACTTCTGGGCCAATATTTCAGAAGTTATTAATGACTTAAAGTAATGATTGGAAATGAGACGCTAATATTGTTATTTTATCACTAAACATTTTTCAGTCCCACTCTTCCTCCTTCCTAGTGATAAAAGTGTATAGTAGTATATTATTACATCTTGTATAGTAATTCAAGTTTCACATGTAATAAGTTAGTAGATAGTATATATTTATTGATTACCTTTGGCCTTGTTTGATTAAAAATTATTTTTGATAGATTGATTAATATTATAATATTGTTAGAGTAATAAATTTGATTTTATACTAGTTTTATTTCTTCGAAATTTGTTCAACATTTTTTGAAATATTTCAAAGTTTCTCCCGGATACCGTTTTTACTATTTTAATTTAGACCAGTGGTATCTTCTTTTATCTCATACAAATTTTTATTAAATTTACACACTACTTTCCCAAATCAAGAGGAAGTACATGTAATAGGTTATGATAAAACCTTCCACTCAATAAATATACAAATTAAAGAAGATAATTAAAGCTTTTTTAAATACAAGTGAACCCACAAAAAAATTCTGAGTACACTCACTGTGTCTAATAAGTTTTATTTACCTAAAATCATTAATATATTCTTAATGATATTAATATATTGGGTCTTTAATTGTCAATAATAGAATAATAAAAATATTTGGTTGTATGTGAAAATAACATTTAATTTTAATAATAATTATAAGTCTTTAAAAAAGTGCCATTATCTTTGCGTACCAGGTACGAACTATTTATGTAACCCTAGTGGTACCAGTTTTATAGGTTGAGAAACGTTAATATAGTCTTCTTAATTGTTATTTTTAAAAGTTTATAAGTAATAAAAATGGAGTTATGAGATATTTAAGATTTGTATATAATAGGGAATTTACTGACAAAAGGAATAAAAGTCACCATTATTTTTATGCTTATCTAAAGTGTTGATTTGTATTTATTATCATAAATTTTTTTTTTCCTGGAAAGTTTTTAAATAGTCACAGATATACTTTGGCAATATAATACTTTTCTTTTTACTCACATAACAATTGTTTTGAAGTTTATGAGGAATAAATTAGGTGCAGATAATGATAGGCCTAAGGTTCTAGAGTTTTTAAAATTTACCAATACTATATACATTTTTAATTTTTATAGTTTATAATCTTTATTATACAGTTACATAGTTTATATGATCTTATATGTTTATTTTAACGATGAAAACATATTTACAATCAATCACGATCTAAAATCATCCAATTTCAGGGAACACACTTTTTAATTTTATAATTATGTTCAGTTTCATATAAATAAAGTGCTGGCTAATTATTACAACTAACAGTGTATGATTTTGGGACTACAAAGTGTTAAGTAATAAGTAAAACTAAAGTTCCTTACTACCTTTCTCTATTGAAAAATTGTATACACGTCACTGATACTATTGATCATTAGTATAAACAGAATTTTTTTAGTGTTGTATATTAAAATTAAAAAAAAAAAAATTAAAAAACTATTAATGATAAAGAAAGTTTATTTAAATTTAATAATTTTTAAATATGATAATTATTAATTAATATAACTTTTTCATAGATGTTTAATTCAGAATACAAACAATCTTAAGTCTTGTTACTATATATTGTATGCTTTTATTAAATAAGATAAATTTACAATTAAATTATCAAGCTTTTTTTATCATACAAATTCAATGTTAAAAATATCATATTATGATATTAAATCTATTTAGTGTTGAGTTCGAAAATTACAAATACTAATATAAATAAAAATAGCAGATAGTTTGATAATATAAATTTATAGAATAATAACTGTACCCATAAAAAATGACCCTACTCATAACTTTAGTCTTGAATGACTAAAATATCTTTACATGTTTCAGGTAGAACAAAATGAGGCCATGAAGAGCAAATTAAACGTTTGGCTCAAAGAAGTGGACGACATTAGAAACTCTAAAAATGGAGTTGAAGAAACAGGAAAAACTGCACTGAAAAAGTTTGAAGAGACTATTGATTACATAGCAGAGGAAGCTGTTTCATATAAAAAGGATGTAGAAACAAATCCAAATGAAGAAATATTGAAAGAAGCAGGAGGATTAATTAGAAGTACTACAAATAAATTAGTTGAAAATATGAAATCCATAGAATCTCAAATTCAAGCTGTCAAGGTTGCCTAAAAATACGAAATTCTTGAATTTTGTTTGCATTTAAAAAGTGAAATTCTCAATTGTTATAAAATTTATTTATTTTAATATATATGTTTTTATTACATATTTATAAATAAATATATACAAAAAAAATTTCGTTAATTAATTATACGTATATTTATATTTATAGTATATTTAGTGTCTTTAAATTTAGTATTTTAATTACTTACAAACAATTAGATTAATGTAATAATACCTTGAAACATTACACGGTAATTTTTTTAATATTAGTCACTATAATTATTTTAATAAAATTATTTTTGGTGTTTTTAAATTTTATATATTACTCGATTTATGAACTATTAATTATTTCTTTAATTCATCTTTTAAATGTTAGAAGGTTGTAAAGATTATTATTTTTAACGTAAACATGTATATTTAACTAGCTTACAAAATTAATTATATAAATTATACATGAGTTACATTAATGTTATATTAATGAAAAAATATATAAAATATATAAAATTTAAAAATGCCAAAAGTAATATTCTTTAAATAAATAATATTTTAAGAGAATTCGAGCGTTTAATATTAAATAGTGATATAAAAATCCATATTGATTTCCTCTTGAATATGCTCTCTATAACTTATTCATAAGTAATTTTATTTTAATAATATTCTCATAAGAAATTAATATTGTTATTATATTTAATAATTTAAAATATCATTGTGCCCTTCATTTCTAGACAGACTTAAATGTGCCGAAAAGAGTGAAGAAGCGTAATTTTATTTATACAGGCGTAATAGTCTTAAACATTGTCGTATATTCATAATAAAAGTTATTGTGCCCTACGCTTATTGAAAGCCTTATACGTGACGAACAAAGTAAAGAAGCGTAATATTGTGATTAGAATTAATTAGTCTTAGTAGTAATACTCTATTCCCGCGTACTCACTAGGCTGAAAGGATTATGCCAATTACCTTCCAGCAACGAACTGGCAGTTGAGGTAAAGAGTAGTACAAAATTTATGAGAAATTTTTTTGAAATGTGCTATATCTATTGACAAGACAGTTTAAAGCTAGTAGTCCGGATAGAGTTTACTATTAAGTATATAACTTGTAAGGTAGAAAACTACATCTTGGAAATATCCTCTGTGTGTGTACCCGCCAGCCATAAAATTTTTTACCAATTACCTGTCGGTGACGTGTAGGCAGTTGGTGTAAAGGATAGTAAGAGGTATTGTAATAATATTTACTATATGCTAACGAGGTTAACTGTGTCCGCGTCAGTGATGGCTTTACGTCCAGCTACCACCACTGTCTAATTGATTACATTTTGAATATCTATAAGCATTTTAGTATAATTTTATTTTGAAAAGTTCAGAGTAAGTTATAAGAATATCAATGTCGATTATAGGGAATTTATTGAAAAATATGATTAGTAAAAACGCAGTATAATATGAAAAGAATAATATATCATAAAGGACGCCATTGTAGAGAATCTTTTTCAGTGCGTAATTCATGAACGACGTGCATTGTCGAAGTAATAAAATCGTGTATTGATAATTGAGATCTGATACACACACAAATCTAATTAAACGCAAGATCCTACAAACTATTGTTAACATTGATCCGAGAATTTACTATACGATTAATTCCGACAACTACGAAAGGAAATAAAGATAAGAACCAATTTTTATTTGTATGTTTTACTTCTTAAATATCCATGTAATAAACAAGAATATGAAAAGTGAGGTAGGGATATTTTATTATTCGAAAACTCAATATAGTTCAACGCCGAGTTACCCAAAACTAAATACCTATCCCTTTGCTTCTATCCTTATTTATTTTTACTATATTTTTTTTTTATTACAAAATATAACTCTGATAAATCTATTTTATCCAAAGTATTTTTCGAATTTGAGAAATATCAATTCTATTCCAGCTTGACACCCTATCTGTATAAAAAATAACCTAACAAACTGAGGTCGTAGTACAGTGAGGATAAGTATAGATGATATATTACAGTGATTAAAATCACATCATAACAAACGCAACATTAACACCTATTTCCTTAATTATATCCTGATTAGTCGTTCTTTGATTTAAAGGTAATAATATATATATATATATATCATTTCTAAGATTTAATATTATTACCAATTAAATATAAAATAATAAAATTTAATTTTAAGAAAAAGGTGTATTATTCCAAAAGCTATTTAAAAATTAAAGAAAATTTATAAGTAATATACATGAAGAAATACTTATTATAGTAATTTAATTTAGTATAAAATTGATTTTAATAATTTAGTTTTCTAATTTTTACGCTAAAATTATAATAAGTTATAAAGCTGTTGTACACACAATGGATTTTTAATATTAGCCACTCGATTTCTCATAAAATAATAATTATTTTAAGAAAATTATTTTTGGTGTTTTTTAATTTTATATATTTCTCGGATTATTCATTTTTTTAAATTCAACTCTTATATCTTCTAAGGATGTCAAATTTATTATTATAAATGGCAACAATATTTAACTAGCTAATAAAATAACAAATAATCTAAGTAAGAAAATAATTGGTCGAAAATAATTTTTGAATATGTACTCTAGAAGTTATTAAAATGGCGCTTCAAAGTAATGCATAATAATAAAAATAAAGTAACCCACACGTTACCTTCACTCTATATTTTAATATAGTTATTACTTACGAAATAATGTGTCAAAAGTTGTCATCTACTAGTCATTTTTTTATTAATAATATTTTCTTGTTAAATATTTATATTGCCTTTTTAAATAGTTTTTTAAATCAAAAAAAATTTCATAAGCTAAGTTAAAATATTTTAATTTTTGTTCAATAGTGGCTATTTTAAATCCACTCGTGTGGTGGGCAAGTATAGAGTCAGATTTTTAAGAAATTTATATTAAATGAAAGGGAAATATCTAAGGTAATTATACAAATAAAAATTATTTTAATTCGTTCATTTTTCAATAAGTATAACTAATATACTTCATAATATATTATCATAATATATATATATATAATGCTATAACTTAAATGGTTATTATGTGTATCTAGGAAATTATAAATAAATGAAAGTTTGATAAATTTACAAAAAAAAGTCATTGCATTACAAATACACAGAGTAATCAAATTTAAAACTACTCAAATATTATAAAGAAAATAAAACATTTTTTCCATACCAAAATAAAATATTTATATTTTAATAAGACAATATATATATAAAAAGATTGTCTTTTTGCATTACTAGTTTTTACTTGAAAAAATATTTTTTTTAGAATTGATAATTAGTATTAATTAAGGATTAATTTTTCTTAAATAATAACATATTGTTCATTTGATGTATAACATTGAGTTAGTATGCGTCAATCTTCAAACAGGTTCTAAACTAAAGAGAGGTGGATATTCTCAATAAATACCGTTACACTCTACTATTCTGTGTCCATCTTTATGTCAGTGTATAAGGTCGTTGATCCAACTGAAAGAAGTAGTTTCCGTGATGATTATTAAGTGCCAATGTTGAGTTTTTAACATTATAACAGCTATATCGGAGTTATAATAAATTTATGTGAGTTTTAAATAATATTTAAAATATTTAATCAATCTATAATTAATAAATTATTAATATTATCAAATTAAATTAAGTTTTAATTGAACTTTATTTTAATTTTTTATTATAGACATTGAAATATGGAAGTATATTTTACATTGCAGAGTAAATAAAATAATAGTTATAATGTTAATTCTGATACATTGTAAATTACTTAAAAATACTTTAACCATAATTGGTAAAAATAGAAATAGCACGTTTTGAAATTTACTTTAATGAAACTATTCATTATACCTAATATATTGTACAGAACTAATTGAAATTATATTTATTCGATTTTTTTATTCAAAAACGTCATTACATTATTAGATTTTATTTTGTCAAATTTTTTAAACTTAAAATAAATTATTTTATGTTAATTGAAATAAATTAGGGTGGTTTTGTTGAGTAATATGACTACTGTCATAATTAATATCATTACTTACGTTATACGAAATAATTCTCATTACTTAGTTTTATCGGTGATAATGAATATTATTATTAATGATAAATAATATTTATAGAATAATGTCGTGATAGTATGTGTAACCATGAGTGGTATAGAAGCTATACCAGTTGGAGTTTTAGCAGGGGCTGCATCAAACGTAGCCTGGTTTATTCCTGTTTTGGTTGCAACCATTGCATACTTTCATTATGAAGTAAATGATCCCGAGTCCAAGATTATCGATCAACCTGGAGATCTCCTGCTTGATGAATATGATTTTATTATAGTGGGAGGTGGATCTGCTGGTGAAACATGATTAAATATTTCTACAGGACATTGTAATTATAAATATAAATAATTTTTTTTTATTCAGGTGCTGTGTTAGCTAATAGATTGACCGAAATTGAAGATTGGAGCGTGTTGTTAATTGAAGCTGGTGGAGATGAAACTGAGTTATCTGACGTACCTTTATTGGCCGCTTATTTACAGCTTAGTCAACTGGATTGGCAATATAAGTCAGAACCACAAGATACGGCTTGTTTAGGTAAATAATTAAGTGATTATGTGTATTTTAAATATATAGAATCTAAAATAATGTATAATAAATACCATTAACGTTTTATATTATACTGTATTTTTATGTTGCTCTTTTTGTTAGATTTTTAACAATTTGTTATTTTAGCCATGCAAAATCTGCGATGTAACTGGCCACGTGGAAAAGTATTAGGAGGGTCAAGTGTCCTCAATTATATGATGTATGTTCGAGGAAACCGAATGGATTATGATAATTGGCTAAAACAAGGTAATCCAGGATGGGGTTATGATGATGTTTTATACTATTTTAAAAAGTCAGAGGATAATCGTAATCCATATTTGGCTCGAACGCCTTACCATTCAATCGGTGGATACCTAACAGTATCCGAGGCGCCTTATAAAACACCTTTATCTGATGCTTTTATTGAAGCTGGAATAGAAATGGGTTATGATATACGGGACATTAATGGTGAACGTCAAACGGGTTTTATGACACCTCAAGGAACCATTAGAAGAGGTGCTCGTTGTAGCACGTCAAAGGCTTTCTTGAGACCAGCGAGATTAAGAAAAAATTTGCATGTATTTATAAATGCTCAAGTAACTCGTATAGCTATAAATTCAGATACAAAAATTGCTTACGGCGTTGATCTAATTAAAGATAAAAATCAATACTTTGTAAAATCTAAAAAAGAAGTTATATTATCAGCTGGTTCAATTGGTTCAACACAACTTTTATTACTTTCGGGTATTGGTCCTAAAGAACATCTAGCTCAATTCAATATTCCTGTAATGGCGGACTTACAAGTTGGGAAGAATCTTCAAGATCATATTGGATTAGGAGGTTTAGCTTTCACTATAGACAAAGAGGTATATTAAATTAAAAAACGAACAAAACAATTTATATTGATAATTATATTTTTTTGTTTAAATACAATTTTAGGTTTCGATAATACAAGAAAGAGTAGAAAATGTTCAGACTGTTCTTAATTATGCTACAATGGGAAATGGGCCTCTAACAATTATGGGCGGTGTTGAAGGTTTGGCATTCATTAATACCAAGTACAATAACAAATCATTTGATCAACCAGATATTGAATTACATTTTATTTCTGGTTCGACTAATTCTGATGGAGGTATGCAGTTATGGAAAGCTCACGGATTGAGAGAAGACTTTTATAAATCTGTATACGGACCCATTAATAATAAAGATGTATGGTCTGCTATACCTGTGAGTAGTAACCAAGGATCATATGAATAATTTATTTACTTATAATGTTAGTTTTAGTAAACTCGAGTACATAAATAATAAATAGATTTGTTTTAATCATTTTTAATACTAAAAAATGTATATTAATTATGAATTTAGTTATAGATGGCATAAGGGATATCACTCCCTTCTTGATAAAGAGGTATGAAAAATGTTCTTTTAGTATATATATAATAAAATACCTTAGATAAAATTTTAAGAAGTTGGATGTTTTGAAACAAATTTCTCAAATACATTAAGTTTCAAGCCTTGATAATAATGTAAATAAAATTGATTACATTTAAAATGATATAATTTTTTTTCAGATGTTGTTGCGACCTAAAAGTCGTGGTGAAATTTTATTAAGAAGTAATAATCCTTTTGACTACCCAAAAATAATTCCTAACTATTTAACGCAACGAGATGATGTGAATAGATTAATCGAAGGAGTTAAGTTTGTAGTTGCCATGAGTCATACCACAGCATTTCAAAAATATGGCAGTCGTTTACACAGTATTCCTTTTCCGAGTTGTATGTCTGTACCCATTCATACAGATTCTTACTGGGAATGTATGATTCGTCACTATACAGTAACTATATATCATCCGGTGGGAACTGCAAAAATGGGACCGAAATGGGATTCAAAAGCCGTAGTTGATCCTCAACTTAGAGTTTACGGAATACAAGGTCTTAGAGTAGTTGATGGATCTATAATGCCTACATTGGTCAGCGCTAACACAAATGCACCTATTATTATGATAGCTGAAAAAGCTTCAGATATGATTAAAGAACAATGGCTAAATTAAAAAAAAATGTTCTCATATTATTTTTCATTAACATGTGTATCTATATTTATTTGTAAATTAAAATTATTTGTATTTATATATTTTTACTACAGTGAAATAAACTGTAAATGGAGACTTAAATATTGCTTTTGACTATTCGTTAATTGTTTTCCTTTTAACGATTGATTAAATAGTTTTTAAAAATACTATGTCTACTCATATAATTAGAAATGAGTAATAATATAATATGATATTTAAATGTAATATTTTGGGAATGGTAAAATTATAGTATGCCCAATATGTATTACTTGTATAATTTTACTAAAAAATATGTAATTGAATTTATGTATTTAAGTATTACATAATTGAACAAAAATTATTAACGTTAAAGAAATTTTAGACTTAAATGATTTCGATTGTTAGAAATGTTTCAAACATTGTTTTTATAAATACTAAATTGCACAAACGTTGCACTCAAAATTGCACGATTAAATATTTACTGACTAAGCTAATTGTATAGGATTGTGACACATACGCATATTATAATTTAATTAAACTGTCTATTAGTTATTTGGGTATTGAAATAGAAATTGTTTTTACATAATAAAAATTGTCTATTAATATTTAATGCTTAAAATGTTTTTGCTATATATTTAAATTTATAAAATATCGACAATGTTTTTGGGAATTTCATATGAACACAATTTCATATCACCATTTCATTCATAAAACTTATCACGTATATCTAAATGTTTTTATTTTTTAAAAAAACATCCTACATTTTTGTAGTTGTTTAGATAAAATTACTTAATTCCATTTTTGTCTCAAATAAAATAGTAACAGTAAAAAATTCAGTTAGTTTAACCAGAGGTAAAAGTTCGTAGTTTTTTCTATCGCATATAATTTATAGTATATTGTAGTTATAAAGAAATATATATATAATATAAATTATTTAATAATAGTAAGATTTGAACTTTCTTTAATGAGTTATTTACCGAAATAAAATAAAAAATAAAAGCGTCCTCTTATCCTCAATGAGATAACAGTACAGTTAGTATTAAGTAAATTTTAAATTAATACTTTGCTATTTGACTAGGTTTTTGGAAACAAATGGATTATAACTAAATAGCCATTCAATTTAACCATTCAAGCTTTTCCAAAGTAATATTATTGATAAAATGCTGTGACATAATTATGTATTACTATTAAAATATTGTAAAATATGTACATTTTTATGAAAACAGTTTTAAAATTGTTGAATTTTTTAACAGTTTTGCTTTCATATGACAATATTTGATCACTTTTTTTTATTTTTAGATTTCGTTCAACAGTTAAGTTAGCAAGTATGTAGGTAGGTTAAAACAAAAACAACACGGTTAAAAAAAATATAAATATAAACGGGGCATTAACTATTCAATAAATATAACAACTCATGTAACTCATGTTTCTCATGTTCAAGAAAAAATTGATTAGTCGTAAAACGAACACGTTTGTAATATTTTGTTCTAGGACGCGTCCTACAAATATCGATTTGACGTTATAGTGTTCATTTAAAAGTGTGCATGCCAATATGGATTATTCATAGCCTCGGTGATCATTATTTGTTACACAGTAATTTGGATACTCTGTCCCTTGAATAATAACGGTCATTATTTATTTTCACGTTAACACCATAATATGGCTCATAGCATCTTTACGGCCCGGGTCGTGGCACGTATAGCCATGTCATTTGGGCCAAGTCTTAGCTATATAATATTAGTTCGTCTTGCTATAGTATTTTTCCGACCCGACATAGAAGATATCGATAATCGACTACTGGATTGCCAGTTGAAAAATATAATGGACCAATATGATTTTATTGTTGTGGGCGCAGGTTCAGCAGGAGCAGTGATGGCTAATCGACTTTCAGAAAATCCTAATTGGACGGTATGGTTAATTCAGTAATCAAATTATTTTATAAAAATTAAAAATGTTAATTTTACTAACAAAACTTTTCATATGTGTTCACTTCTATAAATACATTTATGTGATTACGAGATTAAAGTAGAAAAAAATACTCAGGCTGGATACAGATAACAGTCCCTTTAAGAGTGTAAAAAATGATAGTTTCGAGGTAGTAAAAGGAATGATTTCAGTTTTTAATGTTTTTATTACTATTAAAAGTTTTTAATATTATTTCATAATTTAGAAAGAAGTCTAAAAAAAGATAAGCAAAAATAAACAAAACATTTGTTTTATTACTTAATTTTTTATAGATATACACTAGGTGAGATTTTAGTTTTACAATATTTTCTTACAAGTTATAACCAATTACCAGAAATCATAAACCATAACTATTTTTACAATTTTATATTGTAATGGTTAGTAATTTTATACCATATAAAATAATCTTAGAAAAAATTCTTAATGCCAATTAAATTTAGCAAATGAATGCCAAATTAATTGTTGATTGTATTGTTGTTATCTTAAATATGCACGTTATTAGATAATCTTTTTGTTTAAATTTTTTCCTCTGATATAAACAAAATTCTTAAAATCAACTTTTTCTTTATTTTCTTCTTTCTTGTTTTATATAATATCTCAGATAATCATCAAAATATCTTCACTGGATGGCTTTTTTCGTAATATACGCAGATAATTTTTAATTTTAACTTATTGTAAAATAACTGTACAGATTTTTATTTTTCTAAAAAAAAAAAAAATTTATATAAAGTACGTTTTTGTAACAGATAGCTGCTATGACTATTACGTGGGAGAGACTAGGAGAATGGTGGCCACTAGATGTACCTAGTTGAAAAACCAAAATATTGCGTAAAACAATTATTGTATAACAAGATTATCATTAATATCATTACTTAAAATATGATGACTAGTGGTGATTTAATAATTTTTTCTCATCAATAGACATTAAAATTTTTTTTTAAATGATTCACTTTAAAATTTTGCGATTTTCAACTTAATTTTTAAATAAGAAATTCTATGAAAATTTTCTCCTACTTGTGCATAATTTGTTTTAAAATTTTCAAAAAATCGGCTTCTGATTGATATCAAGTGTTTGAAGTAATATCAGTCATAATACATTATTATTTTTAATTTATCTTGATTAATGTTACGGGCGTTATCCCAGTTCTTTATATTAAATTAAAATAAATAAAATTATTAATCGATTAATATAGTTAGTGTAGTAATAAAAGACCTATACATTCACAATATTGATTTTTTATTTATTTATGTAATTGTACCATTTTTATTTCTAATTTCTTATACACTTTAATAAAAACATTTTTATGATCAATATTAGACCTATGTTGGTAAAATTAAATTTGTTTAAGATTGATATTAGAAAATTAAAATTGTTTTAATAAACTTGAAACTTGACATAATGTAGCTTACATTTTACATTAAAAAAATATGTAAAAATTAATTTTTTTTTTTCGTTAATTATAACTTATTGGTAGTTTTGATAGGAAAATTAAATTTTAAATGACTTTTGCAACATTTTCTTAATTGGTGTAATAGATATTTAACATTTATAATTTAATATTGATGATTTTTTCTAATAAACAACATTATTACAAGAGCTTATAAATACAAAATACCAAGACTCATATGTAATATTGACTTAATTAGTAGAACATAAGTTGTGCAAATGTCTCTTTAAGTTTAATTGATTAATTAATAAAAAGCATCTGCTAATTAAATTTAAAATATTAATTTTTCCTCAATAAAACAATCTTATAATTAGCGATTTTTGGCTCATTCGCCACCTTATTTTTTTTAAAAATCTGACCACGAAAAGTCTTTGCACTATAGTATTTCGCGATTGTGCTCTCTCTGACTAAGAAACTTTTTTACACTTGGTGTCTTTTATCTAACTCTCGAATTTGTAACGTATTTAAAAAATTATTTTTATTTATTTACTTTCTTTATGTTTTAAATGTTTAATAATTATTGAGGAGTTACATTTTTTTTAATTTTAATTTTGTGAATTGTTCTCATTAAAAATTTTTTTAATTTTTCAATTGGAGTGTCTGTTAAGTACATTTCGAAAATTTATTTTAGCACATCTAGCGGTTAAAACTATTGTTAAAACAATAGTATTACTACGGACCTTGGTGTTTTGTATTTATAATCTGTTGTATTTATATATCTATAAAATTGTATAAAATATTGAGAAACATTCATTATTGCATTAATAAGATAGCATGTAATATTCAAGATTATATTATAATATACTGATTTCAAAGGGTGGAATTGTTTATTTTACCGTTACCTTAGAAGTTTAAATTCTAATATATTTTTAACTAATGAAACTGTATTAATAGTAATGTTATTCTTTATTTTTGAAATCAATATGAATTGTTATAAATTAAAATTAACTTGAAAATCAATTAATTTTAAGGTTCTATTAATTGAAGCAGGGATTGATGAGCCGGCTATATCAGATATACCTTTTTTATATCCATCACTTCAACGTACTCCCATTGATTGGCAGTATAAAACTGAACCGTCTAGTACATCATGTTTAGGTTTAAAAGAAAACCGATCAAATTGGCCACGCGGTAAAGTAATTGGTGGAAGTAGTGTATTAAATGCCATGTTTTATGTCAGAGGCAATAAGAGAGACTATGATGCTTGGCATAATGCCAATAATAAAGGTTGGAGCTATGATGAAGTTTTACCTTATTTTAAAAAATCTCAAGATATGAGAATACCTCAATTAAAGAACTCAGAATATCACGGAATAGGTGGATATTTGAGTGTAGAGCATTATCGTTCATACTCACCAATCGTTAATAACTTCATCGAAGCCGCTAAAGAGATGGGATACGATGAAGTTGACATAAATGGTGCTCGACAAACGGGTTTCACTAGATCACAAGGTATTTAAAAGAACACTTTTAACAATAAATTAATATTACATGTTATAATTAGAATATATTATTTATTAAATAATTATCCTATTAAATAAATATCACTAACTTTAAATTTTTTAATAAAAATAATGCCTTCTTTTTAATTTAAAAATTAAAATTTTTATAAAGATATATTATTTGAATGAATTAATCCAAGAAGGGTCTATTAAAAATAAAGAAGTCTTCAGAAAAATACATTTTTATGTTTCTCTATGGCATAACTTTTGATATAAACAAGTTAGCAAGCTATGGTTTGTTTAATTTAGTTAAACATTTTTCTTCAGTAAAATTCTTATAATAAATTAGGAAACTTTTTGAAGTTACAGATCAAAAACATCAATACTCTACTAATTGAAAGGTGCCTAGAAGGAAACAATTAAAATTTTCTAGATATAAATGACTTCAAACATTTTTGATTTTAGAAAAAATAAAAAATTCATGTCTTTGGCAGGATTTGTTTGAAAGCAATGTTTGAAGTATTATCAATAAAGAAATTTCGCAATAATCCGTCCAGTTTTAAATGTTTTTAGAAAAAGTTTTTTCAATATAAAGTGAAAGCTATACATATCAATTTTGACTATTTTATGGCAACAATATTTTTTTCATGTGTCCCTTTATTACTGGGACTGAAGAAAATTTTTTTTTAATTATGCTGCTGATTCCTTTAACTAGATATATTTTCTAATCTTTTGATAAAGAGTGTAAGTAATGGCATATACAAACACACACATACAAAAAACAGCAGAGTAAATCAATTGCATCTCAGCTACGCATCAAAAATTAAAAATTTGACTAAAAAAATATTTACTTTTGTATCCATATTTAAAAATATACAATGATTTTTATATAAAAATGGCAGAAAGATTATGGTATAGAAATATTTGATGATAGAAATTATAAGACATAACACTTCACCATCAGTCGATATTTTACTTAGAACGTACTTGGATTTTATTTTGTGATCCAAAAAATAATTTCTAATTAAATATCGTAATATTTAACCTCATAATAAAAAGTTAATTTTCTGAAAAAATTATTTATTTTTATGAAATATGATGAATTTCAAATTTATAAAGTCTTAGTAAAAATCTATTTTTGAGGATAGCTATTAAGGGTAACTCTCAAAAATTAATGAAAAGCTGTCATTTTTATTTTTTGGTGTATAATGGATTAAATTTAAATTTTGAATTGTTAATAACTAGTTATATATTATATACTTTTTAAGTCAATATAATTTTTAAATAAAAGCGAGACGGACATATGTTACTATAATCTATGTATTCTATAAAACTAAAGTAAGACTAAAAACTATACCCTTTCCTCACATTTAAATCTTTATATAATATTATCTCTTATAAAATGTGTATACATTTGTATACATTTATACTTTTTAATAACTATATTGTACAAGACATGACAGATAATCAATCTGTATTTTTTAATTTGTTTAAGTTATATAATTTCTACATTGTAGAGCGATTCTTTAAAAAAAACACCCGATTTCTACTAAAATAATAATTATTTTAAGAAAATTATTTCTGATAAGTTTTATAATAACCGTTTTACAAATAAGATAATGATCTAAATGACCGGTAGATAGTAACTTATCAATCCATAATCTTCCTACCATCTTGACATTATTTTGACAAATATTGATAAAAATGTGGGTAACTAACAAGTAAGATTGTTATAAATTAATATATGATTGAAACGAAAATATCATTTTGGTGACTTATCCTTTTTGAGTAATCACCGGTAAATAAAAAACTATGTAATTTTCGGTAGATAAGTTAATTTTTTTTAAATATTTAAAATATGCATAGAAGTGTTATTTTAATCACTATCAGATATAAATCAATAATAATCTAAAAAGTACTTCAACTTTACTGGACCAAACTTCACTGTAATGTACTTTTTTATTATTTTTAAAACAGTAAAACATGAATGTTTAAAAAAAAAATTAGGTAAAAGTTAATAGATTTGAAAAAGAAAAACGGAATGGTACTACTTATAATCTATATCTAAATTTTAAATAATTTTTGCTAGTACAAACTATAAGTTTATATTCTTAGGAACTTTAAGAGATGGGCTGAGATGTAGCACTGGTAAAGCATTTTTAAGACCGATTAAAGATCGACCAAACCTCCATGTAAGTATTCTGACACATGCATTAAAAGTAGTTGTTGAAGATGGAAAAGCTATTGGTGTGCTGATTTCAAAGTTAGGCAGTGCTCCAACTCTAGTCAAAGCACATAAAGAAGTAATTCTATCAGCTGGAGCAATTAATTCTCCTCAATTATTGATGTTGTCGGGTATAGGACCAGCTGATAAACTCAGAAAAGTTGGTATTAAACTGGTAAAACACTTGCCTGGTGTCGGAAAAAATCTTCAAGATCACATTGCTACTGGTGGGGTCACTTATTTATTTGACTCACCTGATTGTTCGGCCCCTCTAGGAATGGGCATTGTTTTGCCGAGAGTATTAACTTTAAATACGTTCGTTAAATTTTTTCGAGATTCTTCTGGGCCATTATACAGAATTCCTCTTGGTGAAGCCATGGGTTTTGTTAATACAAAGTAAATTTTAATTTATCACATTTAAGTTATTAATGTTTTATTGGTAATTTTCTTTATCATCAGATACAACGAAGATCCGGAGTGGCCAGACATCCAACTGTTTTTAGCAACTGCGGGTGACAATACTGATGGTGGATTGTTAAACAAACCCGATGTTGGCATGACAGATGAATATTATGAACAAGTTTTTGAACCAATTTTATATAAAGATGCATATACTGCTGGACCATTATTACTGCGACCATATAGCCGGGGTTACATTGAATTGACCAGCAAAAATCCTTACCACCCACCTAAAATTGTGCCAAACTATTTGAGTGATCCTAGAGATATTCAAGTTATGGTAGAAGGCTTGAAAATAGGTTATGAAATGAGCAAAACAGCTGCCATGCAACGACTTAACACTACATTACATGATATACCTACGCCGGGTTGTGAAGAGTTCAAATTTCTTTCAGATCAATATTGGGAATGCCAAGCGAGACATTATACAATGACTATATATCATCCTGTAGGCACTTGCAAAATGGGACCAGATGAAGATGAATATGCTGTAGTCAATAACAGGCTAAAAGTGAGAGGTATCAAAAGCCTTAGAGTGGTAGATGCTTCAATAATGCCAACTATTGTTAATGGTAATACTAATGCCCCAACTATAATGATCGCCGAAAAAGCTGCAGATATGATAAAAGAAGACTGGTCCGGATACACATTAACATTTACATCAAGAAAATCTAAGAAAACTTATAGAAAGTGGTGGTAACCTACTTTATTCTGACATTTTATCAATGTCTGTGTGTAAATAAGGACATTTATTTTTTTCCCGCCTAGCATTTAAAAAAATGTTATTTATTTATAACTCCTTATAATACTGTAGATTATTGGTTAAAAACCTATAAATTGACCAATAACTAACATTAGGCGTGTACCATATTAAGTTATTTGGATAGTATTATTAACCTATTAGAAAATTAATTTATAAAAAATAAAATGTTTTTTATTGTAGTGTAGTTTGAAATTGTTAAATGACTATTAAAATAAGAAAAATAATTAAAGTTTGTTGAGATTTAATTATTTATAATAAGAATTAAGTATTATTTTAATATATTGTTCCATTTTAATTTTAATTAAAGTACTTGCACTGAAAATGAATTTTTAAAAAAATAAAATTAAAATATTATGACATAAAATTTAGTAATTAAGAAATAAATTAAGTGTAATTTATATTATTGAAATTATTTGTAATATATTATCAACATTTATATATCGTCAGTGATACTCATTTCATTTATACAGTAATTTAACTACAATAGATAAGAACTAGTTTTAGGAAAATTTGATTTAATAAGTATACATGTTAATTTGAGCACAAAAAATCATTAAAATTGCACTGATAAAAAGAGAAATTAGTGGGGGTCGCTGTGAAATAGATACTTTTACAATACTTTTAAAATTAGCTCTATTAATGTAATTGTAAGGTTATTAATCAAATTTGTATAGTAAATTAGTATTTACCAACAAAGTTTTTTATATATACTAAATAAGCATTCTTTTTTTAAAGACAAATTAAAATGCATCCAGATCTGTAATTTCCATGAAATCTTATGCATTTCGTTTAACAGATAAACTGGTTTTTAGCGAAGTATCTAGGAGCAGTACACGAAAGTAAAAAAACATTTCCAATTTTACTTTCTTAAAGTATAGAAATATAAAAACATATATATTATTATACACTAAACTAGGCTTAAAACAATAGAGAAAGTCACTGGACCACGGGATATCGTAATTTGAGTTTTGTATTTCCAATCGATAATGATATTTTCAAGACCAGATTTCGATTTCAGTATGCAATTGATATTCTAGGCAAGGAGTTATTAGTGATATGTTTTTAATTTTATTAAATCATAACTATTATTTTAATTTAAAATTAGTGCTTTTTTTTATTTAAAAGTTTCATTTTATTTTTATTGTTTTCTATGATTTTAAAGATCAATTTTAGTTACTTAATTAGAAACATTTTTTAAATAGTTTATCCAGTAAAAAAGTTATAACACCTAATATTAGATATGTTCTCAGAAAAAAACTGCAATCAGTGCTTTTGGACAGATTCATCGTTTTTATCAGGATCATGTGGAAGCACTGGAAGTTTAGCGTTTTTTATGTCTTTAATCGATCTCATGATTAGATCTCAATGTTCTGTAGCAGATCCTTGTAGACGAGCCAAAAACAAGCAGTTTCCAGCGGGTTTTTATTATCCAGAAGAACTTGATTTTGTAGTAGTTGGAGGAGGCGTTGCTGGTTCAGTAGTTGCGGCAAGACTTAGCGAGATTCAAGAATGGACAGTAGGCTTATTAGAGGCTGGACCAGAAGAACCAACAGCAACTTCAATACCAGCGTTTTCTACGTCAGCTTTGGGTACAGACTTAGATTGGATATACTTAACGGAACCACAACAACATGCATGTCTTAATAATGAAGGAATTTGCGTTTGGCCTCGAGGTAAAATGATAGGTGGAACCGGAGCCATGACTGGTATGATGTATTCTAGGGGGCATAAAATGATTTATGATAATTGGCGAGATGCTGGAAATTATGGTTGGGGTTATGAAGATGTATTACCTTATTTTAAAAAATCTGAGTCAAATAAAAACGCAGATTTAGTCGAGCATCAATACCATGGTTTTGATGGACCTATCTCAGTACAAAAATTTTCTCATTGTCCTAAAATAGCCGAATCAATAGTTAAAGCTGGCGAAGAATTAGGGTACAGATCTGGAGATTTAAATGGTCACAACCAAACAGGTATTTACTATATTTAATAAATTATATACATTATGATCTATTTATTATTAACCACTCTATTATTCGCAAAATAAATACAATAATGAAAAAAAAAAATTGATATCTTTTAGTTACATGTTGGGTGTTCAGTAAATAAGGAAACAGGTCAATTGTTGTAAAAAATGAGATCAATAGAAAATCGTTTCCTTACTTACTGAACACTCTATATATTTCTAGATTTATCAGCTAATTATTACTTTTTAGAATCATCCTTATAACTTAAAGGAATATCAAATTAATTTATTTTAAATAGGAACATACATATTTAACTAGCTTTTAAAATAGAAAATAATCTAATAAAGAAAATGGCTGGTCAATAACACCGTTTGGACCAGTATTGTAGAAGTTTTTAATAATATATTCAATTTATTTAATAAGAAATAACTGGTGGTGAGGAGTGAGAGCTGCTATTTTTATCACTAGTCATTTTCCAGACGTACTCTTCGTTCCACTAAAGTATAAAAATGAGAATAACTCCCAAAGTACTTATGGAAAATTGGTTCTATAATACATAATAATTGAGTCAGAAAAATTATATTGTTATGAAATATAGTAACTATATTTCATAGAATAGCTAAACTGTTTAGCTCACCTCTTTTAATTTTTAATTGTAAAGAAAAATGATTAAAATAGCATTATATTAAATTTCATGTTATCAACCAAAATCAATAATTAAAAATTAAGTTATCCTAGAAAAATGTTCTTAGTTAGTAACATTTATTATTTATTAATAAATATTGTTTACCGTAATAGTTATTTTCTGATTTTTAAATTTTTTTACACTTTAAATTACTTAACAGTTAGTAATAACAGTCTATAAAATGATATTATTTTAAAAATAGTATCTTGGGCTGTTGGGTTGGTAAAATTTTATGATTTTTGTGATATAATTATTATAATTTTATAATTTTAAATTATGTCAATAATTATCATATGAAATACTACTAAAATAAAAAAAGGATCATAAATGCCAGGTAAAAATGAAATAAATTTAGATTTAATACAAGTTATCCCAAAATGGGTTATAAATTAGATCTTGACGATATGTATACTGCCGGCCAAAATTATTAGATCACACAATAACTTTAAGATTTTTTTCAAATAAGATTTGATATCTTGTTGGTTTATTAAATATTATTATAATATTAACAAACATGATTGCTGTAGATTCAAAGAAAAAATAATTCATCTGCAAAAAATTATCGACAGAAATTTTAATTCGAATTTCTTTGGTGATCTAATAATTTTGGGCGCCAGTATATATAGATATTTGTGTATTTATCGAGATATCAAGTTGGGAGCTATTAACTGTTGGGCATACTCATAGTTGTAAGTTAGATCTGATTTATTTACATATATACATATATTATTATTTTTTATAAAATATTTTTTTTTAGGTTTTACTATTGCTCAAGCAATGGTAGAAAATGGTCTAAGGATGAGTACATCTAGAGCATTTTTACGTCCAGCTAACAATAGGGAAAATTTGTTTGTGAAGATAAATAGTCGAGTAACAGGTTTGGTGTTAAATAAATTCACTAATCGCGTTCAAGGTGTTAAGTACATGGATAAAAACGGTGAACATGTAGTTCGAGCTCGAAAGGAAGTGATTTTATCAGCAGGTGTAGTGGGCTCTGCTCAATTGTTAATGTTATCGGGGATAGGACCAGCAGAAGACCTACTTCGGGTTGGAGTGACGGCATTTAAGGATTTACCGGTTGGTCGCAATCTTCAACACCACGTATCTGTTAGTATTGCGGCTACAGTTAATGATTCTGATCACCAATATCATTTGTCGATGGACGCTGTTTCAGAATTTATTAACAACCGCACGGGTCCATTAGCAAGTACGGGACTAACACAAACAACTGGATTTTTGACTACTAACTACGCAGAAAAAGGCGTGAGTTTCTTTTCGGAAATAATTAATCAATATTTTAATACATTATCTCCTTCCAATAGTTGAAAGTATCATTTTAGACAATAACACGTTTGAAGAATAGATGAAGAAAACGCATAAAACTGCTTGTTATTAAATTGAGTAAAAATAATTTGTTTTTTTTTCTTTAAAAATATGCATTGATTGGTGTATTAAAAACTATAGAGCAATAAATGTTTATCGTTGGACATAAATTGATTTCTCCTATGAATGTAAAAATTAATTGTTTCTGTCATGACATATGCTATCATAAAATACATAAAACATTTAAATTATTTTAAGATTTTTTTAATATCAACGTGTGTTGTAAAACTATAAAAAATTACATAAACAATAAGGAAATTTGTCCATTGTTTCAAAACTATTAAATTGTAGATTATTATAAAACTTAAAAAAGTCAAATTTTGCAACATAATTTTATTGCTTTACGAATAAATAATAACTTTTTTATTAAAAGGGCATTGTCTTATACTAATCTTACATAAAATAATCGATTTTTTGAATAAGTACTTCCAATGTTAAATAGCAATATAATATTTTAATAAAATATAAATAAATCTGTTTCCAGGTCCCTGATGCTCAGTTATACTTTGATGGTTTGGCGCCAAGTTGTAATAAAGTTTTAGTAGACTCTGATATACCATCATTTAAAACAAATGAACAAAGAACATACGTATGGGCTCGACCTACATATTTACTAACTAAAAGTAAAGGATACATAGCTCTTCGGACGGCTAATCCTTTGGATTCTCCAATTATTCAGCCTAACTATTTTCATGACTATAGAGACGTGTTGGGTATGGTGGACAGTATAAGAATTACAATTGATATTATGAACACTAAAGCGTTAAAAATATGGGACTTAAAATTAGATAATACACCAGAACCTGGATGTGAGCATTATGTATACGGTACCCATTCCTATTGGGCTTGTGTTGTGACTACCGCTACTAGACCAGAAAACCACCATTCAGGTACTTGCAAAATGGGACCTTCATGGCATCCGGAAACAGTTGTTGATCCGGAACTAAGAGTTTTAGGTATACCAAACTTGAGAGTGATGGACGCTTCCGTATTTCCTACTGGTCCTAATTGCAATCCTATGGCACCTATTATTATGGTTGCTGAGAAAGGATCAGATATGATAAAAAAGACGTGGAAATCATTAACTAAAACAAAAACGTTATAAATGTTATTTATTATTTTTTTACAATACAAAATGGTTTTTATACCGAGCGATCGTTAGTATTAAGCTTTGATATTGTGCACCTACGTTTCAACATACTTGAGTGAAAATATAAATTATTTTTTTGATTAATCAATGTAGAGGAAATGAAATATTGACTAACGATCCGAAACAAACTATTACAGAAAATGGTGACTTATATTGCTAAAAACATTTCTTTGTTGCTCTAATTGCTAGTTTAGTTTTGAAATTTAATTTTTTGTTTAATTTAAGCCCAGATTTGGTTCTAAATAAAATTTAAAAGAATTCAAATTTGTATTTTGTGATATTATTATTATATTTACCGAAATATGTGTTTATTTATTTTAATAAATAATTATTATCTTATACATTTTAAGAGTATTCCATTAAGCTAAATAGAGAGATCAATAAAAATTAATTTTTAAGTTATAATTTTAAACTTTCTTTCATAAAATAAAATTTGTATGTTTATCACTTGAAAAAAATCCGTTTGCATGATGAATTAACATAATTTTAATGAGTGGGTAATGTAATAAAAAAAAATATTAACTCATTTTTTAAATCTGATGTTATCATATTAAAAACATATTGTAATACTTAAAATTTCACTAGCTATTCTAGAGTATGCTTTAAAATCAATGGTGTGGAGCGATTATAACCTCATTAGGTTATATCGATTTTATATTTTAACTTGAGACAAAAAAAAATTAAAATTAAGGTTATATAATAATTTTTTACTTATTAAATGATGGTAAAAAACATTGTAAATTTTGAAGTGCATTAAATTCTGGATGTGCACATTTCCAGATCTTAAAATTTAAAAAATTGTTTACATTATCTTAAAGCTATAATTTGCAGTCCTATGGCCAAGAGTTTTTTTTTTCGAGAGAAAATTCTAAAAGAAGATTTTACTCTCTCCAAGAAATTAAATTAAATTTAACCTACAACTAAAATTTAATTTAGATAAATATCAAAAATTCTAGATATTAAATATCCTCTAAACTATTTTGAATTAATTTTTTATTTGTGGGTATTGAAACAAACTAAAAAAAGTTTGTTATTCTAATTTCTTGAATAAGTTCTTTTTATAGATTTGTGTACCTTTTTTAACGGATAATAATGGTTTTTATAATTTTAACTATAAAAATAATTTTTTTATTCAACTTCAGAAACCATATTGTAGAGGAGAGTGGTACAAGGAAACATTCAATTTTCAAAATGCTTTATTTAAACTTGTTTTTCAAGGTATTTAATTATTTTTTTTTTAACTGATTGATAATTATAATTAATCTATAAAATAATGATTAATAACTTTAATTTTTAATTAATTTTTTTCACAATAAAAAAAAACTATAATTATTATTATTTTAATCTGGTAGCATAATTCTGAGTTGATCAATCACCATATAACCATCAAAATAAATAAGAACTTTCCAACAATGTGTTAATTTTGAAGTTTCCAATGCTATAATAAAAAATTTATGTAACTGAATTATGCTCTTTTTCATTAGACTATAAATAAATTTTTTAATTAAGCATTCATCTTTAATATTTTTATGGAGTATCAGTTTCATTTTTTATATTGTAACAAGCTTGGCCTTTGAGATTTTGGAACCTCAGAATTATAATAATAGTATAAAATATTATACTTTAATGACACCTATGATATATCCAATACTCCGAGTCTCAATGCGAAATAAAAAACATATTAAAAAAAAACTTATACATAAGAATATGACTAATAGATATTAATGAATATAACCTTGATAATTGTATTATTTATATAAATAAAGATATTAAAATGAATTATTATAAATTATAATAAATAAAATAGACAATGTTTTTGTGGTGGTTTAATTAACGATAAACTTGACCATTACCCGCTAGGTAGTATGCTCTACATTGTGCTCCTGTAGGTGGGAATATCAGTAGGATTTGATTCAGTACACAATTCTATAACAAACAATTGTCAACAAAGTGTTATTAGCAGTGATCATGACTAGATTTTTTTAAAGTAATATTTTGATTTGTAAAACTATAGTTTATATTTTAGTAATTAATTGTTGTGAATTCATTTAGGCATAAAATAATTCTTATTTAAATTTTAAAGTCGAAATTATGTAATTTAGTGAGTATATTTGAAATAAATTACAGATTTTACAAAGGTATAACATTAATAAATTTTCGAGTAATGTTTTTCTGAAATGAAACTTGAATATTTATTTTAAATAAATGATTTGTAAAATAATAAATATTTTAATTATATAATTAAATTGATTCAGTATGAAAAATTAGGATATTTATTATTAAAAAAAAAAAACATTTGACTTTAATAAATTTTCAAGTTCATTTCAGAAAAACTTTACTCAAAAGTCAAATATATACAGATTGATTTTTTTATCATAATTCACCTATTATTTACAGAATAAAAATAATGTAAACATTTTTTTTTTTATACCATTAATTACATATTATTCTTAAATTATTTGCTATGTTTTATATTGGTTTTATTTTATTTGTAAATGTCATTTAAATTTTTAATAAAAATATTCGTTTATTTATTTTTTGAAGTTTTTATTAACATGTATTATATATGGGGGATTACAAATACAGCAAGCTAATTGTTTTTTTTATGATATTGCTATCACATATACAGGAGCATTTATTGTCATTTATGACTTTGTCAACAGATACTTTAATGGAGGACGCATATTATTGCGAGTTAACATTTTTTAATACACCAAATGACAATACAGAAGACAACCGTCGATAATCATAATTAACAATAAATATTCTGAATATTTATTATCTAGCGATATCATAAAGAAACCAATTAGTAACCTGTATTTGTAATCCCTTGTATATAATACATGTGAGTTAAAAAATTGAATCTTTAAATGTTCATATCTAATAAACGAATAAAATTACATTAAAAATTCAAATGCCACTTACTATTAAATTAAAAACTCAAACATTTTATTAAATTCAAAATATGTGTTTCCATTTGAAAAAATAAAATTGATACCTTTACAAGGCATAATATATGAATTTTTAATAATACATAGCTAATAATTTATTAATAATATGTCATTAAAGGTGTATACAAAAAAATGTTAAAATTATTTTTATTTTGTGAATGTTTGGTGAATTATTATAAAGAAATCATTTTGTATACATATAGACATTGATATTATTTTTGTTATTTTTTAGTTTCATATATTTCTTGATTCATCAATTATTTATTACTTTTTCAATTCATTCCTTATACCTTATATGGGTGTCAACTTTAGTTCATTAAATATCAACATTAATATTTACATAGCTTATAAGATAAAAAATTATCTATCTAAATAAATGACTGGTTAGTGTTTTAGAAGATACTATCGTTTAAAATTATACACTGGTGGTAATGCAAGATCGTGACAATATTTATCATTAGATATTTCTCTTCCTACTTAGATACAAATATATTAGTGACTTTCAAAGGACTCATATAAAATATTTTATCGACCTATTAATTTCTTAATTAAATTATTTCCTATAATCTTTAATATCATTATTTTCTTTAAGTGAGAAGTAATACATAATAGTTATATATTTGTAAACATAATATTAATCTTCTACATAATAGAAAAACGATTCCAATTTAAGTAAAATTAAATTTATATTATATTTTTAAAGTTATACGTGCACCAATTCCTAAGTTTCTTCTAAGATATGAAAGTTTTATTAATTTAGCTCTAAAAATACTAAAAAATATCGTAAAAGAAAATTTATAATTAAATCGTAATTTTTTATTTTATATAAAATTTGTTATTTTTGAGTTATGTTACTATTCTTGCTATTAAGTAATTAATTATAAATCATAGTTTAAACTGTGTTTCTTAAAAATTATAATTATTAAGAAACACAATTTAATTATTTAAGTTATTTGATACTTATAACAAAATATTTAAAATATAAAATCGTACCAAAAAAAACTTATTTGTCGCTTTTTGTTTTGAATAATTCAAATAATTGGAATATTTATTATTCCACCACAAAATTACTATAAAATCAAATTGATATAGCGTTGTAAGTAATCTGAACTAGAATAATCTTTAAAAACTTTATGTGTTGCTCAAAATATACCAGGTTAGTGTTTTAAAAAATATTAATTAAATTGAATGACAATTCCACAGCAAAAGAATACGCTTAACAAAGTTTATACAACAAATTTATAATTTAATGTTTAATACTTCTTAAAAAACCTTTGAAGAAAAAAATGTATAACTATTTTCAGTATAAAGTAATTAAAGTAAGTAGTAAAGAGTTATTGATGTTTATGGTTTTTAACAAAATTCCGATGCGGACCACTTGGGTTTACACAAAATCTTACATTTTTTAAAATCTACATGCTGGTGGTTTAAAATATTATAATGCAAGTGGTTTTATAAAATTAGCTAAGAAATCAGTAAAGTAAACCACAAATTACTTTAGAAACTCGTAGGTACTTTATTTTTTATTTGGATGTGGTTAAAACAAGAAATAAATTGGTCGATGTCACATAATGCATACTTTTTATTTTAGTATAAAAATAATGACTAATATGACTAATATAAAATAATGACTAATATGACTAAAATGTAAAACTTAAAATTAAATTTTTAAGAGAGTTTTTAAAAATGTTTAATTTAAATTTATAATAATATAACTATTGCATAAACTAAAACGTGAATCTAAACGAGGTGTTTGTTTAATTTTGATCAAAATCCATGAATATAGATTGAATTCCAGCTGACAAAAATTTACTTAAATTTTTTTTAAATATCTCTCTTAATTATGAAAATAACCATCTTACACTTGTGTTGTCTTACATTTTTAGCTTTAATCAACTCAAGAAGTTTTAAATGTAAATATTTAAAATGATTAAAATGGAAAACCACTACTACACATCATTTACTCCAAAAGATGTATCAGAAATGTGCATACAAACGAAAAAACCTATGTCCGCCTGTCACACAGATAATTTTGTATTTTTGCGATTTCTTATGCACTTGTTTGGCTTTACGACTGATAGCGATTTAACACTTCAAAAGAAACATGTATTATCAAATATCGAAAACTCAGATTTAGATCCTAATCATTTTCTAGCTGGTTATGAACATTTATTCGATGAAACAATTATGTCAATTTTCCAGAAAACAAGACAGAAAAGGTTAGCGCATGAAGAATACGACTTTGTTATCGTCGGTGGCGGATCAGCTGGTTGTGTGGTAGCTAACAGATTATCGGAAATTAAAGAGTGGAAGGTATGTCGAATGTTTAATCAATTGAAATTTTCATATATATTACTACAGTTTTGTAACGCATTAACTAAATCGCACTAGATATATGTCAGCTTAATATTTATGCGTGCAAAACAATTTTTGAGTTTTCAAATCCGGGGTCATTTAAACGCAAATTATTGTGAACTAATATACATATTCCAAATTTTGCTATGCATATTGTTTGTAGAGTCGTACTTATCATACAACGCGTTGTACGAATAGTATGTCATAATTAAGGTTCGAAATGATATTCTTTTAAAATATCCAAAATATGATGCTAATATCCTCTCAAAAAGTTAATAATATTCTTGTTATATTCTTTAAAAAATCTGTATAATACACTAAAAATATTCTTTTATTAAACATTTTTTTTTTAAATTAATCATATATTTCTATAAGAATAAAAAAAAAATTGATATTAAATTAATTTTTTCTTTTATTTACCAAAGTAAAAACTTGTTTTATTGAGGTATACATGTGTTCCGAATTGGTTAACTGTTAGATGACACTCATTTTCTTAAAAACTTTTGAGAATTTTAAATTGTTAAGAGAAATATATTAGGTTTAAAAAACTCTACAGTAATATTTAGTTAATAATTTTTTAATACATTTAGCACATTCAAGTTCAAATGTCATTTTTGTGATTTGTCAGAACATAAAGAAAAATCATGAACTTTAGAGGTACTTAAACAAAAGTCATAACTTCCAACTCTGAGTTCTATCGTTGTAGAAAATAACTCTACGAAATATACTAAATAGTTCAGTTAAAAAAAAATAGTTTTGATAAATACGTTCCTTTGGTTCTACGTGGACGGCTTGCAGTTAATACATGTAATGTCTTACTTTATAAGATGATATGTTGTTTAGATAGTAATCATGAAACGAATTTATAAAATTATGAAAACTTTAAATTATGACATTAGCGATATGGTTATTTAAATTAGAATTATACGAATAAACTTCAAAATATTGTAAATAGAATGAATTTAAGTAAGCCTACTTATAATTTAGGTAAATATGAATCGTGTATATTTGGCAATATAATGATCATATAATGGAAAACATAATACAGCTGAACGATCATTAGAATTTATTTATAGCAACTTATATGATCCAATAATACCACTTACAATGGACAAGAAGAAATATTTTTTAATATTTTTAGATAATTGTACTCATTTTTCTAGTAATTCCTGTCATAATAGAAAAAAAAAAAATAAGTTTTTGAGAAATTCAAGGAGTGTGAAACATTAGTTATTAATAAATTCAATTTAAAAATAGTTAAGTTTCGTTGTTATAATAGAGGTGAATTCAATTCAAATTTGATAAACATAACAGAATTTTTAACAGAATCATTATTGAATTGTACTGTTACAGAAGTGTGGTTTAATAAGAAACTAGATATAAGTAAATTAGGATTATTTGGACCAGTAGCTTATATATACAAACCTATATATCGTAGAAATAAATTTAACGAAACAGGAGAAAAATGTTTAATAATTGGATAGAATAAAAAAGGTAGTTTCACTTCATATATATATATACAGGGTGTTCAGTAAGTCAGGAAACGGGTATCTATTGTTCTCATTGTTACAAACAATGAGAACAATAGATACCCGTTTCCTGACTTACTGAACACCCTGTATATATACAACCAAGTTTATTTATTAAATTAAGAAATCTGTCCAAAAACTAACATCAAATTGTTGGTTTATTCATTTAATCAAAAATTAGGAACCTTAAGATGTATTTCATGGTACTCAGATAATTTTCTTTATGTAAAATAATAAAAAAATTCAGTTATACAGAGTGATTTTTTCATCATATCTCACTCAATTACTTACAGAATAAAAAAAATTTAAACTTTTTTTTTGTATACCTATAATTACATATTATTCATAAATTATTAGCTATGTAATATTTTTTAAGTTCATCTCTTGTACCTTGTAAGGGTGTCAACTTTGGTTTTTTAAATGGGAATACTTATATTGAATTTAATAAAATGTTTGAGTTTTTAATTTAATAGTAAATGGCATTTGAATTTTTAATGTAACTTTATTCGTTTATTAGATATTAACATTTAAATTTTTAAATTTTTGAGCTAAAATACATGTTTAATACACAAGGGATTATAAATACAGGTAGCTATTTGGTTTTTTATGATGTTGCTGTCACAGTCCTGGAGTTTTTATTGTCAATTACGACTATCAATAGATATACTTTCTGTATAGTCAGTTAGTGTATTTATTAACTCCCAACAATATGCCTTATTAACATTGATAATAAATGCTGTGTACCTGCGAATATCGATGTCATAAAAAACTAATTAGCTACCTGTATTTGTAATCCCTTGTGTATGTTACATGTTTATTAGCTAAAAAAATTGAAACTTTAAATGTTTATATCTAATAAACGAATAAAGTTACATTAAAAATTTAAACGCCATTTACTATTAAATTAAAAACTCAAACATTTTATTAAATTCAAAATATGTGTTTCCATTCAAAAAAACAAAGTTGACACCCTTACATGGAATAAGGGACTAACTTAAAAAGTATTACATAGTTAATAATTAAATAATAATGTGTATCTAAGGATAATAAAAATATATATATATATATATTTAAATTATTTTTACTCTGTAAGAAATTGAGTAGGTTATGATAAAAATATCACTCTGTATATTAGTTGCTATATGCCAATGACATATTAATGGCAAAAAAATATTTAGCTTATATTGAAAATATTAAAATTTTATTAAAAGAATAATTTTCAGTGACAGATATAAGAGAAACAAGTAAATTTTTGGGCATGAATATTGTCAGATAAAAAGGTAACTTTATATTAGTTAAAACCTATATGTATAAAAATTATTAGACCGTTTCAACATGAAAATCTGTAATGAATGCAAAATTACTATAGAGCATAAATTATAATTAAACTAATAAAAATATTATTGTAGAGGCTTAGTGAATTAATCGGTGAGCTAATACATTTATCAAATCATGCACGACTAGATACTTGTTATAGAGTAATATTATGTACTTATTTTATAGTAAATAAATAATTGAAATTCAAGGTAATACGATTTATTAAGTAATAATAATATAACACATAATGTAAGGTACACTTAGTGGGGTCCAATTATAACTGACCGCTATAACGTACATTATTTTACAAGTTAAGCTTGTCACTCATGTACTCATATTTTATTTATTTTATTTGTTATTTCAAATTTAAATTATTTATCTTGTATCTTTGTATTTTAAATTAGGTATGTATAAATTGAGATGAAGTATTGGTTTTGGTATCATCAATTTATATATGATTATCGTAATATTATATGTAGTCAAACAAATCTGTACACTGTATTATGTTACATAAATAACAAATCACACTTTATTCAAGGCTGGATATGGAATCTAAGAGCATCTTACCATTTACAAAATCAGTGTCTCACATTAGTGGTATATTTAGAAATTTACTTTAAGAAGAGTCCATATAACTTTCAGATCTCTATATTCTAAAAGTTAGAAGCTTAATATTGTAGGTTTTTACGTTTTCTCATCTTCTCTGACATAAGCAAAAGCTTTTAGAGAAGACGTTAAACATAATTAACAAAAAAAGGTTACTTCATTTCTTTTTTAGTCGATCTTTTGTCAAATTGTATAAATAAAATTATTTATTTATTTAAACTTAAGTTAAAAACTATACCAAACAATACATGTAAAATTTTAAAGGAATATTTACAATAGAAAATAATTCAAATACATATTGAAAGTGTTAAAATAAGATAAGATATCATTAAAATAAGATAAATATTATTATAATTTACTAATTTCATAGATTTATATATAGAAAATGTGATCGGTCCCAAGTTCAATTCCCAGGATGCCAACGAGATTTTTCTTGTCATTTTCTCATTGGTAATATCTGGTCTCTAGTGCAAGCCGACAATAATATCTGTCACGTCTATTATTGACCTAGCCAAGAACCATCTTTGATTCACTAACATATAAATGAGATCCACTACTCTCTGTAGCATGTTCAGGAAATAGAAGGATGTAAAACTGATCATTATAGATTTATATACAGAGGTGTTATGGCCATATTTAAGTTATAAAATTACATTTTACTTTTAATACGCATTTTTCATGAATTTAATAAAATATATTGAAATCTTCCATAATAATAAATTATGGTAATTTAACAAAATCTGTTTTCTAACTTCTTTCGACTTATCATTTAAGTACTTTAACTATTTCATCCCATAAGCATCTATTCACATTTTTTTATCTGATTAGTAAATTAAGTGAAATGATTCAAAATGAGCTTTATAAAAAATATCAAAGTTTGTTATATTAAGAAATAATAATTTGTTAAGAAATTTTCCAATTTTATTATTATTTTGTCTTATTATATTATAGGTCTTACTTTTGGAAGCCGGTATTGAAGAACCAGAATTTTCTTCTGTACCTGGATTAGCTCCTTTACAATTGAATAGCAAAATTGATTGGAATTATACCACCCAACCAGATAATCATATATGTAGATCGAGACCGGGAGGTGCGTGTGATTGGGCAAGAGGTAAAGTGATGGGTGGATCTAGTACAATAAATTATATGATATATACTCGAGGAAATAGAGAAGACTATAATGAATGGGAAGAAATGGGAAACGAAGGTAAATTATACAATTCATCTAGAAATTTTCAGCAAAATTTTTATTTGCTAAAAACAAATTTCTTGAATTATTTTAACTTACTTATTAGTTTAACTTGTATAAAATATTGTTTTTACTTCATTTTCAATCCATAAAATAAAAAATTATAATATGTTTTAATATTCAGAGGAATTACAATGGCATGACACTTTCAATAACTATTGATCTAATTAATATTTTTTATTTCATTATTTTTTCATAATATTTTAAGTGATAAAAAAAAATTAAAAATAATTTGAGATAGTAATTCTGTAGAGTAGATAATAAAAAAAATATGGTTAAAAAAATCATATTAATATTTAGCAGTAAATTATCTATAACATCTCAAAAATAGTGACACATTTTACTCTTGTATGTTTTTTACGATAATCAAGCATTGAGATACAATTTGAGAAAAGAGCAGAAGAAAATGAAATCCTTTCACCCTAAATATTAGTAATAAGTATATAACTATTTTTATGAAAAGTATTTACATTTAACCCTGTAAAGGAACATAAAATTTCGAATAGTAATATCACCTATTTATAAGATCTCTTTTGTATTAGTTTATTTCAAAGAAATAATAATTTAACTCTAGAAACCTGAAATTATAAAATCATTAAATAATTATTAATAACATCCAATTAGATAGAACTAATATTGTCATTTGTTGAGTTACAATGATTACTAGCGTAATCATAGGACAGAAAATTGGTGTCATATCCACCTACGATAAAAATAATTATATAGTGGAGATATAATTTTTTCGTTTGGAGGGGAAGTTCAAAAATTTTTTATGAATACCTCTGCCTCCCTAGATAAAAACCTAATTACAACACAGATAATAAAATTAGAATTTTAATATAAAAATATTTCGTTTTTAATAGAAATATCAAATTATTTAGTAATGAAAAAAAAAATTCTATTCAAATATATACAGGTTGATTTTTTTATCATAACCCACTCAATTACTTATAGAATAATAATAATTTAAAATTTTTTTTTTATTATTATCTTTAGTTACACATTATTCTTGAATTATTAACTATGTAATACTTTTTAAGTTCATCCCTTATGCCTTGGAGGGGGGTCAACTTTGTTTTTTTAAATGGTAACACATATTTTTAATTTAATAAAATGTTTGAGTTTTTAATTTAATAGTAAATGGCATTTGAATTTTTAATATAACTTTATTAGCTTATTAGATATAAACATTTAAAGTTTCAAAATTTTGAGTTAATATACATGTATAATACACATGGGATTGTAAATACAGGTAGCTAATTGGATTTTTATGACATTGCTGTCTCAGTCACGGATTGTTTATTATCAATTATGATTATCAATAGATATACTTTCTGTATTGTCAGTTAGTGTATTTATAAACTCATAACAATGTGCCTTACTACCATTGATAATAACAATGCTGTGTACCTGCTAATATCGATGTCATAAAAAATCAATTAGCTACCTGTATTTGTAATCCCTTGTGTATTATACCTATATATTAACTCAAAAATTTGAAACTTTAAATGTTTATATCTAATAAACAAATTAAGTTTCATTAAAAATTCAAATGCCATTTACTATTAAATTAAAAACTCAAACATTTTATTAAATTAAAAATATGTGTTACCATTTAAAAAAATAAAGTTGACACCCTTACCAGGCATAAGGGATGAACTTAAAAAGTATTACATAGTTAATAATTCAAGAATAATGTGTAACTAAAGGTAATAATAAAAAAAAATTTTTTAATTATTATTATTCTGTAAGTAATTGAGTGGGTTATGATAAAAAAATCATTCTGTATATGTTTCTTTCACCGGCATGTATGACAATTTGTATGGGTATTGCATGATGAAAATAATCGAGACAGTAACATCTCCAATTAGTTTTCCTTTTTTTTTTTGTTCATTACTTACTTATTAATAAAGTTTATTTCATTAAACTACTAACATTTATTAGGAAAAGCATATCTCCGATATATCTCATTCGAAACACACACACACACACATATATACAGAGTGTTCAGTATATAAGGAAACGAATTTCAATTGCACTCATTGTTTGTAACAATTTAACTGTTTCCTAACTTACTGAACACCCTGTATATGTTGTTAAAATAAAGTAATGCAGAATTTATAATTTTTACTTTTACTATTAACGTTAAGCATAAAACATTAAAACTACAATTAATTTCATATAATTGATTTATTTTGTTTTTTAATATTCCATAGGATAACTAATGTTTTTTGTATATTCTGCAAATTTGTTTTGCTTTCTGTTGAAAAAATAAATTGTATGATGTTAATTAATATAAAAATTTCTTTATTATTAAGCATATAAATTTATTACGGTAAATACTGAAAAATAATTTTTAAGATTAAGTTGTTAAGCCTATTTTGAACAAACATTAATAATAATTATTGTTTTTGTCGCTGGAAGATAAATAATCACTTTTACATGAAAAAATGATCGATTATAAGGCAATAGCTGATATCAGTATTTTATACCATAAATTATTTTATAAATATAAACATTGTAAGGAAATATCTTCTTAAAAAAAAGTTGTTCATATTGCTATTGACTTAAAGTTTTACTAGATCATTTTATAACATTTACCCACAATTACTTTATAACATTATCAATGAACCCGTAAGATATAAAATACTAAGTTCCCATTTAAATCTAAAAATTAATTTTATAACTTTTAATAGTCTGAAAATTATATTAAATTACTATTATTAAATAAAATTTACTAAAAAATCGTGGATGCGTATTTCGGGAACAATGTTGCCATTATCAACGCTAAACACATATTGACACCTCGACCAAAAAAAAACTCTTACACTCACTAGCGAGTGGAGAAAAAGTAATTAGATGACCTATTTTATATTTTCTAGGTATCTCAAATGGAATAACGAGAATTTTTAAGAATTTTGGTATTACTTTAGTAACAACTAAAAGAAATAATTTAAGAGATTTATTAGGTAATCTTTAAGATAAAATAAAAGCAGGGCGAAAATTGGGCATATATAAAATACAACGTATAGGTTGTAAATAATGTTATGTAGGACAAACAAAAAGAAATATAGAGGTCAGACTTAAAGAACATTTAAGAAACATTAAAAATCAAGAAGTTGATAAATCTCCCGTGGCTGAACGTTTATTGGCGCATATCACTCCATTAAAACCATAAAACTAATCAAAATCGTAAATAATAACAAAGAACTTAATATAAAGGAATAATAGAAATGTTCAAAAATAAGAACAATTTAATTAATTTTTAATTAAAAAAATTTGTGTAAACTGGCAAAAATATTATAAAATATTACTGTCATAATATTACTTAGTGAAAACTTACTAGGTAATTAGTTTAATAGAGGTATATAAGGTTATTTTTTCGATTGGTGGTGTTAGTATGTATATAATGTTAAAAATGGTAACATTCTTCCCGAAATACGTATCCGCGATTTTTTAGTATTTTTTTATGGTCTTTTGAATTAAATATTTTAAATATGTTTTAGTTTAAAATTAATAATTTTAATATAATTCCAATTTAAAAAATTTTTCTATTTTATAATAGTAGCCAACACCTTAATTTAATTGTATTATGTCAAAATACAGTTTCTATTTCTATTTTTATGAACAAAATATTATCTATAAAATTATCTAAGAATTAAATTTATTTGGACTATTTTAAACATCAGTTACAAAGCTTAATTGAACAACACTTATGCATTATCAAGTGTCTGAAAAATAGTAATGTATATAATTACCTTTAAAGTAAAATATTTGATTAATTAAAGTAAAGTTCATTACGTACAACACAAATGTAATAAAATATGTACTATGTATAATTTTATAAGTATTGTTTAAAACTAAAGATCTTACTTATTGACTTTTAAAATGAGGGATATATTCAAACAGGGTCAAGTAATAGTTTGTGTAAATCACAATTAAAATAATATACAAAACTAACCAAATAAGCATCACGTTTAGGCAAAATCATTAATTGATTTAAAGACAAAAACAATAATTTGATGCACTTAACAACTTTACTTTTATGACTTTGGTGAAATAAAGAAAAGAATGGATATGTAACTACTTTCACTTATTTATTTATTTAATAAGCTATTCAATTCATTCAATTCAGCTGAAAAAATGTTGCAAATTAAATTTAACAGTAATCATTATCAAAACAATAGCACACTTTGATATGACAAAAACAATTTAGTGAATGTAAAAACCATCAGCATTGATTATTTTAATAGTTAACGTAATTATGAATTAAAAAATTAAATATATTTGTTACAAAGTATGATGTGTATTTTTTATGAGTAACGGAGAGATTTAAAATTGTAATAAATTATAACAAATATAAAAATAATATGATAATTTTGACTTCAATTGATCGTAGAGTTTTTAATTATTTTATATAAGTTAAAAATTAGTTAACTTCAGTAGAATATTAAAAAGTCAACGAAGATTGTTATATAAAATATCACATCATTTTAAGTAAAACTAATGGAAAAAGTTACATACTTGTAACCAAAGGTCAGGAAAAATATTTTTTTTGTTTAACGTTTATATATATTATAACGTTATCTTATAATTGAAATTAACGTTATTCGACATTTAAACATTATATACATTTTATACAAAACGTTTTTATTAATAAAACGTTAATCGTTTTATTTCGTTAATTGGTATAACATTAAAAGAGTTGGAAGCATTAACATAAGCAATATTTTATATGGACAAATTTTATTATTTTTTTAAATATAACGTTTAAAAAAAATTATTTTTGTTTTAATAAGAATTGTTTTACGTTATAAATTGTTATCAATAATAATACAAATAATTCCACTTTGAAAAGTGTAGTGTACGATGATTCGCGTAGACCTTAATGTACGCCAGTTACTGTACTCGAATGACACTTCAGATTAGTTGTGTTGTTATAAGATGGACAAAAAGGGTAACACTTAGGTAAGAGATACAGGCGATGTGCAAGTAACAAATACGTCGTGTACGTAAAAGGAGCTCAAAGTATTAGGTGCAGGCAAAGTGCAAAACACAAGTACTCTAATATGTAGGTAGGTTAGTGAAAAGAGAAAAACAAAGAGTTGTCTTTATACAGTAAGCCGGACAGTGTAAACCGAATACCGAGACTGACGAGTGACATTAGCCATAAGACTTGAGTCGACTGACCACAATGGCTAGGTTCTTTGGGTTTACATAGTATTTAGGATGATTGATAATTTAAAAATAATAATTATTATTATTATTATTTTTTTAAATTATAGTATGTTATTTTTATATTTCTTATGTATAACAAGTTTAAAAGTTAAAAAAAAAAAAATAGCATAAAATAATAATTGGATTAAAAATTATTGAATTTTTTATGTCATTGTGATTTACTTTTTATATATTTATATATAATATATAACTCTAGCACCAGTACAAAGTGTACTCATATGTACTACATACCTAATCTATGTATTATATAATTGAAATTTAATAAGTAATAATCTTAAAGTTTTTAATCAAGCCCTCAATATTTTTTAAAAGAAAAAGTATAAAAAATAGCTATTTTTAAATGTTGAAAACATTTAAAATTAAAAAAACTGTTTTATTTATTTTTTATTATTAAAAACAAATAAATAAAAATATAATTTTAACGTAGTCTAAGAATATATATATTATTAAAAAAAAAAAAGTGACGCAAAATAACCACTGGATCAAAAGTTATTAGATTTGGAAAAACATAGCGGCACTCTATATACATTATATACTATATTTATTTTAAAATTTATAAATTTAGGATGGGGGTATGATAATGCTCTGTATTATTTTAAAAAATCGGAAAACAATGAAGACCCAGAAATTTATAAGAAAAATCCACATTTTCACGGAAAAGGAGGATATCTTACTGTTGAATGGTTTCCTTACATTGATTCAACTGCTGTTAATTTAATTAAGGTGCTTAATATATAACTTATTATTATTATAGAAATTAAATAAAAATATTTACCAACTGTAATTATTACATTTTTTTAGGCTTGGAAAGAAAAAGGTTTACCTTATGTGGACGTTAATGCTTATTCTCAAATTGGCGTCACTCATTTGCAATCTACATCAAAACATGGTGAAAGAATGAGTACAAATAAAGCATTTATAAGGCCTATAAGAAAAAAAAGGAAAAACTTAACCATAATAACTGAAGCGCATGTTACTAAAGTAATAGTATCCGAAAAACATGCGGTTGGAGTTGAATATTTTTTAAAAAATAAATTAAGAACAGTTTATGTAAAAAAAGAAGTTATTTTAAGTGCAGGTTCCTTGAACACTCCAAAAATATTAATGTTATCTGGTATTGGACCTAAACAACATTTAAAAGAATTGAACATTAAATTGATAAAAGATTTGCCGGTTGGTAAAAATTTACAAGATCATGTTACATCAGATGGTGTAGTTATCAAAGTAAAAAAAACTGCAACTGATAAACTTTTAGAAGAAAAAAAACATGATGCTATTTTATACAAAAAAAAAAGAAAAGGGCCTTTGGCAGCAACTGGCCCATTGCAGTGTGGTGTTTTTCTACAAACAAAGTATGCCAACGATTGTTTTGATTTATAAATTATATTTTTTAGATTTAGGCGTAAGTATAGGCAACTAATTGTAAACAATATACATTCTAATTATTAAGTGATAATTTATATTTTAATATTTTATTTATTGATAATTTAAATGTTTTAAATTATTACAAATAACGATAGTCAGTAGTAATAAAAAAATTGTTTCATAGATCAATATATTTTGATAATAACCAAGTTATTATCAAAATTCAATTTTCCTATACTTCCTAAAAATTTAATTTTTAACTTTTTTTTAGATTTGAAAGATCAGTAGATCTACCTGACATTAACTATGCTTTTGATAACTCTAACTCAAAAGATTGGATTATTGATCCAGCTAATGCTTCAAGAATGGGAATGTCCCCTGTTTCTTATTATGAAGCAATAAACGTTAGACCAATTTTGTTAAAACCCAAAAGTAGAGGATACCTTTTATTAAATTATACTAATCCTGTATGGGGACAGCCATTAATATTCCCTCGTTTTTTTACTAAAGGAAATGATCTTCAAGTACTTATCCAAGGTGATAAAATAAAAAATACTGTCATGTCATGCCATTAGACGTATTATGAATAATGTAATCAATTAAGTTAACATAACATTTAGGAATGAAAATTGGAGCTAGCCTTGTAAAAACACACTCTATGAAAAAAACTGGTGCAGTTTTAGTAGATCATCCAGCAGAAAGTTGTAAAAAGTATAAATTCGGAAGCAATGACTATTGGGCATGTGTCATCACTGAATACACAACTACAATTTACCATCCAGTCGGAACATGCAAAATGGGACCTAATCATGATGAAGAAGCAGTAGTCGATCCTCAATTACGAGTTTATGGTATAGCCGGTTTAAGAGTAGTAGATGCATCAATTATGCCCACAATTGTACGAGGAAATACTAATGCACCAACTATTATGATAGCAGAGAAAGCATCTGATATGATTAAAAAACATTGGAAACATTACAGTAGTTCTTAAATTAATAAAAATAAATCTAAGATCATATGAAAATCAATTAAACATTCATGTCATAAAAATAGTTTATTTATTATCGGATCATTCAATTCTCCTTCTTTTTCCTCGCCTTTATTCCAACTAATTGAGTAAAGGTCACGCTTGTCCTAAGTTCCACTTGACACGACCTTCCACATCATCTACGCACACATCAGCCGTCCTCTCATTGCATTCAATAACATTCCTTCATTTCTTTTATGGTCATCCTCTACCTTTTCTTCCTTCAACATTCATTTCTACAACTTTCTTACAGCTTCCGATTCTTCTCTTCTCATAATATGACCAAACCATCAAAGTCTATTTTCTCTCATCTTATCCACAATTGACGCTACACCTATATTCTCTTTTATATGCTCATTTCTTATTCTATCTTCTCTAGTTATTCCACTTATCCATCTAAGCATTCTCATCCCTGCTACACTCATTCTCTGCTCTACTATCTTGTTAACCACCCAACACTTTGAACCATACATTATAGCTGGTCTCACTAAAGTCATATAGAACTTACTTTTCAGTCTCCTTGGAATTATTTTATCACTTAATACACCAGACGCTTCTGTCCACTACAACCACCCGCATTTAACTTGTATCTTACATCCTCGTCAATACCACCGTTCTTTTGCACAACTGATCCTAAATACTCAAAACTTTCTTCCTCTACTATTATGCCCTTGCTTATTGTCATTGATTTTCTCATTTCACCTGTATCGTGTTACGGAGTGTGGACATTATAGAGGCATAAAGCTTGTGAGTCATAGTATGAAAATTTGAAAAAATATGTAAGAGAATAAAACATGTGACATCGGTATCTAAAAACCAGTTTAAATTTATATCTGGTAATTCAACAATGAAACCATTATTTTGTATGAGACAATTAATAACTTAGAATAGTTATTTATTGCAATTAGCAATTCTCCTAAAAAAAAAAAAAAATGGAGAAAGTCATTTTTGTACTATTTTTACAGTGCAAAAAAATTCGAAAAAAATAATAACCTAATACATAATATTAAAAGATTATCAAGTTAAGAAAACACTGGGCGATAACTTGTTTTTTAAAACATAACGAAACGTGCAAAATTTTAAATCTAGTGCGTAATTAATATATACCTTATGATAAAAATAATTATGCATCTATATTTTAAAATAGTATTAACTTCCGAGAAACGGTCCAAAAATTGTTACCGATTACTCATTACTTAGCTAGATTATTTTCTCATATATTTTAGTAAAATATACATGTATTATTACAAAAAAAAAGTTCATACTCTTATAAGACTTAGGGGAAGTCCGGGTAATGTGATAGGTTAAATTCAGAGCAAAAAATATGAGTAACAATTATGGGTAACAAATTTGTTACCAAACTAATATTATATTCATCTCTAATAAGTCAAAGTAATTTTTTTTTAAATGAATTATAATATTACATAGAGTTATTTTAATTACATATTTCTATTTTGAAGTGTTTTTTATATGATTTCACTATAATTGTTTATGTTTTTTTTATTTGATAAAATCACATTTTGTTTAATCATATTTAAAAATATGTATTTTAGAAATGTAAAAAAAAATCGAAAATTTCGATTTTTTTTAACAATACATTAAATTTAATTAAAAACTACCTTTTTATCAAATTTAAGAGTATTTCTTAAATTTTTAAAACTTTACGATGTTTTCAACTTTTACATATTAAAAAGTAAATTATTGATAACAAGAAGAAAAAAAAATTTTGCTTGCGAAAAATGTCTTACTTTCTAAAAATATATGTATTTTGTGTCATTACATAATAATTCAACTATATAAAAATTCTAAAGTAGTACTAATTATAAACAATTTTTTCTTTTAATACGTTTTATAATTAAATTTATATTATACTATTATATTTTTTAAGAGTCTATTACCTAAAACACCTTCAACTAACTAGTTTTACGGGTTCTTACTAAAAAAATGTATTTATACATAAATTGTAAAATAGTATTAAAATTCTGTTATATATATAAAGTAACTTATTGATAATATACATTATAACTTTTTTCCGCAGTTGTTAATTTCCTTTCTAAAAGCAACACTTGAAAATTTTTCTCACATATGTAAATGTACAGATGAATAATTTTAGTATATAAATTCTTTTAAAATCGAAAACAATAAATTTAATAAATCTGAGTTTAATAAAGTTGCAAAGCTGAAAAGGTACTAATTTTACTATGATGAGTTTATTTTTTTTTTTTGCGTGTGTCTGTTACCACTTATTCTCTGCTCTCAATGGTCCGTTTTTACGAAAAATATGTCAAAAGATCACAAATCGTATATAATCGAAGACATTATCTTCAAAAATTGAAGAAATTTTCCTCGTTCCCCATTAATAGGGGAAATTCCCCAATTTTTTTTAACGATATACCAAATGATTACAACTTCTATCTTGTTAAAGATATTACCCTCAAAAATTGAAAAGTTGCTTAACAGCTTTCTCCGTACAGACAATTAAAATCATTTATTTCTATTATTTAGAGTATGTATTGTCGAATTAGGTTTGATATGGTAATAGGTTTCAACTACAAAATTAAATTATTTTATTTTATAATTTATTAATATTTAAACTTTATTTGTGTGTGCTACTACCAGCCTATAACATTCCAAATTGGAATGTTATAGGGTTGGTAACACGTAACTGTATATATCAATAAAAAAAAACAATTTTTAGTATCACCTTAATTTAACATAGATTTTTACAATTATAATCAAATTTTATAATACGCTCAACTGAGCAGATTTTTTAACACCTTTTTGGTGGTTTTTTAGTTAAAATATATCTTTAAAATTAATTAAGTTCTGAATATTTCAAATGTAGAATATTTTTAAACACAAAAAAATGTAAGTGGTAATTATACAATTACCCGACCGCATAATAATCTTAATAATACCATTTTTTTAATTCGCATAAAATTTTCTATTTAATGATGCAAATTTCAAACTTTCAAGTTTTGCTAAAAGTCATGGTAACAACTTTTTTCTATTACAAACTTTTTGATTATTTTAACATATTAAAAATCAAAAACAGTAATAATTTAAAAACAATTTTTTTTTATATTTAGTAAAAATATTAAAACTTCAAAGTAATAGAAAAAGTCTAATTTCAGATTTGAAATCAGTTAGAAAAGTATATTTTTGATTCCGATGAAAGTTCCTTGTAGACTGTTGTTCCTTTTTTATAAAGTATTGCATCAGGCCTTTTAATTTTTATATATGATTGTCATAGAAGTAACAAAATATACTACTTTCTCATTTTTTATTATTTTTCCGTATAAATTACAATAATAAGTTATTAAATATTGATTTCATACTATAATTAATTTCTGTAATAAATATTTATTCATAAATTATACTTTTAAATCCATAAACTACTAATGAGGTTATAATTAAGGAAATTTAATTTAGGAGTCGATGTTGCTTTTGTAATTATTCATCAATTTCTTAGAATTAAACACTATCTACAGATTTGCATCGAAGTGTTCCTTATGATAGCGATTTTAATTACTGTCAGATATTATCAATACATCTCATCTATGCCACATCCATACTGTGTTGTAACCCCATTGTGCTAACGTTTTTTTTAAATTAAATTTTAAAATTTAAATAAATGTTATCTAAATTAGTTTTAGGTTACAGTTTATTCTGAATTATAATTTTTAAACGTTTTAGAAACATTTCTATAACTGAATGACTAGTATAAAAATTAAGTGTGATGGTTTTTATTTTTCGCTTTTATCAAAATCAATTAGTTATTAAGACTTGTTAATTAACTGTTATTTTGTCTAATAGTCACGTACAACAGTTATAGTTTTATAGTATTATCTTTTCAATTAATAAATACGAATAACTTAGATTGTACTTTTATAGTTTCTCTGATTTGCATGATGATTTTATAATGTGAAAATTATAGGTTAATGACTGTTTTAATTGATTATACTCATTTTTAAGTATAATGTGACAAATAAAAATTTTTTCCACTTACTAACTTAACTTGATGAGTTATTAACATTTTGTTAACTTGAGTCATAAAATAATTTACTTACTTTTAACTAGTTAATCACATTATTGTAATAAATTATATGATAACAATTAGAATAGGGGTATTCGTGTTATTAGCCATATTACCCGAATTAAACTTTAAGAATTCTGTTGTAAAATTGTAATATTATTATAAATAATATCACAAAAATACTTATTTAAATTATGATAATATAATAAGTGACATATTAAATCTAATATGATATTTATACTAATGCTATATTATTTATTCTATCTGCTGATATTCATCACTATTTATTTGTTAATTATTTAAGTCTCCTTAACTTAACTTGCTCATCAACTCGTTAAAACTCAGGCCTTCCTTACTTATTATGATAATTCTAGTGAAATACATTACAAAAATAAAGCTATAGAAATGCAAATTAAACACAGTTTATGTCCTGTGTATGGAACCATTTGTGTATAGTTGATTCTATATTATGTGTGTGAGTTTTATAGTCTCATACCTTATTAATAATCTTGTATAATAAACCTGACGGAAAGTTTCTCTATCACATTGCTTTATATCAAAAATTCAATTCATTTTTGTTCTACATATGTTTCTAGAGGGGTTGAATCCCTCAGTCATAATGTGAACTATGCAAACAAAACAGAGCAAAGAACAGAAATAATTTTGGTTTTTGGTAATTTTTCTTATATTTATTATTTGTTATTAGAATAACATCCAGAATGAGCAAACGAGTACAGCATAAACATTTAATACTGAATTTATAAACATGCACAAGAACCAAGTATTACTTATATAACATATAATCTGCTACACTTATGTACAAAAAATCAATGTTTTGTAACAAACTAAATTCATTACTCTCTATTAATAAACGAATTGCCAGAATATTAACATTATAATTTTAACGATTAAAAGAAACATAAAATGTCCTTAAGGAAACCGCAGAAACGTTAAAAGGAACTCAGGACAATCTATCTTACTATATATAAGTTTATCAAATTGAAAAGGCTTTTTAAATTATTGTTAGAAGTAATAATGCTCAGGTCTGCACCTTATTCTTTCGGTTTTATGAGTTAACATCGTTAAAACAGTATGAAACTTTAAATTTTTCCATCAAACTCAATTCATAAGAAGGCCAAAATATTGATCCATATTCCAATTTATTGCATATCCCACATCTAGTAAATCTAGTAAAAGAACTTGGAGAAAAAAAGATTACAGAATCCAAACATATTATGAAATCGCCTTTGAAACTTTAATTAAACTTAAAATCTTACTTAAAAAAAATTAAAAATTGAAATTAATAAAACTTTTATGGAGGATTCATATAAAAATTAAAGAAAAAAATCTATTGATTTTTTCAATTAATAACAAAAATTATAATTATGTTTGCGGTAAAGAATAATAATAATTGTCCATAAATCATAAATTTCAATGAGTTGGCATTTTTAGTTAAAATGATTGTAGTTTAATAGTAATTTATATTTATTGTAACGTGTTAAGGAAAATAGTGACCACTTATTACTCAATCATAAAAAGAAAGCTTATTTTTATATTTGCAGACTGCTAAAATTTAACTTCTCTAGTATTTTTACTAATCTATACATTTGGCAGAATCATGCAACTATAATAACTAAAATAACATTTTGGTCATTTAAAAATGACTTTTAATAATCGGTCATGTTTGTTAGAGAACTATTAGTTTTTTCAGTTATTATTATGTTATATAATAGTTATAAAATTGGAAATAATTAAGTTAAGATTCTAGTTACTCAATAAGTACTTATCTTAAGTTTTTTGTTGACCATCAACATTTTTTGTAAGAAAAGAGTTAAAAATAGTAATTTAAAAAATTTGAAAAAATAAAAAAGATTATTTTAATTATTGATCTTATTAGCAACAAATAATAAACAATATAATTTGAAGGTAGTCCAGAATTGTAAAATTATTTTTAATAAAATGTAACGTAAAATATCTACTAGAACATGACGTATTAAAAATTTCAAAACCCCTCTGTTTGTTATCATTTAAAAACTAAATTTGAAAACAATTTATAGAAGGACAATTTTTCTTTTTTTGAAATTATAAATTACTGTAAGATACTGTTGACTTCCGAAGAGAAAAAATAATAATATATATTATATTTTTTAATATTTTGTATGAGTAATAGTTAAACAATCGTTTTATACATCGTCACCATTGTGCAACAAGTAATCAAGACATCGATTCATTATTTTTTTATCTAACAACATTTTAAACTTGAAAAATAACTTAAATTTTTTTATTTTTATTTGATTTATATATTGAAAAATATAGATATACAATTGTTTTTTATTTTAAAGTTTTTGCAACATTTCAACAAAATATTAAAAAATCACTTTTTGCATGGTAACAACAATATGAAATTACACATAATATAAGATTAATATAATTTGTTCCCTATCATTTCAGTTATTTTTCAATTCCAATGGTAATTAGTTTTTGAATAGTAATGCTATTATAAGATATCTTGTAATAAAAAAATCATTAATATTAGAATTTATAAAATTATTATATTTTTTTATTACTTTATTAAGTAATTGAATCTATAGGTTTAATTTTAATTACTATTTAAGTCTAATCATATTGATGTAATCTTATTAATATTTTATGTAATACATTATTCTAAAGCCTACATATTTCTTCTTCAGATAAAATAATATGTGAAATAAATTTACGCCATAGTTTTGCAGCAAATGCATCACCCAATGAGTTTTATGTAAGAGATTTAATCTTTCTAAAAATTAATTTTATTTTTCAAATGTACCTTATTAGCTTTATTTATTTGTGTGAAAAATTTTTAATTATATTCATCTAATTATTTTATTATTCTGTACGATATTTTTGACTATGGATTAAGTTATAAGATTTCTTACTTAAATGCATAAAATATTTGTAAATAAGAAATTAAGTAGTAAACTGGAGTTATCAACCCATAGATTTATGACGTATACTTCCTTTGGTGTAAGGCTTTCGATCAAAACCGATGTTTACTTTCACTAATGACGAATACCACTCGATATGGTGGGAGGGGAGATCCTCGTACTTGGCAAAGAGAAGAGGAAACAACAGACAACTCACACGTGCAAACAACGTTGATCGTGAGTCCAACAAGACCAAGAGAAAAAGCACTGGTCATTCAGTTGCTCTTTGAACATAAAACCGTAAATAAAGTTTTTAATTCGCTTCTGATTTGGTTTAAATAGCCATAGAAGGAATAATTGTCGGTTCGAACGTATTAACAGTGATAAAAATATAATCAATTTAAAAACTCCATTACCTGTAAAATTATTACGTGCATTATAAAACGAACGCTTGTGGACATCCATTAACCAGGTAAATATAAATTATTACAGTACATAAGGTACTTTAAATATTTTATATAGTTTTTTCCATTAAGAAGTTATTACCATTTCATGAATTATATGAACTTTTGAAGCTTTTACATTTTTATATTGTGTAATATCAACGTAACAATGTTTTCTCATAACATGAAAGTGGTTTTTAAATAATATAAAAACAATTTATCGATATAAAAATTATCTTTGGGGCAGCCAAAGGAAATGCACGACCTTCAGACTGTTATTTTATGTGTTGTGTCTGAAATTCTACGAAGAGCGAAAGTAGTATTATTTATGTGTACAACCGGTTTGCATACATCCGATGTTTATGCAATACAGTTTAATGATGTTACGGAAGATGTTAGCTTTTTAATCATCTCGCTATTTCTCGTTTTGTAATGAATATGTCACATTTCCCGTAGTCATATTGCTTTTAGTTTTCATACTGACCGACATATCGAACATTTTTACATTCGACTCAATACGAAGGGCTACAATAATAATAATTGTAAAATGAATTTAATTAATACAAGTTATCTAAATGTTGTACAAATACTAGTTTGAAACAACTAAAAACTATTTTTAAGGATTTCGTTATTTTATTAAATAATAAAATGTATAAATGATATTTCAAATAATTATAATGTAAAAAAGTATTTATCTTTTATTTAATAAGTTCATATATCATTATTGGCTTTGAATAATTAATCTAATATGTACATTAGTTTAAAACTATCGACATAAATGATATTTATCATTAACACATATTACGAACTACGTGACTTTCTCTTATTATAATTTGTTAATTCTGCAAATCGAATTACTTTATGGAATTTTTATGTCATTAACTAAACTATTTTGTATTAACTGTACGTGTCAAAAAGAAAAAAAATTTATTTATCTAAATTAATATTTTTAGCAATTACAATGCTGTATTTTATAAAGAAATTATACTAATGAAAATAATTGTCTTAAAAATCAACATAATTTTCGTTTGTAGATATTTTTTATAACATCGTACTACTAATATTTTAATTCATTATACAACTTTTAAATTTCAATGATTTATTGAATTACAAAAAGAAACCATCGTGTTTTTATTAATTTAACCTAATAAAAACACTTTTTTTAAATATTTAGTGTTATTAATATTATCACAAATTAATGTATTTCGATTTTGTAAAATAGAATATTGCTTATAATTTATTAATTCATTTTACTTAAATTTAACTTAATTTAATAATATCTTTATATTTCATATTTAGAGTAATATTAATACATTGAAAAGCAAGGAATTCCCTCAAAATATGTTTATTAGCAAGTCAAACTTATTTAAACGAAAATTTAGCGTACTCACGAACCTTTTCATATTTGGATACTAGTAATGGATGTGATAAAAATATTTAATTAAGTAATTATAGCGAGCTGGAATTTTAAATTTTCAACTCTCGTGGCTTTTATGTTTTCAAGAGATATAGCTCTATCTTCATAGCCATGTAAAGTAAATAACGCCTACTTAAGTCAATAGGGATTTAGGGAGGTGAAAAGTGCACTCCTATTTGAACTATTGTCATCTACTAAAAGAAAAAAGTTTTTGAATGATAAAATTTGCAAAAACATGATTTTGATGTTTAAAATTTTTTTGCACCTTCCCAATATTATCGATCCGAGCCTGATTTAAATAATATATTTAGGACTATTTTTCATTGTATTTGCAAAAAAGAGTAATAGTATTGGATTTAAACTCGTATACTGTAATGCAAAAATTTACGAATTATTTTTTAAATATATCTTTTTTGCAAATTATAGGTCAATTATGTAGGTATCAAAATAAATTAATGTTAACTTCAGATTTATAAGTTGTAATTTAACCAAGTATCATTCATTTTTTATAAAAACTTTAAGTGAATTAACATTATACTAAACAAATTGAATTAATTGTATATATTTAAAGACCTTGATTTCTCACAAATCTTGATAGACAGTAAGTTATTTTCTAAAACGTAGTAATTTTTTCTATTATCCTTTAAATGAAATATTATCACATTAAATAAAGGCTAGGCTAATGAATTATTTTTTAATTTGTTAAAATTAAGTTAATTTAAAAAGTTAAAGAATAAATAGTTGAAGATAATCCGTTATTTTTTTAAATAAATTAATTAAAAAATTTGTTACGAATTCTAGAATTATTGTAATATTTTACGTCTAAGTTTTTTGAGTGAATCAAGTGTTGTCTCTCCTAACATTCACTTCTACCTACTCTTCCCGCTCACCAAGTTACAAATGTATTAATAAGTAAAGTTAAATAAATGCAAATACTAGATTTTAAAAAATTTCATCGGACCCGGGTGATAGCCTTCTAAGATAATTAATTGTAATTTTCCCATTTCTAAAATTTTTTATACGACAAAAATTATGATATTTCAAATATTTTTCAACCTAAATTTTATAAAAAAAAATATTTTTTTATTTTTGCAGTTTTATTAAAAAAGACATATTTAATGAAAAATACTAAAATATATATTAGATAGTTGTTAAATTAACATAAAAGTTAAATTAAGAAGTTCAACATAACTTAACTTATCAACTCATTTATAGCTAGACTTGTATTAAAGTGTAATTATCAGTTAAATTATATTCTTTAACTCTAATTATCTAAATTTAATTTTAAACGTCTATAAAAACATTCGGCAAACCTCCAACTTCAATTACATTTTAAAAGAGTTTAGTTTCGTATATTGATTTCATTTCTTGATATGTATTTCATCATAATTTACTAATTCTCACTACTAAGGTAATTTAAACTTAACAGTGAATAATAAATAAAAATTTTTACAACTAAAAATTTGTTATATTCTATTATATATTTTTAGGTATAATATACATGCGCTTTTGTATTATATACTAATTAAATCGTAATATAAATATATAAATCTGTAAAAATGTAATTAATTATATAATATAGAAGTATTTGTTACTATTTTAATTAGAATATTCTCAATCCAACCAATTGGTTGAGTTTAAACCTAATCATATTATGTTAAAATTGTTTTTAAACTTTAATTAACACTTTCGTTTATTTTTAAATAAAAATTACAATATCATAGGTCAACGTAATCCAAGTATTATATCAGAGTTTGCAACTCTGCGCTCCAGGGAAATGAGAAAGTAACCTTGGCCTTATGCGACAAAAAAATAATATGGCACAGCTGACATAATTTTTATAAATGTTGCAAAATTATTGAAAGCAATTAAGTTACATGTAAGATGATTTAATTAAGACCTAAAATAATGTTTAAACCTAATTATTAAGCCCAATAATCTACAAGTTATTCTTTAGTATTTTTTTAACGAGGTTCAAACGTCCGTGAAAGATAATTCTGCTTAAATAATAGCATTATGTAATTTAAATAGCAGATGAATTAACAAAAGACACGCTATGTAGACATCACGATTTTCAGTTCAAGTTCAATATATACATGTACCTAAAAATTGTTAACATGTACTATTTGATGATTTCCTAACGTCATTTACCAACTTTCTTTGTAAATTATTCGTCAAGAAACATCACTACCGTCATAAATTTCGTGACACAATACACTACGTCAAATTAAATTTGAACTAAAATAATAATTAAATTACAAATAGTTTGTTTATATAAAGTTTTCGATAAGTTAACTCTCTTGTCCTTTCTGATGAAACAATAAAAAAATTTAGTTGGAGGCCGTTAAATATAATAACAACAAAAACGAAAAAACAAAAGGGTTTTCATTGTTCATAACAATAGACCTATTTTTTACTCGTTCAATACTTTTTATAATTTTAGATATATTTTTTATAGTCATTGGCGTAACTGCGAAGGGCTTAGTCCCCTTAAAATAAAAATTAGCCCTTTTGACGACATTGTTTCTTGACCTTGGAAAATTTTAAAAATGGCTACTAATTATTTCATCGTGTTTTTTTATATCGTACTTAAAATATAGTTGACATACCTTTATTAACTTAAAATAAAAAGTAAATAAACATTATTTTGTTTACAATTTATTTTAAATAACTTGTTATATGATAGCCTGATTTTGAATGTATAACAAATAAAAATATTTTAGATATATTATTCTTAAACACATAATTTAAAACAGTCCTGATTGTTCTATTTTTTTTTTTTTATTTAAATAATTTGCATTGATTATTAACTACTAATCAAATCACTTAGTAATTAAATTATTAATTTTTTAATTTTAATTTTTTTACTTTTGAAAAATCGGTAAATTAGATCAAAAATTTTATATTATTTTATAATTACTTTAAAATATTAAACACATCATAAGCGATTCTTCCCTAAGTACTAAAAAAACTGTACATTTTAAAGTTATACAACTAATAGCATAGATAATTATATATTAAATTCTTAAAATTGAATCTTGTTTATGAAAATAATTACAAAATTAAAGAAATAATTTATAGTCACAAACTTGAATTTGTAATTAAATAATACTATAAAACATAATTGACTAACTTTGGAACTCATGAGGTTTGAGTAATTCATTATGTCATAGATTCACTAAGTAGTTTTCTCACTTTCACGAACGTATAGTATTTTACCAAATAAAGATTTTAACATTAAATTAATTATAATATATAATAAAGTTATGATAATTAGAATTAATTATAATTAATATTAATTACAAATAAACTGTATATTTTTTAAGTTATATTATAAATATAATATGGAAATAATTACAAAAATTTATTTTAACTATACTCTGTAGACAAAAGCTAATAAATATTGTTTATAAATAAAATGGTTTTAAATATATATATTTTTTTAAAGGTGCTATCAAATTTTTTGAACCAATCAAGTTAAATCATGAACAGTAAATGAAAACAGAAAAATGGTACACGCGGGTACTGTACTAATACATGCCATTAAATTGGCTACTAAACTAGCTGCCGGTGGGAAATTATTATTTTTACCGACATTTTTAGCAGCTTTAGCATATTATAACTACGATCTATACGATCCGGAGAACAATTTGATTGATGAAAAGACCCTTAGAACTGAGTATGACTTTATTGTTGTTGGTGGAGGTTCAGCGGGTTCCGTCGTAGCAAACCGTTTGTCTGCTAACCCTGAATGGAATGTGCTTCTTCTAGAAGCTGGTGGACAAGAAACTGAGTTAACTGACGTACCAGTCTTATCGTTATATTTACATGGCAGTAAATTCGATTGGAAGTATAAAACCCAACCAGCGGATTCAGCATGTCAAGCTATGAAAGGTAAAAGGTGTTGTTGGACCCGAGGTAAAGTCATTGGAGGCTCAAGTGTTCTCAACACTATGTTGTACGTACGAGGTAACAGAAGAGATTTCGACAACTGGGCGGCAATGGGAAATCCAGGTTGGTCGTTTGAAGAAGTATTGCCGTATTTTAAAAAGTCTCAAGATCAGCGAAATCCGTATTTAGCCAAAAATACTAGATATCACGGCACTGGAGGATATTTAACTGTTCAAGACTCTCCTTGGAATACTCCTCTTGGTAAGTTTTTTTTTTTTCATAAACTCGGTGAAAATTGTTAACTTGATCATAATTTTATCAGATTATTCATTTTAAGAATGTTTACTGAAATAATGTAATAAAAACTACACTTTTAAATATTGTCTAAATTTTTACATACATGTACCGGAAGTTTTTAATGTATATAATGAAAGTAGTGATTATGATAAATAGTGACGAAATTGTATATTTGTGTAAAAATGTTCGGTACTATTATGTAAAAATTACACTACTTGTATGTAAAATGAACGTGTATTCAAAATTTCATATTGAAGTATGAAAATGTTTGGATCTTTTTTTACAATGTATATAATGACCAATTCTTTGTAATACTCTATTCACACATTTATAATATAAAAATATTGAGGTAGTTCATTTTATTGATAGATATTGATCTTTGATAATAACACGTTGATATGTAAAACGTAGTACATTTAAGATCAGAGTTTGTTATTATACATGTTAAAAAAACCTCTTTAAAACATGAGTGAATCGTTTAAAATGATTAAAATGTTGCATAAGGCCAATATAAATTTTTATTTTTTTGTGTTTTAAACGATGTTTGTTTAAAATTGAACAATCCTGTCTAAGATTCTAATTAGTCACAGACTTCATCCTATATTTATTATTGGTAGTTATCTGAGACCACACAAATTATTAAATTATATTTAGGTTAATTATAATTTATAAGACACAATGATCTAAGTTGCCTAGGATATTTTAAATAAAAATATAAATTAATAGATTAATATTCAAATTGTAGAATTTTCCCATAGATCAGTTTATTTAAGATATGAATATGTGATAGTGATATATCCAGGAGGCTAAAAGAGCTAAAACTCCCAACCGGTACTATTTAAAATATATTTTAAGTAAAACATTGCTTAAAAAAATATGTATACTATTTGATAGTCCTTATTAAAAAAATGTTCTTTTAAAATTCCAATATTTTATCTTATGTCTAATACATTACTAGGCAAATATCATAAAAAATGGAAATATAAAAACGTAAGAGCATCCTTATACTTGAGATAAAATTTGATAAATATAATTTAACCAATTATAAATAATAGTAAATTAAATTTATTTAGTTATGTCAACTAGCTACTATAGTTGAGCAAACTATATGAGTTAGTTCTTCTAACTATAGAATTGGGTTTGTCACTATAAATATTAAATATAATTTTTCATGTTCCAATATGTCAAAAGCATTATTTTGTATAAATTAAATTGCGTTATAAAAATGAGTAAATATTACAGCGCATTAAAATTATTATAAATAATTTGGATGCATTTAAAATTAATATAAATTTTTTTTAATTGAACTTTACAATCAAAATCAATGAACTTTAGTTTACAAATATAAACATTATAAAAATTCGTTCTTTTAAGTTTAAACCACAGCAAATCGCATAAAACTTTTTTTTCGTAAAAACTGTACCACTGAATTGGTTTTCTATTAGAACTTAATATAAAACATAGATCATCCAATGCTAGAAATAAATAGAATTTATATCTATAATATTTTTAAAAATAATTTCGCAGGACTTGCATTTTTACAAGCTGGAGAAGAAATGGGTTATGAAATAAGAGATATTAACAGTGAGATCCAAACAGGTTACAGTCTTTTTCAATTTACTATGCGTAGAGGCTACCGGTGCAGTACTGCTAAAGCTTTTTTACGACCTATCAGACTTAGAAGAAACTTACACGTGGCACTATGGTCACATGTTACTCGGGTACTAATCGATCCCGAAAGTAAGAGAGCATATGGCGTAGAGTTCGTGCGAGGTGGTAAAAAAAAGACAGTTTTAGCTAGCAGGGAAGTTATATTGTCAGCTGGCGCTATCAACACACCGCAACTATTGATGCTTTCCGGTAAAAAACGACTTAGAGTTATGCAATTAATTTTTTATTATATTCGTCCAGTGACTACGTGAGCTTGTTCACACGAGTGAATCCAACGTAGGTTGATATTGCTAAGTGAAAGCAGTAGCATTAACAACATAATATTTTGTAATCCGCGGTCACTGTCATGATTTACATACAAACCAAAATCTAATAGCATAACGAGAACAATATATCACATAATACATATTTTAAAATATTTGATGTTTCTAATGTTTGTTTTGTATAAGGTATTGGACCAGAAGATCATCTCAGAAGTCTTGACATACCCGTAATTCATCATTCACCTGGTGTTGGCGAGAACCTCATGGATCACCCAGCGGTGGGAGGCATAGTATTTAAAATTGATTATCCGGTCAGTTTAGTTATGAATCGAGTAGTCAATATTCCAGCTGCGTTAAGGTAAAATATGATTTTTTTTCTAAAAATTAGTAATAAAATTAACTCAATTAATATCTTTTTGTCGTTAAATTAGTAATTAGAAAAAAATGCAAAATATATTTAGTAAGTAGTCAGTAAACAATATATCAATACTGGATCTTAATGCAAGTTGATTCTTTAAGCTTTAACCACATAATTTTTTTTTAAATAATAATTATGTTAAGATAATTATTTTTGATATTCTTTAGTGTTATATATTTCTCAAATTCTCAATTGTTGATTACATTTTGAATTTATCCCTTATAAAGGTATCAACTTATTATTTTTTTAATTGTAACATATATTTTTAACTAGCTTATAAAATAAAGTATTATTTGATTATAAAAATGACTGATCGCAGTAATAACTCGTTAACTGAAATTTTAAAAGATATTAACATTTTTAAAACAAGACGGAAAGATTTTTAGGATTCATTAATGCCTAGAAATAAAAATAAAGATATCCGCGCGTCATCTCCAGTTTATATATTAAGAGTTAATAACTTTTAAAACACTAGTTAATAAGTTGTTATTATTCATTCATTATCTTAGACACGTTAGATTCTTTTTTTATATGTATGGTGCTATTTAAAATATCATTTTGATACCCTTATAAGGTATAAGGGATGGATAAAATTAAAACTTTATTAAAAACATTATTAATATAGTTTTAATTTTATTTAATTAATTAGCCACAAGTGATTAAATTTTATTATATAAGGGCTGGATTGAAAAAGTAATTGATAATTAATAAATCAAGAAATATATTAAACTAAAAAGTATCAAAAATAATTTTATTAATATTATAATTATTTAAAGAGAAATCGAGTTAACAAGACAGTAGATTCAAATTTTATTATGACTTTGTACAAATTTGAAAATGTTTTCTAATAATTTTTCTAATGAAAAATATTAATGAATATTTTAGCACAATTAGCTAAATAAAATTACTCTTGTAAATATTTTAAAAGTATTGAATCATACGTTCACGTCTAAAGAGTATTTATCATTAAATGTTTAAATTAAAAGAATTTTTTCAATATTTATTTAATTTTTTTAAGTTAAATATAGAAATTTTTTTCTTATAAAATAATTCTTTATCAGTAATTAAATAATAAGGTACTACCTAATTAATTTAACGGTTTTAATTGTTAGTGAAAAACAGGTTATATAATTATCTAGTTAAGTGAGCATATACTGAAATGCAATATTACTAAATATAATTCTGTATTTTTTATTTAATACTTTCGCTTTCGATGTAATTCATTATCTAATAAGTTTGCATGCAGGATTTAGTATTTAATTTCCTTAATTTTATATTTTAATAAAAGTATTCATTAATTTATTAAATATTATGTTATAGACAAAATTAATTTTGCCATTGAAATGTATTATTATTAATAATGCCAAAGGAAACTGTTCATTAGTAAAATAACATTATTCTACTCTTTTAGATAAATTTATTCCATAAACAATTTTTTCATGTAATAATAACAATATATTTTTTATAGTAATAAATAATTTCATTATATATCAAAGTAATCATTACTATGTAAATCTTTGTGTTTAAAAAGATCCTGAAATTAATATATTCAAATCTTAATTCATTTTTTAATGATTCAAATTTACTGCACGTAATACATTCAGTGGTGCCGGAACTGGTGGGGCAAGGGGGCAGTTGTCCCCTTGGTCAATATACGAGGAGGCAAAAGTATTATTATGCCCCAATAGATTGACAAAAAAAGAATTACAATGAATCTGGAAATTAATATAACACTATCATACTTAATTATTTAGCTATTTAGATTTTGAGGATTAAAAAGTATTAATGAATTTACCTAACTCCAGTTGAATGTTAAAAAACGGAAGCATATTGGAGTCGTGGCACAGTATGAAAATGGCATAGTTAGACAAGTATAGACGATATTTTACATTCATTAAAATCATTATTATAAGAAACGTTTCGATGCAAATCTGTAGATTTGTTTAATTTTAAAAAATTGATAGATTATCCCAAAAGAAAAATTAACACCTATTATTTGTTCTACTTAGACTGCCATTGGCACAGAAAATAGGTCGTCGGTACAATTTTTTTTTCAAACGTCTAATACATAAAAAAAGCTTTATTTTAACATGTATTTAAAAGACGCAGATTTTCAAAAGTTAAATTGAAAAAGTTCTACTTTTTATACCAATTTTCAAGTTTTCAAAAACTCAAAAAAACTTTTTTTAATTTTGAACAGGCAAAATAATTAAAAGAAGTATAGTTTTATACTTAATGTAAGTTAGAATTATGTAAATTTTATATTTATTGGAGAACTTATTACTATGGTAAACCCTTATAGGTATTTTAAAATAAATTTTAAAAAAATTTGAACACGAAAATAGCGTGTTTTTGGTCGTCGGGAAAATTTTTTTTTTAATTTATAGTACGTAACATAAGCTTTAATATGACATATGTTTTAAGAATGTAGTGTTTCCGCGATATTTTTAAAACTTAAGTTAAAAAAGTTGAGTTTTGTAAAAAAGTTGTTATTTTGAATCCCCTTCTGTGAGCAGGTAAATGGTCAGATTTCCAATAAAATTATATCAAATAAAAGGGAGATGCATAAGGTTTTAAAATAAAAAAAAATTATTTTTGTTTGTACATTTTTCAATAAGTTATGACAATTTTTAGAAAAAAAGTAAAAATTTAACAATTTTCAAAATTGTAATTTTTTGTAGAATTTTCATCATTTATGAGGAACAAGGGAAAATTTTTTTATTTTTAAGGGTAATGTCTTAAACTAGATACAATTTGTGATCTTTTGACGTATCGTTGAGAATAATCGAGTGAGAGTTGAGAAAAAGTAGTGACAGACACAAAAGAAATAAATAAACACATTATGGTTAAATTAATATCTTAGCATCGCTGCGAAGCTAATAATATGTATTATTAAAAGTAACATTTATAAATTACCGGATTTTTTTATGTGATCACTAAATTTCACAGAAAAAATAGCTTAATCCGATTTTAAGCTTAGTAACAACCAAGGGGACTAAGTTTTAGTCATTAAATTTTTGTCCCCCCCCCTTGTAAAAAAATAGTTCCGGTGCCCCTGAATACATTCTAGTTTTTTTTCTGAATATTTCTATTGCAGCATCTCTTTTAAATACCAATGATTGCATAGAAATGAAAATAATGATTTTTTTTAATTTTTTGTAATACAAAATATATGCAAAAATTGTGATTTCGACGAATTTTCTAGCTTTTATGATAAATTTACTAGTAATAGTAATTCCTGACCACATATCATTATAAAAAGTACCGTTTGATTAATCCTTATAAAAATTTCTATTTAATGATGTCATTTTTAAACTTTTAAGTTGATTCAAAAAAGTACCGCAAAAAGTTCACATTTTTTTTATTATAACTTTATAGGACAAAAACAATAGGTTGAACATAATATTTAAACTTTGCATTTATCTTTTACAGGTATGCAGTGTTAGGTTCGGGACCGTTGACGTCATCTATAGGTTTAGAATCAGTGGCTTTCATATCAACAAAATATGCTAATCAGACAGACGATTGGCCTGACATTGAGTTTATGTTAACATCTACTTCTACTAATTCGGATGGTGGCACAGCTGCCAAAAAGGCTCATTGTCTAAGTGATAACTTCTACGATGAATATTTAAGTGAACTAAACAGCAAAGATGTTTTTGGAGTATTTCCTATGTTATTGAGACCCAAAAGTAGAGGCCGCATACTATTACGTAGCAAAAGTCCTAATCAATATCCTTTACTTTACCATAACTATTTTTCGGATGTAGAAGACTTGAGAGTACTTCGAGAAGGAGTTAAGGCAGCCGTAGCAATTGGCGAGACACAGGCAATGAAACGATTTGGAGCTAGGTTTCATGCTAAACCAGTACCCGGTTGTAAACACCTCGAGCAATTTACTGATGAATATTGGGAATGTGTGGTACGACAGTATACTCTAACTATTTATCACATGTCCGGTGAGTAATCCTTTATCATAATCCATGATCATACTTGAGATTCTTAATTTTTATTTAAATACGAATACGAAAACAACTTATTTTTAACTTAATTACAATTTTTTTTGTTTCAAATAAAATACGTCTAAAAGATTTAATTTATTTCACTTAACACTTATATAAAGCACCATAGACAAACTGCATCATTATAATTTTACTAAACAATAATCCATAATAATAACAATAATATGAAAACTGTTATAGGTACCGCAAAAATGGGCCCAATCTCCGATCCATTAGCTGTAGTTGATCCTAAACTCAGAGTATATGGTATACAAGGTCTCCGGGTAATCGATGCTAGTATAATGCCACAAGTCACAAATGGAAATATCAATGCTCCAGTAATCATGATAGGCGAAAAAGGCTCAGATATGATAGTAAATTATTGGAAAGGCTATGACACTAAAAGAAGGCGACGAAGAAGTGCAACAAACATCACCTTAAATTAGAGTTTTTATGAAATCCGAGTTACTAGGGAATATTACAACAATATTGTATATATTGTATATAAATAATATTTATATTATCGTCAGATAAGAGCTAATTTGCAATAATCGTGTCTAGAACTTCTTGCAACACTTATTTTGTTACATTTTACCTTAATGCAATTTAATAGATGTTGATAAAGGTGAACAGTTTCCATTTCTTTTATTTTTAGTACAGTACACTGTAATCAATAGAAACGAAATAATGACAAATAGAATTAATATAAAACCTTGTATTCAAGATTTTTTAGCCAATGATTCCTTTAATCAGTGACAAAATAATCTTTGGTGAAAATAGAATAAACATTTTGGGAGACAAATGATATATTTTAATATTTTTTCCTCTCCTTAAAATAAGTTTATTTATAATTATATATGTTTTTATTTTTGAAAATAATGAATTATTAGGAGTCTAAATGCTTCCAAAGCCGCAACTAAATTTTTAATTTTACTAACTGCAGTTAGTCTTTTAGCTGACGATGTACATATTTAACTTTTCTGCTCAATTTTTATTAAGTCTTTAGCATTTTCGATATGATCATGAACTGTTTTTGGGCATACATATTTTTGTATTAAACAAAATATTTTGTTTATGATTTCTAGTCTAGTTATAACTATGTATCATTGAATTGTAATATTTTATATTACAATTATAATTGAGCATTATATTAAATAAAACTATATATTTAATCAAATCAAATATACAATAAAAAAATATGATCAACATAATTTTACATATTTATTAACATAGAACTAAAATTGACTGATTATTATTTTTAATAATGTTTTATTGAAATTCGATTAATAAATATTTATACTTGTTTTATTTGATTTTATTATTGTGATAAAAATGTATAAAGTACTTTTTTTAAATTTCAAAGTATATATATTCTTTGTAAAAATAAAAAGTCTTTATTTAGGTTTCCGTCAAATATATTTTAAACTCGATTTTAAATTCACGTTGTAAGATAATATGAATTATAAAACATATACTACGAGTAATATTAAAAGTTAAGAAGAAAATAATCATATATTATGAGAGTGAATTCAAACTTTTCTATTTTAAATTTTAGCAAAAATAAATAATAAAAGGTTGAGATTAGCAAACTAATATTTTTCATCTCTATCTTGTATTTCTTTTTCTTATATTCCCGAAATACGTATCCGCGATTTTTTAGTCATTTTTTTTGTGTCTTTTTATGTTAAATATTTTTAATATAATTTTAATTTAAATAATTAGCCACAAGTGATCAATTTGTATTATATAATTATGGCGTTCGGGCCTTGATCATGATAAAGAAAAGAACAAACTAAAAAAAAAAATTAAAGGAAAAGTTTCAACATTTCTTTCAGAACCCAAAAATAGGAGCCAAATAAATAATTTTAATAGAAGCTTGATAGTTTCATTTTCTAAAAAATAGGAGGACGATTTAGTTAAAAACAATACGAACGTTATGTTTTTCAATGAAGAAACAGAAATATTTAAATTGGGCCCTGAAAGAAGTTTTTTACGGAAAAAAATTCAAATGGATGATCTCCTAGCAGGTATTGAATTAACGGTTAAAAGTATTGATATTAATAATCAAACCTTATCAAGAAGGGAGTGTTTAAATTTTCTACATACAATAAATACTAATTATATTTAAAACCAGATAAGGGTAATTCAATTGTAATACTGAAAAAAAGAGGTTTGTTTTCATAAAGTACCCAGACTGGTTCAAGAGAAATGAACAAATTAAAAAGAATCCATTAAGTAAATGATAAGGGATGCTATAAACGTTATGAATAATTCAAAATTATTAATTGAAGAAAAGTTCTGATTTTTTATTAAAATTTCAAACCCTCAAATACCTTAATTATATACTTTGACAAAAGTAAATAAGCCGGGAAATAATATGAGACCTAATATGCAGTGCTCGAATTGGCCAAAAATAAGTAGGGGAGCTCAACTTAACAATTTGAAAACTGCGTCCCTAGTATTTTGAAGACCTTTTTTTTTTTTTACTCATTACTTTATTTAGTATTTATTAATAAATCATATTTCATTATCATACTAATATTTAAAAAAAAAAAAAGAGGTGGGGTGCGCAAAAAAAATTTTAAAAAAAGTAGAGGAGCTACGTCCCCCTGCGCACCCCCCCCCTCAATTCGAGCACTGCTAATATGTCGAATATTAATTCCCCAACTTATAATTTGGCTAAATACGTAGTAAGGGTGTTTTCATCTATTCAAAAATTCGATAACTTTTTGAACTTAGTTTTGACTTAGTTCAAACATTGTCTGATTAGTATATGATGAATAATCATTAATAATTAGTATAATAATGATAGATTAATTTTTTTGGCGTAGTAGCCAATAATATGGCTTGGGAATCATATTTTACTAAATAATATTTTATTACTTAAAAGTGTAATTAAAAACCATTATTAATCAGAACGAAACCTAAACCGAAATTATTAAAAAAAATAAAAATAGAAATCATACTCTAACTCAAACAATAATTTAGGATCCTAGCCTTGATAAAAGCGGAGTTAGATAATTAATAAAAAAAAAATATAGGTCTATTTAAATTACACATGTAACGTACAAATCCATTAATATTAAAAGAAGAATTGGCGGCTTATGATAAAACGGAGAAAAGAGAAGGAGTTAAAATAAGTACATCTTAATGTATGAAAATATATATTACAGTTCTGAAAAATCAAATCTAAAACGTAAAAGGCCGAGGTATCATACATACTGTTAATCACACAACTCGATACATGACAGCAGTAAAATTAAATTAAGAACTTTTCTTGTGAAGGTTTGAAAAGATTAGCAAGAGTAGAAAAGTGACCAACTATAGATAGTAGACGTAAAACACAAAAACACGACGGATTATACAATGCGCATTGGTTTTTATTGACACGCCGCTGTTTAAAACTAATAAAGCGAACGGTGAAAAATTTGTGTAAATAATAGTGGAGCGAGTGCCTACTAGAATTATACGAAAGGAAGGCGAACAAGACAATAAAGGTATACATTAATCATGATAATTGACGTTGGAAAAATTTAAAAAATGACGGATATTCTTCGTAGGGTGACGTGTACGGACATGACAGAACTAATCACACACACGAGGGGTGTAAAGACGGATTGTTAATGACTTACTCTCTACCTAACAACACATACTCAATATGTTTTTCAGCACTTATTTTATAATAAGATTTTACTTATTTTATTACCATTTTAGTATATTAAAATTATAATAAATAAAATAACCAAGAATATTTGGTATAATTTATTGTATTAACAGTACATCATTTATAAACTACAAAAGTATATAAAATTAATGTGAATATTTTATCTATTGCTAGTTTTCAGTGAACATTTAATGGCGTTTGACACCTTAATAATATACTTTTGGTAAATAGTAATGTTTGAAATGTGAATTTTTCAATTAAGTTCATTGAATTTTAAGTTTAAAGACTAAATAATATGTTTATAAACTTACTCATTGCTTCATTTTCTGTATATGCTTGTCATACCTTATAATGATTTTATTACTTCAATTATTACTATAAAGATAAAAATTTGCCACATTCCAAACAACTGCTTTATTAAAGCAAAACCTACATAAAAATATTTTCAGTATTCACATATATCATAGAATTGTGATTAATTTTTACACTAAATTTTTTTACACTTAAAATATTAAACGTAAAAATATGTCTCGTGCACATTCTTTTCACCGTTTAAAAATAGTTTGTTTAATATCTAGAATATTTGGTATAATGCCCTTAAAGTTTAAATCAGGATCTAAGGATAATACTCCAACATGTCAGTTATCAGTAGTTGATTATGGATACTCGTTATTTCTATTTATTATGGCAATGATCCAAGTAATATCTGCTCCATTCGTAGTGCTTCACACAATCATGCCATACGTATACAAAGATTCACCATTTATAATGAAACATACAAAATTATTAAAACCAAATGATTGGGATGAAGAAAACAGTAAGTTATTAACTGTGATGAAGATATTAAATCCTATTATAATAGCCGTGTTCAGCGTTTGTAGTCGATTCGCAGTAATAACGTTTCTACACAATGGTTTTGGAACTTTTATTACTACAGTGCACAACACCGACAGATTGATGTTCTCGACAGAGGGAACTATGATGCATAATTACAGATTAGGTCGGAATATTCTAAATTCTACTCAACAGACCTCTAATTCATTTTTACATATTTTTGATAAATTTCTTTTATGATACTTTGTGATCGTTGGTGTTCCCATCAGCGTGATTTATATTTACAGCATATTAGCTACCCATACAATTTTAGGAATTATTTGGTGTGTAATTTTAACATTTAATAATCTAGCCAATTTTTTTGGAGACATACAGTTTATCCAATGTGCTTGCATACTTCATAGCCGATTTGAGGCTATCAACGAGCAACTCAGTGCAATTGCATCTAACTGGAATTTTAAAAACGAGTAACTATATTTAGCTTGAAGTGCTTGAGGATATATCCATGTTTGCAGTTGAGTTTTGACGTTTCGGACTCATTGCAGAGTCCATTATCAGAGTGATATTGCTAGTCGGTGGCTGCAACTATACTATATAGTACAGTTGCGTCAGAACTAAACTGCAAACATGGATATATCCTCAAGCACTTCAAGCAACAAGACAATCCATGAAAGCTTTAACACATTCATAAATATATTTAGATTAACATACACAAATTATTTAATATTTCATGATTCAATTTGTATTGTTTCAAATTAAACCTTTATTTTAATTAGTCTTTTACATTTTTCATAATAATAGTCCCTTTGGTCCTTTTGTTCTATCAAAAAAAAACTTTGCTCTTTGATTTTTTTATTAATTTAATTTTTAATATTATTGTTTAAAATTTTCATATTTACAGAGCTTTGTTTAAAAAAAAAACATGTAGAGCTTTTTTGTCAGAACTTTCTTATGGACACAAATTAAGCGATTCAATTGAAATGTATAGGTAAATATTCATTGGAATTTATTAATTATGTTACATGGGCACAATTAGAATACAATATTTTAGAATATATATTATTTATAATATATTTTTAATTGTACTTTGATAAAACAAAACTATGGCTACATCCTTCCCCTATAACTGTTAATTAACCTCATCAAATCAACTTCATTTTATCTTATTTTGAAAAGTAATAATAGTTTCTTATTCAAATTTTGAGAGTTATTCTCCAAAAATGATTAAAAAAATTTAATTAATTTTTGTCAAAAATAACAAATAAAACTTAATCAAGTAATTTTTTTTTTGAAAATATTGTTATTTAATTATAATACAAAAAAAATATTATACTGAATAAAATATACTCTAAGGTTTATTTGAATCTTTATCTAAGATATAAAAATTAATATATTTACAGGTACTGTTATGGACAATTCTGTGATATGATTGACTTAATAAATTCAATATATCAAATCCATTTATTGGGTACAATTTCGTCTTGTTTTTTAAAAATTTTATTTAATATTTATTTTGCAATATTTGGATACGTAACCAGAGTTAATAACAGCCCAAATAAACGAGATAAACTTATCGGATCTATACTTTGGTGTATATATTACAGTTTGAGATTTCTTACAATAGTATGGGTTTCTGATACCACAACAAAACAAGTTAGTGTGTACTATTATTTTACATTTTCGAAAAAAAACGTAATATATAACTTTTAAAATAAAATCAATAAATGTTTATGCCTCTAAACTGTAATAAAAACTAATGTAGCACAACGAATTTAAAAATAGTAAGGGTGATCAAAATTTCATTTATAATACATTTTTTCGAAAATATAATGATAAAATGTTTCCAATAAAATACATTTTATTGTGATGAATTTTAAATATTTAAGTTGACCACTCGAAACTCACATGAATATTTTATCAGAAATAAGTGTTTCATAATTGAATATATTATCCCTTTGTTACCCAACTTTTACTTTTTTGTTTAAATGACTCAAAATCAACTATTTATTAATAGGTGATCCGAGGATAGATAAAATTAATTTTTTAGAGAAATCTATTTTCAACTTTAAAATTAAAAAAATTATAATAATTTAACATACTTTGATGTTCAAAGCATTGTCCTGATTTCAAAACTGCGGTAGCAAATTAATAAAATAATAATTAGACAATAATTTATCAAGGTTTTAAAATGTTAAGTATTATTAGAAACTTATTTTTATAAATTTTGGGTTTTAACATTAGTTATTAGCCTGTCAAAAAGTTTTATTGAATGCAATTTTTTTTATTTTTAATAACTTTGAGAAAAAAAAGAACTTTTGATCACCTGTCTGTATTTGTCTTTTTAATATTAATTTGTTTCCTTATTTTTTTGTTTTTATTTGAGTATTTTTCAATAAAATATAAAATTTCAGACTTTTGGACATCCTAAAGAGTAAGTTATTTCCGAAAATACTGAAATTTCAATATACAGAAAACAATAATCGCCATAAATTATTATGAGTTTTACCATTTGATAAGATTTTGATTGTTAAACTAAGACTCACAAAAAATTAATTTTTTGTCTTGATTTGCACATCCTTGAGTATTTTCTCCATCCTCGAATATTTCTATATACGTAAATTTTCTATAAATTATCATCTTATAATGAAATGATTTAACAGCGAAATAATTGATTTTTCAGTAGACGATTTTAAAAAATACTATTATTTAGAAGTTAAGTTTTTTTGCATTAAATATACTATAATACATATATTGAATTGATTTATTTTCGTTGCACTTAAATGACTTAATTCGAGATTAAAAAAATGCAGAAATTATCTATTATGTGTTTAATGAAACACCTAAAAAAAAAATTACGTTAAAAAATTGTCATTCTGAGGCGATGATATGTTTTCATTTTTTTTTATTTCAGGCAGTTGCAACAAAAACTTTAATAACTGACATAAACAATCGCTACTTAGATAGAAGTACAAAAGAGGAGGTAAATATTTTTTTGTATGAAATATATGGCCGTTTTTTTATAACGATGCTTCATTTAAAATATAATGATAAAAAAGAATATAAAATAAGAATATGAAAATGATAGTAATGACTATGAGGTGTGAACGTGACGTCATTTACAAGGTTTGGATCTTTGGGTTTTGATCAAATAGTTAGTATTGAGGTTCTTCAGGATTGCAGAGTCCAAGAGTTGATATATTTATAGAGGAACTTAAAAATGTTTTTTTGAGTATTAAAGTTAAACCCATTTAAAAAATCTTCATTGAAAGAGACCACAATGGTTATTAATAATTCATAAAAAATTAAAAAAAAAAACTGATTTATTTGAATAATTTTTATTAAATAAAATTTTTTAAATAAATTGAATTCAGTAACAAAACAATCATATTAAATATGTGCCAGGTGCGATAGTATAGCACCCGGTATTAAATACAAAAATAAGTAAAGTGGATGTTTTTTTTTTAGTTGCGTCTTTTTTTAAGTCAAATAACTAGCCGTGCAATTGAATTTACTGCTTATGATTTTTTTTCGCTTAATACTCACCTGATAACATCAGTAAGTATTTTTTAGTTTTTTTTAAATTTTAAATAATATATAAGGCTTTACAAACGCGTATTCGAAAGGTGGGGTAGATAGTTAGACCTAACTGATATAAATTTATAGACATTTTTTGTAAAGTAATTATTTCTTTTTTAAACTACGTTTAAAGCATAGTTTTTATTATTTATTAGTTAAAGATAATAAATAAATAAAACGATTTTATTACTATTTTTTTAATGTTGAAATAATAGTGTATTATTCTTTTTTCTTACAAATAATTTTGATGGGTCTATAAAAACTTTGCATAATGTTAATATGAAACGCAGATAGAGTATAGTACACTAGTACGAGTTGCACCCACCCACACGACATATCCACTCGATGAATTTTTGTCATATAATTATATACATAAATATATATATATATATATATATTATTAAACCACCCCTCACGTTAACGTAAGCTGGATTCGCGATTCCGACAGTATAAAACAAAAATCGAATGGGTTAAGAGAGCAACGCAAAAATATAAACGGGATTTTAATAAAGTAGGTTTAATTAGTTTTATTATTAAAAAATAACTCTAAATATAGTTATTAAACAACATACAGTTTTTAAAATTGTTTATAACAATTATTATTAACCACTATATTAAAAAAAAATATCTGTTAATGAACATAAAAAAAAATTATTCATTGGCCTATTTTATATCATTTCGGCGCTGCATATACTATTACGGGTAAAATATATTTGCCAACTGCTTATTTCTAACTGTAATTTGTTGAATATAAAATGAAATTAGCTGTTATTTATCATTTTTTATAATTCAAGGCTATAGCTGCAGGAACAACATACCTTGTAATACTGATTCAAATTCATTCCGTGAAATATTAACACAAAATGGAATACATATAGTGTTTAATGCATTGTATTGTAGTATTTTTATAAAAATAAATGTAGTAATTAAAATTGATAAAATGTGTTTTCAAAAAAAATACAAAATTTTATTCATAAAACATTTTGTACTTATTTTTTATTTTTCATATTTAAACTATTTCTGTAAGAATAAGGTTGACTCAAAAAATATGTTTAAAAGGTTTTAAACATAGAATAAATATCTCTTGTAAAGATTGATCTTTATTTTAAATCTTAATAATTAAGATTTAAAATAAAAATGAATTATTCATTATTATTTTTAAAAAGCAGTTTAACTCATTATTAAGTACTGTTTATAGTTCAAACTTTTAACTAAGAACATGTTAAGGAGTACCAGTTTCATAAAATGAATTGGTCAATTTCTACAAAAAAAATGATCTAAATTTAATAATTAGCTAATGAAACTGTAATCAATAATAATATCATCACATTATGCACGTTGTGATATAATATAATAAAATATAATTCAATTTATTTGTTTATTAATTGAGTTCAGAGTGTGTTTAATATAATTTGAAATATTGGTTTTTTTTAAAAACTTATTGTTCTTCTAAATTTTGAAATTTAAAAGTATTCGATAAAAGCAACCGAATAATGTAATTATAGTTAAGGAATATAATTAAATTAAGTTTTAGTAATTTAGTTTATTAAAAAAAGGATTACTAGAACTTTTTACTTCTGAGTATATACTAGGCTCACACTTTAATGATACTTAATAAAATAAAATACTTAATGAAATAAAAAAATTGATTTTCAGAATAATTTTAGTTTATTTTGATACTTTATCTATGATTTGATATAATCGCAATATTTATTTTTATTTTATGTTTTAATCAGATAATTTTATAAAGTAATTAAATATATTTCAACCCATACAAAAGTGAAATTAAATAATTAAACTTGAACGATACGTGGCTGAGCCAGCTGAACGTGACCACTTTCACGTTAAAAACATGGATACCTAAATACACAATAAATACGGTAAGTTAAAGAGTATCTTGTACGATAATACCGTGCATGGTAAACTGTACCACGGTGATCTCGATGTCCCGTTTAACGGCAGTCTACCGGTCACCTCAAATACTGAGAACACTATAAGCAACACATTCCATCCGACTGGTAGTGGGACGTGGCTCATAAACGGTTTTGTTTAAGAACTCTCACTCGTTCTCGTCTTCGAATAAGTTGATAATGTTTTTCAGTAAGTATTTGTTGTTTAGAAAGCAATGACTTTAAGAATAACTTCGTTTCCGATGATAATATTTTCAACCATCGCGCCTAAGTTGAGCTTGACAGTTATTCGAACTACCTTAGTTATATTATGATAATAGTACAATTCAGACATTTCTATCTGATAGAGTAAGTACCAAATTATGTTTTATAATATATCTTATGTATGAAATCAGTACAGATTTTTCTTTTCTGCCAGGTGAACAAGTAAGCTCGTAATAATGCCACCCTTATTATCTGGGGCCATGGCGAGTGCTGCGTGGACAAGCGCTGGTCTCATACCGATATTTATCGTCACGTTAGCATATTTAAGATATTCTATGTACGATCCTGAGTCTAGGATCATGGACGTTCAAGAAGTAAGATACTATCATCATTAACTAAGGTCCAAGCAAATAATAACAATAGTATAAAAATATATAACAACACTACCACCTACTAATTAAAATGAAATTAGAAAAAAAAAGGTGGGTGAAGTAAGTTGTCATCTTGAAGGCTTTATTGAATTTCTTAAAGAAAGTATTTACCATAAAAACTTGAAATTAAGTAAAAATACTATTTAATATATTGAGACCAATTGGTAAAAAACTACTTAAATAATATTAGTTATTTTAAGAATTAATCAGAATTAATTAGAAAATAAGGTCATTTTGACCCAGGCGTAGGGCCAAATCATTTTTTGAATGGGGCAAATTGACATACATTAGTTTAAGTTGTACTTCAAAATGTAATATTTACGTACTCTCTAATTAATATGGAATTATCTCCTACTATCGAAGAAATTTTAGTTAAGAAATATTAAATCTACTGAATGTCATTTATAAAGTTAAATAATACTATTGAATGTCGGAAAAATATATTTATTGATTTGAAATTGTGTATTTTCTTATAAAATTTTTTTTTAATAAACTTATTTATTATAGCAAAAAATATTAGGTGAATATTTTAGTAATTTATTTTAGTAATAATTTTAAAATTAGATAAAAAAGTTATTTACTGATACATTGAAAAGTTAATTTTTATATGTAACTTCTGTGTTAAAAAAAATTTTTATTTTTATAATTGCTCATTATTTTTCTAGCAATATCTTCAATTTAACTTTCATAAGAGGTAAAATTTAATTAATAATTGGCGGCAAAACCTTAAATATAACCCTAGACATATGCGCACTTATATAAAGTTGCTATGGTTATGACCATATCTATTATAGCACTTATTTATCATTAAAAATATTTCTAAACATGATAAAAGATATGACGCCATTGAATTAAATTTTTCAAAAAAAAAAATATTTTGTATTTTTTTCCTGAAAATTGCTAAAATTGACAACAGATTTTAAAATGTAGCCACAGAAATGTTTGAAATAATTTAATATATAACATTGAAATCTATTAGTCAATTATAAATAAATAATATATAAATAAATAGTATAACCGGAAAAAAATGTTTTTTGATTTATTAAAATAATATTAAGTCTAAAACAACTTTTAAACTATTCCTAAGGAAAATATTGATGTTTTTATACTTAAGCGGTAGGAGTAACTCGTCTTAAAAATGTCGAATAATAAATGCAACTATAACATGTGCCACCAAACCCTTAGTTTATATTTTATTTTTGTAAAATATAAGTATATATTTTTATTTGATCAAAAGTTAACCAGTCATTCTTTTTAGAAAAATTTTAACATGTAAGAACTGAACCTTGAAATTATTTAATAACTTAAAAATTGAAAACTATATGCAACAAAAAAAACCCAGTTCAGTTTAGACTCAGCATATTGAGGATCTGACATAGTGAATTCCAGATTGACATCTGAAAGTGATAAACATCACTGTCAAACGTTTCAATGCGATAATACGTAAAGAGAAACATAAAAAAAAATTGAAATACATTAACAAAAATATACAACCTAAGTAGTAGAATATTCATAGTTAGACTATATAGTGGTTCATTTTTCTTTTTTGAATCTCTAAATACATTTAAAAAGCATTAATTTGATATAAGTTTCAAATTATCAAACGTTCCAAAACATTTTCAAAAATCGAGTAAAAATAATTTTTTTGAAATGCTTGAGTGATCTCTGATCTCTTAAAAAGAAAACTCTTTCTTAATTTAGGTTTTAATAAGGTTTTTGAATTTTCAAAAACATAAAAACAAAGAGCTTATTACATCTAATGTTACTGATAAAATTTCCGTTAGTATTAATTAATTTTTTAAAAAACTATAAAAATTTATTTTGTTTTAATTTCTCCAATGCATTTTAATTTAATGTCTCCAATTAAGTACGATTCGAGTTTTTTTTGTATTAATCAGCTATATCGGTTCAGTAAGAAATATTTGTGGGCAGCACAAAAAATAATAAATCTTGTTAAATACCTTCTCATTTTCACATCGAATCTAAAATTGCAAAATTATTACTATTTTTAAGAGAAATCGATTGATAAATTACTCTGTATAATTTTAACAATAACCAAAATTAAATAACGTCCACTTGTATCCTTCAAAGAGCGATAGTGACATATATTTATCTTAAAAAACACTAATAATATTAATATTTTATAATAATAGACAACAGTTATAATAAAGTCAGTGTTTACTAAATGGAAGAATGAATTTTTTGTGTACTTCATAAAATAATGTCGGAGATCTATTATATTCGTTTAAATATAATGACAATGCGATGGTTTGAAGATGAACAAATAATTATTATATTACCTTGGCATACAATTTTTGATCTAGAACGTTCTATTTACTCAGATTCTGGATGATTAGTTTATTTATTTTCTCAAGTTTTTAGTATTCAATATTTAAAATATCAAATAATAATAAATATTTGAAAAATTTTCATTTGATAAAATGTTTTAAATATTATTATTTTATTTGTAATAATTTCAAAGAATACTTACATTTATTTCCGTTTAAATTGATAGTTTTCAAATTTATATAGTTTTTAATATTTTTAAATAAAAAAATCAATTATTTATAAGTTTATCTGGTATAAAATGTAATGATGTCTTTTTTTTTCAAAATAAATTGTCGATTGTACTTTCTTCTATCATTAATTAAATATTTTTATATATTGTAAATGCAAATGTTATTTGATTTTCAAAATATTTCATTTAGATGAATGGCTCAAAAGAATAAATAAATTATTGTATTTAGTATTGAACTATTGAATTCATAATAGTTTTGCCATGGGTGGTATAGTTAATTCATTTAATTTGTCATTAAAATGCTGAGTCATTGACTTCTTTTATCCAAAATATGTTCATAACAAATGAAATAATACTACATTTGTACCTAATAGTATTCTTTAATTTGTTGAATTTAAATCAGTAACTTTTTTAATAAAATAAAATATTTTCAATAAATAACTATCATTGTGGTTGACTGATTTTTATTTGGCTTTTTGTACTTACTTCTTAAAAAAACATGAAAAAAACGTATATTTTTTAATTATACCTAAAAAGTTTTTTTCTTTTCTGGTTGACTTTTTTTAAAAATCCAATTATTTTCCTGTGTAATGAAAAATTGTACTACTTAAATTTAGATTTAATTTCTGCTTCAAAGTAATGCTTATAGACATAATAACAAATGAATTATGCCTAGGGAGGGAATAAAATCATCAAATAAGAAAATAAAGTGAAATATGTTTAAAAAAATGGTTGAAATTTATTTTATAAATAAAAAAAGCCAAAAAAAATTAGTAATTCTTATCATTTTGAATTTATCTGTCACTATAGCTTTCATGATTGTTAACGTTATTGTATCCTTTTAATGACCAATGGAATACATGGAAAAAAATAATTGTTTTTTCTTCTAAAATATATTTTTTTTATCTAATCTGATTTTTGTAATGTAAAATGGGTGTGAAAAGTGCTGCTCATTTATCTATTATGTCTAAAGTAATGTCTAACAGCAGGTCCGATGTGGCTCACAACATCAATAAAAAAAAAAAGGTTTGGTAATTAACTCCATCAATTTTATCCCATTGGTCTACAAAAAACAGAGTATACATTATTATGAGCTACACGCACCCACATTACAATCCACTTGTAATATCTTAATATAGTTATTATAAATATAATAATTCAACAATAAATGTAAATTAAACTTCACTTATGAGCTTCCATGCAAAACTGTGAATTTATTAATTTTACTAAAATCTTCTTTTTCCTCGCCTTTATATTAGGATAAGTAGTTGTGATAACTACTTATCCTAATTTTCTACTTGACACGATTTCATATATCATCTACGCACATATCATCCGTTCTAATATCGCATTAAGTAACATCCTTTTATCTCTATATATCAGTACCATACCTCCATTTTTTGACATTTTCCCATATAATACAATTTTACTAAAAAGAAAATTCTTAACGCTTAAAACTCTTAAACTCTTCAATTGGATGGTAATGGATGTTTAAAATCTGCTAAACATTTATTAACAGTGAATTTATAACTAACACATTACTAACAGATCCATCAAATTTTAATACTATAACTAGAAGAGTTCTCCTCTGGCTACTATTAAATTTGTTTATTAGTCTATCTAATTCACTTTTTTAATCGTATTAACTACAAAACAGTGTTATAGCTTTTCTTGAAAAATTCACCATTACTATAATTGTCTGGAGTTATATCAATGTTTGTGTAGACTTTTAGATTTTATGTTTATTATGCTATCTTAGTTCGTTGGTTTTAAACGGGCATTGCTATATTATTATGGTCACTATAAAAAATATTTGAAAATGATGAAGAAATATGTATTATGTACTTAATTATAATTTACACTCGTTTACATTTGTAACAACTTAAGATACTTACTACACACACACACACACACATATATATATATATATAATATGTTTATTAAACTACATTGCCATTTATTCAACAGGTGCACACAACTGTAACATACAATAAGATTATATTTGATAACATATCAGAGTAGTATAGTTTAATAATTTATATATTAAAGTGCTTGTAACTCAATAAGTACTTGTCCTATAATTATTATTAACCCATCTAAATTATTTGTAATAAAACTGATAAAAAAAAGATATTTTAAAATTTTGAAAAATAAAAAAAAATATATATATGTATATTAGAGACAAATAATAAAAATATGCTTATAATATATTTAAAACTGTAAAAATTATTTCATAGAATGTGTAACGCAAAATATTCATTGGATCAAAAGTTATTAAAGATATTGGAACATTCTGGGACTTCATTTATAAGAAAACAGAAAATTATAAAAATATTTTTTTTGTTTTCAGATACAAGAAGAATATGATTTTATTGTAGTCGGTGCAGGATCTGCGGGAGCAGTTGTTGCTAATAGATTATCTGAGATTCATAATTGGACTGTCCTTTTATTAGAAGCAGGAGGAGACGAAACTGAAATTTCTGACGTTCCATCTTTTGTTGGTTATCTACAGCTTTCTGATATGGACTGGCAATACAAAACTGCTCCACCATCCAGTGAAAACCCTTACTGCTTAGGCATGGTTCATGATCGTTGTAATTGGCCTAGAGGCAAAGTCTTAGGTGGATCTAGTGTACTCAACGCAATGATTTATGTTCGTGGTAATAGTCGTGATTACGACAATTGGGCTAAAGCTGGTAACGTTGGATGGAGTTATAAAGATGTTTTACCTTATTTTTTAAAATCGGAAGATAATCGTAATCCATATTTATCTCGAACAAAATATCATGCCCGTGGTGGTTATTTAACTGTACAAGAAGCTCCATGGCGATCACCACTAGCTGCAGCTTTTGTTACTGCTGGTGAAGAGTTAGGTTATGAAAATCGTGATATAAATGGTCGTTACCAAAATGGTTTCATGATTGCCCAAACAACTAGTAGACGAGGAAGTCGATGTAGTACAGCAAAAGCATTTCTTAGACCTATTAGACTACGATCAAATTTACATGTATCCATGTATAGTCAAGTAACTAAGATAGTTTTTGAATATAGTGGAGGAGTGCCTCGAGCATCTGCCGTCCAATACTTAAAGAACGGTAAAAAAAATATTGTTTATGCGCGTAAGGAAATTATATTGTCAGCTGGTGCCATTGGGTCGCCGCAATTACTAATGATATCAGGAATTGGTCCAGCTGATCATTTAAAAGAAATGGGTATAAAGGTTGTTAATGACCTCAAAGTGGGACATAATTTACAGGATCACGTAGGTTTAGGCGGTCTAACTTTTATAATTGACGAACCAGTCACTTTTAAAAAGTCACGTTTTTCGACAGCATCTGTTGCTCTTGAATACATAATGAACGAGCAAGGCCCATTAACATCAGCCGGCGTCGAAGGCCTAGCTTTTGTTAACTCTAAATATGCTGATCCTTCTGGTAATTTTCCAGACATACAGTTTCATTTTGCTCCAAGTTCTGTTAATTCAGATGGTGAACAAATTCGTAAAATTACAGGTCTTAGAGACGCTGTCTATAATATAGTGTATAAACCCTTAATAAACGCAGAAACATGGACAATACTTCCCTTATTATTGAGGCCAAAGAGTTCTGGTTGGGTACGACTTAAAAGTAAAAATCCTATGACATACCCAATAATAGAACCAAACTATTTCGCCTATCCAGAAGATGTTGAAGTATTGATTGAAGGTATTAGAATAGCATTTAATGTATCTAATACAGCAGCATTTCGTAAATTTAATTCTCGTCCTTTAATGACACCAATGCCAGGATGCACAAAATTTGAATTATTTAGTGATGAATACTGGGAATGTGCTCTACGACACTTCACTTTTACTATATATCATCCAGCTGGTACATGCAAAATGGGCCCAGAAACAGATTCAGATGCTGTTATCGATCCTAGATTGAGAGTATATGGTGTTAAAGGACTTAGAGTTATTGATGCTTCAATGATGCCAACAATAGTGAGTGGAAATCCTAATGCTCCAATAATAATGATAGGAGAAAAAGGTGCTGATTTAATAAAAGAAGATTGGAATGCCAGTGAAACATAAAATATATTCTAAGTTTATGCTAAATAACTTTTAACTATTAAAAATTGATACAAAGTTAACATTTTCTATTATCAAATTTTGAAACATAAACTTTTAAATAAAACCACTATTAAATATTGAAAAAGTATCATTATCATCATAAAATTATCATATTTTTTTTTTTTGGTTCCCTTTTATATAAAGTTATTTGTTTAATAAGTTGTAAAAAAATAATTATTGTATCTATGTAATTAACTGTATATAAATATTTAACTGTAATTTATAAAGAACTGTCAAATTTAATGCAAAAATAGTGAGATAACTTATTTATTGTAAATAAAACTATACATTTTTATGAATTATTTTAGTATTTTTTGTTTCTTTATTCACATACAAAAAAAAATACTTATATATAATGTAGTTATTCACAAAATATCTCGATCATGTATGAAAGACATATGAAGATTTAAAAAAGCAAATTTTGACACCGATTATTATCTAGTTAGCAAATTTTAAGATGTTATTGCGAAGTCACAGAAACGTAGATAAAAAGAAAAATAGATCTATTAATTTAAAATTACTACAAAGTTTTTTAAAAAGTATTGTAGATTTTGTAAAGAGCTTCAAATTGAATGGCATATAAGAAGACTAGACATACGTTAGTATGGCCATTTAAGACACACAATAGAAAAAAAAATTGGAAAGCATAGAAACAATAAAAAAGATGGCATAATGAAAATTGTTGATAAGCAGTAGAAAGATGCCGTTTATCCAAAAAAAATATGTGAGTATAGCTAATATAAACACGAAAGAAATTTATATGGCGGAGAGAAAAATTTGTAAAAGAATTATTCAAAGAGAAAAAAGTACCTAGCTGAATTACTAGAGGAAGCAGAACAAAATCGGTCACCAGAACGCTTTAGAAATTTCTTTAGGGCCATAAAAGAATAAAAATTTTTCAATCCAATCTAAAGAGCTATCGCAAATCGTTATAATGAACTATTCATAAGCCCAAAAGAAAAATCTAAAAGATGGAAGAAATATTTTATAAAAATTTTAAATGCGAATATAAGGGTAATAATAAAAAGCTTGAAATCACAATGTTTAATTATTTGAAGTAATTACAGGTTTAAATCAGAAAGATACATATACTCTCCTTTTTTTAATATAGCATTGGAAAAAACTATCGGCAAAATTAAAAGGGAAACAACTGGAGTAATAATTAGATAATATAACATAAACTATTTGATTTTACAGATTACTTAAACGTTATAAGAAGTTATTTATAAGATATGAAAAAAGCTGATTACATTCTTGAGCAAGTTGCCTGCTAGATTGGGTTGAAAATCAATGTCGAAAAAACATAAATAATGGAACTGTTGGACAATATAGATAATATTGATAGTGACTTATTTATCTTCGAAAAATTTAGATACTTAGGAATATTACTATGTACTAAAAATGACTGGATATAAGAGATAGGATTGACTACAACAAAAGCTAAAAGAGTGTCTTTTGCTTAAGTATATTTTTCAAAAACAAATTAGATGAAAACCAAAAAACTAAAATAAGACTTTATATGTTAATAATAAAATCTTTACTTTTCTATTACTAAGAAACATGGATAACCACCATAGCACTATGAAAAGAAGATTCAGAACTTTTGAAAATAAAATTTGAAGGACTATAAGTGGGTCAATATATGACAGCAAAAAATGAGTATGGAGAAGAAAATTTAACCAAGAACTACAGAAAGAAATAAAATGACATCAGTTCTAAGCTTTATAAGAGAACAAATATTGAATGGATTGGAAACTTATTGAATCAAGATCTCGTGGATGACACAAGAAAAGATGGTTAAATGTTGTGCAAGGAGATCTTGAAAACTGAGAGTAAAGCATTGAACATAATTGGTTTAAGATAGACAGAAATTAATGGATATTGTGTAAAAATATTAATTATAATAATAAATTTCTTATTAAAAAAAGTGACAAGCAAAAATAAAAGGAACTTCTATTAAGAACCTCAAAATACATAATTAGCTAGGAAGTCGTAATAATTTAGAGCCCCCAAAATATTTATTACGAATATATAGCTACCTATTTTAACGTATAAAATATGTAGCATTAGTGTCACCCAGTAAAAAATTATTATCACGTAATCGTTAATAGTTGTGCCTCGTTTAATTATAAAATAAAATTGATCGGTATCACCGCGAAGTTTTGTAGTATTTTTTATAACGTAAGTATCATAAAAGCTACCTCTTTTATTTCATGATTGAATAATAGTTTCTTATAAATTTTTTAATAAATTAAGTTCTAAGTAATACAATTTCTAGCAAAACAAAATTATTAGAAATCATAAGATATCTAAAAGATACTGTAAAATAATAATTTGCCTACGCTCTCGCCAGGTACGATATTTATTTAAATAAATTATCATTATTAGATCACAATAAAATATTTAAGATTTTTTCTTAAGAAAGGAAATTTCTATAAAAGAAAAATTTCTTAGCCTCTTTACATAGTTTTTAAACTATATAATTTTATTAGTTCCTGGGTATGCAAATTATCAGTGGGTTTTTTTAGGTCTAGACTCCCTCACTAAAAACTTTTAAAATGACAATATATTTATGATACTTAATATGAAAACAATATGAGGAGTGGACAAATAATTTTATTTAAATACCCCACTCACCCAATTAAAACCCTAGGTACGTGCGTATTTCCAGGGGGGTTTAACCCATTCTCGACAATCATAATAATTTACATTTAAGTACAATTTTTTAAGTTTATTATTTATTTATAATTATATAGTTTTTATTTTAGGAGAATGTGTAAAACTTATTAAAATTAGTTTTACTTTTGAATATAATGTGTTGGATACTCAATGGTTTCATTGATATAATCAATGGCACCGAAATGGGGCGAGTTGTTTCTCCAGTCAAAATACAAGAACGTAAAAGTCTCATTTCAAACTCGTCCCAATTGAATCTCAGAAAAAAAAATACTATGACAAAAGAAAATTATTGTTAAAGATCTGGATTAAGTTTTAAAATTTTCTTTAATAATTTAATTTAAAAAAGTTTATAAAGAACCAGATACTTTTTAGATTTTTAGATTATCAATAAAAATCACCAAAAAAATAGCTTTACTCACTTTTTTAGTTTTATAACAATCAAAGGGACCAATTTTTAGTTTAAAAAAAATGTGTCCCTGGGTATAGTATAACCGATATATCGATTCGATTATATCCCGGGGTGCCGTTGAGTTGAATTTTATAAAAAAAATCTCATGTATCATTGTGTTGAAAATAAACTTTTTCAATTCAATTATAAATTATTGTATTATTATCTTAATTGTACTTTAAGTTTCAAAAATAATTTTTTTTATGAACTATGTTCTATTCATTGTATTTAATGTCATTTATAAAAGTGATTTGATGCTTAAATCATTAGCTCACTTTCTAATATATAATTGGCCTTAGAAACTACTAACTGCATGGAAGCAAGAATGTATAAATGTTTATATTAGAGAATATAAATATAAAATCATATAACATAATTATTATCATTAGTAATAAAAAAAATAAAATTTAAATAAGTTCTATGGATAAGGTTGACTACATCAAGAGTATTGTAGTAATTATTAATGTTATGAATTTTAGAGAAATTTCTTCTTTATCTTAAGATTGACGTTATTAATAGTTAGTATATGGCTTTTGTCTTGAATTGCTCTTTTCGCCTGTGCTATCCAACAGATTATATTTGTTTTACTGCGGCCATCATCTTTTATATTGCTTCTTAAATATATAAAATGTTGTACTTGGCTTATTTATTTATTGTCGATATTTATGATGAGTTGGACAGGGTATATTTTGCTGTATAACATAACTTTTATTTTCCTTTTATTCAATTTTATTCCATACTTAATTTTTAATTTATTACTGTTAGGGTATTTTGTATATCTTCATTTTCTGTTCATAAAGCTATGTCGACCCCAAATCTAAAGGCATTAACCATTTCTCCTTCTCTTCGAACTCCCCTCAGTTCTTTCATTGTTTCTCAATGTACAAGTTGAGCATAACAGTAACAGGATACACTCCTGCAACGTTATAAGTTGTATTATGTTTAACAATATTTTACGTTTAATGATATCGCATATTTATCTTATTTTTTGATTATTAAATGAGGCATTATTGATTATATAAGTATGATAGTAATTAAATGTCAAAATACCTTTTTATGGTTACCAACAAGTTAAACAAATTATAATTATATAACATTCATGTTATAATTATCGTTGTTTAGATAAAAATTTAAATACTTATTTTTATATGAACCTAATAAATATTTTATGCAACTATTTCTATATTAGCAAAATTTTATTTTGGTTATCTATGCTTAACTCTGAAAATTATTATTTGGTTGGGTTTAATTTTTAGCTTCGATGCGAAGCTGAGAAGGTATTGGTTTTACTAAGATGTGTTTTTTTTTTTTTTTTTTTTGTCTGTTACCACTTTTTCTCAGCTCTCACCGAACCGATTTCTTTCAATGATACGTCAAAAGATCACAAATCGTATCTAGTCGAAGACATTACCCTCAAAAATTGAAAAAAATTCCCTCGTTCCCCGTAAATGGGGGAAACCTCCAAAAAAATTANAAAATTCCCTCGTTCCCCGTAAATGGGGGAAACCTCCAAAATAATTACGAATTTAAAAATCGCTAATTTTCGAAATTTTTTAAATTTTTATTACTTAAAAGTGCTATAACTTTTTCAAAAATAAACATATCAATATAATTCTTTTTTATATAGATGCATAATATCATTACCTTTCATTTGGTATATTTTTTTCATAAATTTAACCCTTAACCTGCCCACAAGGGGGGATTTAAAATGACAACTTTTTCACAAAAAATTAAATTTTTCAACTTAACTTTTGAAAATGTTCCGGAAGGTCTGACACTTTTATATATATCTTAAATTGAAGCTAATGTAATATACTTTATTATGGTAAAAAAAAATTTCGGACTTTATTTTATCTTCATAGTGAAAATGGCTACCGAATGCTATTTTTGTGTGAAAATTTTCGATTTTGTATTTTACATTTTTAACTTTATTATGCTATAACTTCTTGAAAAATGTATGGATCAGTACAATTTTTTCATGAGGAGTAGTATTTATATACATCTTTCATTTTACATACTGTTTTTTTAAATCCGACCATTCCCCTATATACGAGGGGGGTTCAAATCTAAAAAATGCATGTAGAAAGTAGAACTTTTTCAACTTAAATTTTGAAAGTGTTC